TATATAGTATAGCGGAGAAAAACAACATGTCCCGTCTAATAGAAAGTTTGTTTAAAGAAATGCTGCTTACAAAAGAACGATGCCGGTACTTAGAGACTATTCTATTTGAATACAAATAAAAATTAATTGTGTGACATACTATGACCAAAACACACTTGAGAACTCCATACTATTTTAGATCTACAGCACGCAATTAACATGTAAGATCTACGTTCTTTACGTAAGCGACAATAGATGGCTTGGAGTACAAAAATACGACATCAGTTCCTAAATATAGGCTTTAGAATAACATTTTAAATGCACACACACAAACAAAAGAAAATAAACTTTCTTTAGATACAAGTCCAAGAATAGTTCGCTAAAATGTTATGCATGTGCTTTAAAACATGTTTTGCACTAATGAAGTCGACATCCCACGTGACTAAAAATATTAGCATTGAAATCCGATTAGTAGCCTGCGGTCTTTACCCCAAACTGCAATTATCTGTTTCGTGTGTCAATATTGTGCTACACCCTCGTCTCAGTTTGACACACACCACAGACATTGTGCACTAAGTAAAGATGGCGTTTGTTAAAAGGGGGGGGGGGGGGGGCTATCATGATTCCATGATCAAAACTGTTTGACCGCAAGTCTTATTCTTCAAACTTTAACTACTTTAAGCATGTGCACAAACTGTTGAGCTTCAATATTAAAGAAAGTCTGACGTGCAATTAAATGGGAAGCTATTCAGGAAGGGGGGGGGGAGGGAATCCGGTCAAAATGCCTACAAGACAAAAGGCCGACAGGAAATAAGGCCAACATCCAAAAGGCCGACAAGAAAACAGGCCAACAAGACAAAAAGGCCGACAAGTTTCAAAAAACAACAAACTACATAGAATTTTAACAAGTTATGTCATAAGTTGTTGCTATTGTAAAAAAAGGCATCACTACTAATTAATTTCAGTTGAACCAAAGTTTGGTTACGAGATTGTAGTGTAGTATTTTTGTTACATTTTGCCCCATGCCTTGTGTCAATGGACGAGCTTGGAATATAATTCAAATTTTGTCGATATTTAACGTGTAGTCTCTTCAAGGCACGTGATCGGTCTACATTCGATTTCTTTCATTTCTTTGCGAAATATGGTGGTCACGCCACCTTTTTATAGTTTGTACACTCATGTCATCCCCAGTCGCATGGACCCCATTGTTCACCTAATAAAGATAGCTACTAGCATTGTCTCTTGGCCTTTTTGCATGCAGACGATGATGTTGGCGACTATTGACATAATTCTTCGATGGTTGTCTAGATAAAAGCTATGTAGTAACAAATATTTTGCAATATTATTAATTTTATGTTTGTCGGCCTTATGGTTTGTCGGCTTTATTGTCTGTCGGCCATCTGGGTGTCTGCCTTTTTGCTGTCAGCCTTTTTTATGTCAGCGTTTGGTCCATGTCGGCCTTTTGGATGTCGGCCTTTTGCCCTACACCCAGTGGAACATTTTGTGTTAAGTCCTCAAGTTGAAACCCAACCCAAAATAAAAGCAGTTTGGCGAGTCCATTACCATACACAAGTCAAATTACAAGTGAAGCAGATAAAGTGACACGCTGATTCCCGTGCCAGCGATTAAAGAAATCAATCTGATGGTTAAAACGAAATGAATGAACATTCAAGGTTAAAATCAACGATGAGATAATGTGGAACATATACAGATGTCAATTTTCGCACAGGACATTTAAACATAGTGTTGTATTTGTAGCAAACACGTTTTTAGTGCTTGCACAGAACTGATGATTATGGTAGCTGGTGTCAATATGCTGGTTATAATTTAATAGCACCCTTTCAGCTATCACTAGTAGAATGTTGCTAACTGCCTTATGTATTAAGAATAAATAGTCTTCTATAGTTGAAACTAACACGATTACTTCTAAACCAGCCCCGCGAGCCGACCTAGGGGGGGGGGGGGGGGGGGGGGGGAGGGGGGAGGGGTGTGCCGCGCGGTGTGCGGCGAACGGGGTAGAAAAATAAATTAAAAACTCTGAGCTTCATTACAATTATACACAGTCAAAGCTATGGAAAATAGATCACTATTCGGTTTTACGGGCTAATTAAACTGTTTTCTACATCATACGTCTGACATTAACTTATAAACCATTAAGGGACAGTGTCTAGTAAAAAGTGCCCCCGACCTTCAGAGGCGTAGCTAGGGTCGGGGGACCGCCCCAGGCGCCGACCTTAGGGGCGCCAAAAGGGGTAGAGAATAATTTAAAAGCTTATTTTAAGCTGCAGTTTTGAATTATAAAAATCCATAGTTAATAAATGTAACGGCTACAAGCCTTTACATACTGATTTAACTGTTTTCGTTTGACTTTAAAACATATACCCTTAAGAAACAGTGACCGGCAACAACTGCTTTCTAGTTTTTCTTAGATGAGGGGGGGGGGGAATTTTTCGCCAACGGAAATCGCAAGGAATGGTGAGTAGATAACAGATAACTCTTTTAACACTTAGAAAAGAAACCAATTGTATTAAAGCATATTGTGTAACAGCAAAATAAGAAAAAAGATGGTGGGTGGGGCGCTTTTCCCCAATTTAAATGGGAAGGATTTCAGAGGCGTAGCGAGGGGGCGGGGGTACATATGTCCTTGGGCGCCGACCCTACGGGGCGCCAAAGTGGGTTGGATAAAAAAATTAAAAGGTCATTTTAGCTGGAGTTTTGCATTATAAATATAAAAAATATATAAGAGGGGGGGGGGGCACCAAATTGAAAGTTTGTCCCCGGGAATGGTCGCTACGCCTCTGAAGGATTTACACCGGAACGGTGAGTAGATGAATCGTTTAGCACTTAGAATAGAAGCCAGTTGTTTTAACGCGTGATGTACGATTTCACTGGCCGGTTTTTGTTAAGAACAAAAGTTCATTGTACGATTCTCTCAACTTCAACGTGAGATATCAGATACTTTTTCTTCATGGTATTAGATCTTGCCTTGATCTCTGTATTAAAGAGAACTAAATATCACGGATTCTTGTATCACTATATTATCAGTAAAATAGCATATGGTCGGGGCGGGTGGGTGCAAGGCGATACTCTTTGTCGAAATTTTAAGAGCTAATAAAATTTTTATATTATACCGAATAGATAATTTTTTATTGATTCTTTTCATAACATGTCATAATACTGCAATTTTCAAATATTAAAGGCCACTAAACGAGGTAGAAATTGTACAGCACGACTACTGCGTTGCAGTGGCGTAGCGAGGTCGGGTGTCGCCCGGTGCGGCACTTAATGGTGTCACCCCCCCAGAGGCGTAGCGACCCTTCCCGGGGACAAACTTTCAAGTTTTCGATTTGCACCCCCCACCTCAAACTTTCGATTTGCAACCCCCCACCCCCTCAAGTTTTTCTCTATATATTTTGCTATTTTTTGCCTTGGTGTCACCCCCCTAAATGGTGTCACCCGGTGCGGTCCGCACCCCCGCTACGCTGCTGCTGCGTTGTTACTATGTTCAACCTGATTTAAAACTAATAAACGTTTTTGAAATAATTATTGTTCTAAAAACAAGACCAAAAGTAGACCAAATAAGCTTTCTGGAGGTGCCGAACCATATCAGTTTCATATGTGCATTCACTACCCTTAATAGTTGTATCGTCCAAAATCGTGAATCATACGAGTCGGGTGTGTGTCTTGACCTCCGCCGAATCTTTGAGACTAACTTACCAAATTTTAGAACCACTGCTCTAAACTCTTTCTTTGATTTTCTTCTTCTTTTATTCGTTTCGGCTTTCCAAGGAGCATAGGCGTGGTCACCTCACTTGATTTTTACGAAGATCGAACCCTGATAATCCAGCCTCCACATCTAATTTCAAACGATTTCCTTCATGACTGTTTGGGTCTCCTCTTTGACTTTACACTAGCACGTTATTTACTGTCTTTCTGATATTGTGACCTAACTTGACTAAACACCACCTTTTTGCGTTGCTCTTATTTTGTTCTTCCCTGTCCCTAACCTAGCCCGGGCCATACAATAAAAGAGACTTCACATTAACTGATTTAGCTATAGATCCTGCTTGAGTCTATGTAAAAATGCATTTGATTGAATTCCACATTGGTTTAGAATGTTAAATTAAAACGTTTTATCGCTGCTGATTCTAATTTGAATGTCATGCAGTATTCCAATGTGTGCAATAAATGTTTCTGATAATTTGCTATTGTGTGTCATTTGTATGAGCTTATAATCCAACTATGAAACAGATCAATGGAACAGAGATTGTTCCAAAAGAGTGGCCTAAACTAATTAGCGCCTACTAGTACTACTTTAAATTCAAACTTCCCTCTATCTAAACTCCGATGAGGCTTATTTTTAAAAGGATAGTGTATGGGGCCAGCCTTTCCTTATTGGGGAGGGGTGTGACTTTTTTTGCCAATGCCAATGAATAACTAAACACTTAAGAAAGAGGGGAGGCAATATTGATAGTTCACCCCGGGCGCCAAATGGTCGAGACACCTCTGCTTCTAAATAGTATATATGTTAAGGCAAATTATGAAAACCAGGCATTCTATTTCATGTACACAATCCCTGGGATTTCCAAGCAAAGTATGGAATATCTGCGTGTTATACCTTTTCCTAGGCATTATATAAAATGCCTAAGGATTATAAAGAATGACAAGAACTGCCCTGGAAAAGTTTGAACAAAGAATGAAAGAAAAAATGCAAAACAAAAACATCATTACATAAAATATCAAGGCATTAAAAAGAATGATTGCAAAAGTCTTCAGTAACAAACAGTCATACGGAGGGATTGTGAAAGATTGAAAAAACTGCTACAGCATTACTCGTATGTATCCATTTATGTTGGAGACAAATGAATCTGTCTAAAGAAAATAGTGCCTAATCAACTTCTAAGAAAGTACTAGTCACAATTCAAATGCCTGGATCACAAATGAGGATTTTAAGTACAAAAAGCATACATTGTCCCAAGTAATGTATTATCAGGGAGATGAATGAAAAACCACACAAGTATCTGCCTGCTTGTATGCAAGTATCAACATGTTTTTATTACATTTTTAAGAGTATTAAATATATTTAAAAACGCACAATTTTTATGAAAGGCAACAAGAACAAAACTTTAACTTTTTTCAGGCTCCTCATCACATTCCATCATAGGATCCATGTGAATTTCTATGTCTGACTGCCTCAATGTATCAGTAGAATGGCTACTTACTGAACCTGATGAGGAACTCAAATATGAAATATTTGAGGAATGTTCAGAGAAACTAGAAATTCCAGTAGAATCTAAAACTTCTTCCTTAATCACAATGTCAGGTTTAGTTTTTTCAGGCTCTTCATCACATTCCATCATAGGATCCATGTGAATTTCTCTGTCTGACTGCCTCAATGTATCAGTAGAATGGCTACTTACTGAACTCGATGAGGAATGTTCAGGGAAACTAGAAATTCCAGTAGAATTTAAAACTTCTTTCTTAATCACAATGTCAGGTTTAGCATTCTCCTTAGAAATATCTAATAAGGAAACAACATCAACACTGATTGAGTTTTTATCATCTGGACTGTCTGCATAATGTGCAACAGCTATTTCCTCAGCACCAATAAAACTAGTATGAACAATATTTCCTTCAGAGTCCAAATATGTATGTGCCAACTCCCTGGATCCTGTGTAGTTAGAAATACAGTCTGTAGTTACATATTCAGTGATGGCAATGTCATCATTATTACCAGCATAATGTTCAGGATGTGTTATGTCTTGAGAATTAAAGTCATCAGAGTTGATAATCTCTTCATGATTAGAAAAGTTAGTGTGAGATATGGCAGAGTAATCCACTTGGGAAGAAACATAACCGGTGTGAGTGACTTCTTCATGATCTAACATATCTGATGTGTAAACAATATCACTATGGTTATCATTGGGTTGATATATTGGTGCCTCAGAAAGAATTATGAGCTCCTCCGCTTTGTCATCAAGACCTAAAAAAGAAAACATTTCTTACACTATTTGCAACTATAGATTACCTTCGCTAGATCTGGATTACATTCATATGTTTTTTTAAGTAGTTAAGTTTTGATCATAAATATACCACAATTATTAAAAATAGAATAACATTATAAGAGCCAAATAATTTTATGAATTAGTTTCAATACATTGTTTGCCAAATTTGACTGATAAATACACAGACATTTTCAATAATAATTTACCATCAGAATGCAACAGCGTATGAGAAAATGAGAGGTTATCTGAACTATCCATTTGCTGTACTGGTACAACTGACTGGGATGTTACAGCTACTAGACGATCATAGATAAAACACAAAAGTTTGTGAAATCCTAGAGAGTTAAATTAATTTACTCAGCTCAGTTGCTAAATATGTATATTACAGAAAAGAAATGATAAAGGGAACTAATTCATTTTATTTAACAGAACAAAATGGCATTTCATTTAAACATCTAAGGTCCAATGTGGGCAAGTTTCTCTTCAGACTCAAATTTATGTTATGTAGTAACAAAAGCATAATTAATCTACAAGAAGATTAATTTTTTAAAATAAATAAGGTAACTATAGGTATTCAAACTGAAGAAACAAATCTTGATTACTAAAACTACAAGTGCAATGTTTTTGCAATGTTAATTATTTTACCTTGATAACCGCTGTTTAGCACAAGGACTTGAGGTGAACAGGTCACTTCTAGAGCATGAGTTTCTTCTTGTAAATTCTGAATATTTTTATCATCTAAGTCTTTCTTGATCATTACTTGGTCTTCCTCTTTTTCTTCATTTCTTTTAGCATTCTGTCTATAGCTATTTTTAATTTCATCACTCAATTGATGGCGCAATAAATGTTGCCTCCTACTGCTACTCTGGGTAAATTTTTTACCACATATATCACATTCAAATGGTTTATCTCCTGTAAACATCAAAAATAAAAAAATCTGTCAGATCAAAATATTTAAAAATACCGATGAAATCTTGATCAATGGTAAGTGATTTGTCTAGTATTGAAGAGCAATAACTAAATTATAGCATTTTGGGATTGGTTATTAATACTACTACTATTAATACTACTATGCTTTTTTAAAAAATCAATAATTCAAATACTTTAGCAACCATATGTGAAATAAAGCATAATTAAACACCTTTCCACAAAATATGACCAAATAAAAGTTTGTATTTGCACATTTTTCTGTTGGCACTATTTTCCGTTGCCCATTTTTCTGTAAACTCATGGCAACGAGTAACGGTATTGGACACACACTCACCTGAATGTGTTAACTCATGCTTCCTTAAGCTGGAGAGTTCTGTAAATCTTTTATTGCAGTTTGCAACATCACAAACATATGGCTGTTCACCTATTCAATTTTAGAATTTTAAAGCCGTGAACACTTCTTATATGATTGCATTAACCTTGTAAGTAAAAATAATAATTACTTTGAAAATCAAATTTTTGTTTAAAAACACAATCACCTCAATAACATAAGCCTACCAGTATGAATACGCAGATGATTCTTAAAATTTCCAACAGTCGTGAATGTTTTATTACAGCCCTGATGATTGCATTTAAAAGGTTTTTCTCCAGTGTGTGTCCTGAGATGAACTTTGAGTTGCTGAGCAGTAAAAAAATTTTTGCCACAGGATTCATCTGGACACTTAAATTGTCTATTATTGCTGAAAGAATATTAATTAAGTTTAAAATAACCCTACTATTCTATCGATATTAAAAGTGTGCATATGCATGTGTACAAATCAAATATGAAATTAGGTCAACACAGTCAGTACACATTAACACTTAGTCAACTAACATAATACTATGGGACTGATTTATTATTTGTAGAATGGATGTATTTATTAGCTCTGGAATGGTTTTAATGTATGCTAAATAGTAAATTAAACATTAAATGAAAACAAAAAACCTACAGGAATGTGATTTTGTGTATACAATATTGAACCAGATATTGTGCTAGTACGTTCAATGTCTCTTTACAAAGAACATTCCTTGTTTTTAGTCTTCATCTGATCACTATTTTGGAAAAATTTAAGGAACTGAACTAAAAAAATGTGTGTGCTAAAACATTTGATTTAGCAAAAACATTTTCTCCTATAATGTTTCTTACGTGTGAGTGAGCTTGTGGTACTTCAGATGATTGGGCCCAGAAAACTTTCTACTGCAACCTTCAAACGAGCACACTAAAATCTTTGGCTCAATTCCCTTCTGAAGCGTTCCAGCATCAGCAGTGTTCTCAGATTTACCTGACAATTTATTTCCTGGTGCTGGCTTTGTGTTCTTTTTAACTTAGATATACAAAATACAAATGGTAAATATATTTCTCACTAAAAGAAGATTAAATACATATTTTTCTACAAAAATCTTTTAAAAGATACCTTTAGGTTCAGCCACTCCCTGTAAAACTTTCTGCTTTCTAAACTGAGAATTTAATTTAGGCTGCTGACAAGAAAGAGAATCTTCTTCTTCCAACTGTTTGGCTATGATCTGTTGTGTTGTTGCAACTAAATTTGCTGTAGCTAAGGCATGCACTTGCTCAAAACTTGTGGCCTAAAAGTTTTTGTTAATTCAAAAGAATGTATAGAATAATCCAATGAAGACATCAAAAGACATTTACACTGATAAACGATTACAAATTACTATAGTATAAACATTCTTGTACATATTAAAAAAAAATCACTAAACTGGGGCTTGCAGATGTACATGCCTATATTCTTTTATATTCACACAAATATTTTTTAAAGCTGGAATAGTACATTCATTTAAATTATTAAATAAATAAAAATAAGGGTCAGTAAAATCTATTGGTAAATTTGTGATGTTTATGATGAAAGCTTGTTTCAGGAATTATTTTTCTAATTAACCCGAAATCGATGCTGAAAACTAAAAATTTATTTCATATGAAATAAAAATTTAAAAAATGTCTAAAAAATTTTCCCCATTAGTTGCTCGCTAATCCAAAGCTGTTTTCTTTTTTTTACTTTTTACTTAGATAATATACTACCATTTTGGTGTCACCACTGTGACAATACCACAAGAGAATGCTTCTAAGGTAGTATTGTTTGATACTTACTTCTGTGTTATTTAAAGTTCTACTTTTGTCATGTAGTTTCCCCATTATAACATTAGCAAGCAATGAATCCTTTCCAGGCATATTTGTCAAAACAAGAAGAGGAGTATTTGATGATATATTTTGATCCTGGTGCTATATTTTAAAAAATCAAATTTAATTTAGCAGGAAGAAAAAAAAATAAACACATTAGGCCTAATCCATACTGTAGATGATACATGTATGTACAATATTATTCTTAAAAAAAAATCCATTCACAATCACCTTATTCTCATGATGTTGTCTCCCCAAAAATGAAGCAACAGCATTAAGTATGGTGTTACTTTCCTCAAATAATGCAGATGACATATCAGCTTTTGCTTCTATTTATCATATTCAGTGAAACAAAAACAAATTGATTCTTGGCTAGATAGGCCTAATCAAAAAAAAATTATAAATAAGGAATGAATGGCAGCTATTCAAATACTATTTAAAATAATAGATGTCATTTTGAAAAAAAATCAACGACATGAATCTTTGCAAATAAACTGAGTAAAACATTTTATATTGTAATCCGCCCTCCAATTGATGTGTGCAAATAGTCTGAATTATAAGACATAGGCCCTATTTATGTCTGTCCTTGAAGATTATTTGCCATGGTTTTCATTTTAAAATACACCTTTTAAAAATTAAATGACAGTACTACATATAGATTATTGCTTAACTAAATTCTACTACAAGCTTTTATATTAGTATTAGTATGTTATTACATTTACTGGGCATTGCAATTTTTACAATGTTATTGAAAAATGCAATATTTCTGATTGGTAACTTTCAATTTGTATGTGAATGGTAACAATTGTTATACTTAGGCCTATAGTATACTAATGGGTAATAAAATGTTTGCTTAGCAATGTGAATTAATTTATAATTATGAATAATAAAGGAATAGCAATTTTACCAATTATTATTCTCTATAGGCCTAGTTTCTTTAATTATAGGTTTATAGAACATTGGTAAAATAAATTTGAGATTTTTCAATGACCACCCTAGTCCCTACTACATATATATGGAGTCATAGTAGCCCTTATATTACATTTCTATGAAACTACCCCACCCTGACATTTTAGTACTATAAAACCTGCAATTTAAAAAAAAATAACCATCATTTAGGCCTAATACTTGTAAAGCCTTAAGAAATTTAACCCAGTTGTGTAAACTGCTCTATACCACTCAACCACTTTAACAAAATGATAAACCACTGCCCTTCCCACTATGTTATATAAAAACAAGATTCTTCCCTTCAGTTTCCTTCTAAGTTAGTAATTGTAATGTAATATCACTTATTGGCTATTCTAATTAATTTTTAAGTCCTAAATAAAAAATGTTATCGAACTATTATGTCATTTCTCTGTTTAATTACTTAAAACAAATTTAGGCCTAGGCCTATAGATTATTGTATAGTTAGTTAGACCTAATTAAATTCAAGTCTGATTCTGAAAGTTAAAGTGTCAAATTATTTTAAAAACTGTTATTTTTTAAAATAAATATAATAGGCTAATTGGTTAGGCAGGGTGACTGCAATATCATTAGTAATATTAGCCATTAGGGCAGGCTAAGTCTGGGGGTCAAGAGTTTTTCATTCTCTCTTCCTACTTTTAACATATCTTGATGATCTAGTACTTAACACTCACTATGTTTAAGAAAGAAGCTTTTTCCTAAGCAGCACTAGATCTATATCTAGTAAGTCATAAAATATATTCAGTTTGATTGGGGGGGGGAGGGTATTATACTGCAGTCAGTGTAATAGTAATACTGTAATAATAACAAAAATTAAGATAGGCCTATAGACTATAGAATCTAGTTAGATCTCTAAGTCTAAGCCCATAACAACTGATCTACATCTAGCCTGCATAATTTCCCCTTTGATTTCAATCATTGTGACTGGATTTAGATATCTAGATTCTTTATACTAGTAATACTAATCTAGATAAGACATTCCAGATCTAGCCTCCTGATTTGATTACTTGGCCCACTTTGGGATAGATGTAAACTACTACTACTATAGATCTATATTCTATAGGCCTAATAATATTAATATTATATCTATATCTAATTGAAAATTGAAGGATTGAATTAAATGTTAAATCTCTAGGCCCCTGTAGTCCTATAGACTCTAGATTTTCTAGATCTAGATCTTACTTTTAAAAGCAACTCTCTAGTCTCTCTAGATTTAGATTCTAGACCTACTGTCAAAGAAGGATTCTATTTTCTACATTCTAGCCTAACGTTTTATTTTCATATTTTAAATATTATTATTTAGAATCTAGATCTAGATATGATAGGCCTGTTCCTGGGCTCTTAGATTCTTATGTCTACTGACAATACCAAACTAAATTTATTATAATCTAGAAGTTTAGTCTGATTCTAACACTACTCCGTATCACTATCAGCTTCTGTGTTTGTATAATAATGTATAATGTATAACAAGACAAATCCGCATTGCGCCAGTCAAAGTTAGTTAGACGATTAAAAAAAACCGATGTTTTAGTAACAAACGACAGATTAGCTTAAAATCAAATTCGTTTTCCAACTAGATCTAGATTCTAGATCTGAATTCTAGATTAATAATCTACACTTTTAAATTATGTACTAAATGTGTAACAATGCAATCATGATAACCAGCCTATATTGTTTAATCTGCCCTATGGACTACTGCTGTGTTAGCATGAGCCTGAGCATTTCACTACTCGGATCTTAACAAAGCCAGTTTCATACAAATAGAATCGGAAGTGGTTTAAGGTGGAATCAAACTAGACTCGGAACAGTGGAAAGTTACCGACCTAAAAATAGTAGCACAGATTTGCGTAAGTCTAAAAATAGCCTTAACCCTTTTACACCCAAAATTATTGCCAGAGATGCAGACTGGTATTTCTAAAGCCGTTGAAAACCATATTTCCTTTTAATTTAAGTATTCAAATAATCTAATTTAGTTTACTCTTAAAAAACTAGTTTTGTTATGCTTTTCTTAAAACAGAATTCAATACCTATAAGTCAACTGAAAATGTGTTCAAGATATTGTAGTAGTTCTATAATCTAGATTGATCCATTATCCTTTTTATTATGGATTTTCGAAAAAAAAATGTGTACGGTTAAATAAGCTTAATTTTCAACTGACATCTAAATGGTTTCAAATACATATGCAAAAGGACTGATTTTTTCTAAGCAGTTTTAATATATTTCGGGATGTGTTCAATTAAAAAAAAAAAAGCTTTTAAACAGAACTAGAAAAAGTTACTGGCATATGAAATTTAGTTTTCGGTACCGTATTTTTATTATTAAGGTCATTGAGTATGATCACGTTGACATAGAAAAAACATTTGGTTTAACCATCAAACAAGAAACAGTCTCGATAAGTGGATAATGGACCTATTTTTTAAAAAAAAGACTAATTTGTGTAGACATTAAGGTTGGCCATTTTAAATATGCTTTTTAAGTACACAGAAATGTTACATTTTCTCTCGCTAATTCCTAAAATATTATGAGTAAAAATATTTCACTGTGTATATAGTCTATAGTATTTTTATTCTAGCAAAATTAACTTCATAGGATTCTCGTGAAGAATAATGGATCTTTCTGAATAAAATAACAACTTATACAAAGTAAAGGGTTAAGCTAATGTCTTGCTGCGAAGTAAGCAATCAGTTGATTGGTGGAAAGTGGGTTTTTTTCCTTTGGTGAAATGACAGTATTTTCAAGCATAAAATTATATAAAATGCAAAATAATAAGAAAAAGGCTTTTACAAAATAACATTATCACCAATAAATTATACCAAACATACTATGTTGTAAACAAGACAAGCAAACCAAACTTCTACATTTTGTAATGATTGATAAACAAGAACCAATGAACAACACGATTACATACGGCAACAAACATTCCGAAAATTTGCGGAAATCTGAAATAATACGTTTAAAGCAATTACTGTATATTTATACTATTTTGTAACTGTAATAAGCTATTGTTTAGAATTATTTATTAATCAGATAATTTAAATGCAATAATATAGTCAAAAACATATTATATATTATTTTCCGGAGATGAACGAACCATAGGCATATGGCGAACATGTACCAGTTCCAACCGGTTTAATACTTTGGGTGTTTTCTTCAGAATAAGGACGGCTCTGAAAGAAGGCTGAGGTACAGGTGAGCATGCTCTCCGAAATCGATGATGAATATTTACAAGATGTATTGTGACTTTAAACTGATAGATTGGGGTCCAAATGTGTTATTTTACTTATATTTTGTGGGCGCCGCCATGTTGTGCGATGTAAACAACGGAAGTATTGGTAACTTTCATAAAGCAACAGCCATCAAAGTAGGTCATGTGACCCGCGAGTTGTAAACACGAGGAAAAATTCAAATTAATTAAGCTTTAAGATTAGATTAGTATTTGAATAGAATTATTAACACCTGACAAATACATGAATCTCTTTTAGTCTTATAATTCAGCATATTAACTAGGATCAATTTTTCGCCAGGAGTTCAGTGTCTGCCTCAGCGATGCTGATATTAAGCAGCTATTCAGCCTATTGTTCTTAGTCTGTCTTCAGTACTCTTCAGGCGTCTTTAATAATCTTTACTCTTCTCTTTTAAAAAAAGCTTAATATAATATAATAAGAAATTTCTATCTGATCTCCAATCTGGACACTGAATGCAGTGAATACAGAGTTAGAATTCTATTCTAAAGTTACAGTGAATTTAGCTAAATGTCTAAATTTAATATCTATTCAGTTTGAGTAGGCCCTATGCCCTATTGACCTTTGTTTCTGGTTGGCATATTTATTACGAAGTGTCTACTCGGAAGATTTTTCTCCCCAACATTTCCACTTAGTCGGCAAAAGATAGCTCTGCGCATGCGCAGTGACCTAGGGTTAGGGCTAGAATGACGGTTAGGGGTAGGGTTAAGGATAGGATTAGGGTTGGTGTTAGGGCTCTGCAGTTGTAAACACACGCATGCGCAGTACCATAGAAAACATCGCCGCTAAGGCAAGTCGTAGTTTCTCTCCATTGCGCATGCGTATCTTATTCCGGCTAGAATCGGCCTATTTATTATTATTAATTATTAACTTGAACTAAACTTTGAGGCTGATCCAAAACTTTAAAATTGACTAACAGCTGAGATCTTTAATAATTTTGATTGATTAGATCTAAATCTAGTATTTACATAAGTTCTGCAAGAATTGCTATTGCATTATTCTTATTGCTCCAAGTCTTATCTTTGCAATAATAACAGATACCTATGTACTAGTATGTACTATGTCCTTTGCTTACTTTCTGGAAACCAAAAAGCAATTGAAAGAATTTGATCACCAGTAAACTGACATTTAATCTCAATACACTTGAGTAAAAATCCATTGCAATGTTCAAAGGCAGATATAGAAAGAAAAAACTAAACACTGATTTATTTTTTGTTATGCAAAATAATAGTTTGTCTACTTGAAACTATAATTGCCAAGTACTTTGTAGTCTGTATTATTAATACAAAAGGATAATTTGAATAGCAATTTAATTCTGAATAAAAAATCATAGACCACTATTTGTATGTAATGACCAACTTCAAAGTGAGCCAATCTATGGTAACATAATAGGCCAATGGATATTTTTTTTCTTTTCAGTTTCTACGTATGTTCTACAAATGCGATTGAAAATGGCTACCATAGCAGAACAAGCAGAAAAGTTGTTGGATTTCACCCAGAAGTTTGACATTCATTTGTTGGATACAATTGTTTCATGCATGTACACAGCTGATGGGGAACAGGTATACACATTTTATCAAATATATTTGTTTTTGCTCCCACTATTATTTGGCTTAATGACTTATTTTCTTTGGGAATAACCTTTTTAAAGATTTTAAGTTTGTTGGTTTGTTTTCAGCAACGTATGGCTCAGGAAGTACTGACAACATTGAAAGAACATCCAGATGCTTGGACCAGAGTTGATACAATATTGGAATTCTCTAACAATCAGCAAACGAAGTACTATGCTTTACAAATCTTAGAGAATGTTATAAAAACCAGGTGGAAAGTACTCCCTCGTGCTCAGTGTGAAGGTAAGTAATATGGAAGTAATGTTTGCAATTAAGAGATTGACTTCTGGTTATTCTTACAATCATCTGTTCACAACACTTTTCTTACACAGGTATCAAGAAATACATAGTAGGATTAATCATCAAAACTTCATCAGAAGCTCTTCTGCTAGAGAGGGAGAAGGTGTACATTGGGAAGCTGAACATGATTCTTGTTCAGGTATGTTTTAAATTGATTTTTATAATATTTTAAAACGTAAACTGTATCAGCTTGTTTTTTTATATACAAACATTTTTCTTTTAGATTTTGAAGTATGAATGGCCCAGAAACTGGCCTACTTTCATCAGTGATATTATTGGTGCTAGTAAAACTAATGAATCTCTCTGCCAGAATAACATGGCTATTCTCAAACTTTTGAGGTAAGTTTTAATTGTAGATATTACTTTGTTTTTGAAATTTAAATTATGTAAATATGAATTCAGTTGTTGATTTTTTTAAAAATTACTTTATCCCTATATTTTTTAACAGTGAAGAGGTTTTTGACTTTTCAAGTGGTCAAATGACTCAGGCTAAGGCAAAACATTTAAAAGATACCATGTGCAGTGAATTTTCACAAATATTTCAACTTTGTCAATTTGTAATGGTAATATTTTCTCATTAACTTTCTAGTTATATTTCATAATATTTGGAAACCTATCACTTTAATTCTAATACCTTATTGTTATCGTATGGTCAAAAGAAGTTAGATAAAAGAAAAATATTTTAATTTCTAGGACAACAGTCAAAATGCACCTCTTGTTGGTGCTACACTTGAAACTCTACTAAGATTTCTTAATTGGATTCCTCTTGGATACATATTTGAGACAAAACTAATTACTACATTAATATACAAGGTAGGTCATGGTATATTTAAAGGCTTGTTGAGTGAGAATCTGACATAGATAGGTTTTTTTATTTTACTTGTAATCTCTCTAATGATATAATTTTCATTCCAGTTCCTTAACGTTCCTATGTTTAGAAACATTACTATGAAGTGTCTCACAGAGATTGGTAAGAAAATTTTGTAAATTTTTTGGGTGTTAAATATACCGATAGCTAGATTTATTTTAAATGTGTTTTTAACATTATACATTTCTATTATGCTCATTAGCTGGTGTTCAAGCTTCTCAAAGCTATGATGAACAGTTCCTTCAACTTTTTACTCTGGGTATGAATCAACTAAAGCAGGTATGTTGCTGTTTTTTTTTTTGTTTTTTTTTTGTTTTTTTTTTTTTTCTAAAAATAATGTAACATTTTATAAATTTAATTTTTTACTTTTTTCAGATGCTACCAGTTGAAACAAATATAAAAGAAGCATACCAAGGTGGCACAGATGATGAACAAAATTTTATTCAAAATCTTAGCCTTTTCTTGTGCACTTTTTTAAAAGAGCATGCTCAGCTTATTGAGAAAAAGTCAGAATTACATGTTCTTCTGATGGAGGTTTGTTGTTTTTTTATCTCTTTTTCTTTGAAAGATTGTTGTCAACAGCCTCAAAGAAAGAAATTATTTTATAATAATTTATTTTTATTTGTCAGGCCTTACACTATCTCATCCTTATCTCTCATGTGGAGGAAGTTGAGATTTTCAAGATATGTCTGGAGTATTGGAGTTCATTGGCTTCAGAGCTTTATAGAGAAAATCCTTTTTCTGACACAACAACCCCTCTTATTTTTTCTCAAATGCGATCACAAAATCAAGAGATGCCAGTTCGCAGACAACTGTATAATCCAGTTTTGTCAAAGGTTGGTTTTACTTTTTATTGAACTGGTGGCCCTCATTTACTTTATGATCCATTTTCAACAGGTGTGTAATTAATATTTTCACTTTACAGGTTCGGATGGTCATGATTTCTCGTATGGCTAAACCTGAAGAAGTGCTTGTAGTAGAAAATGAACAAGGGGAAGTTGTGAGAGAGTTTATGAAGGACACAGATTCTATAAATCTATACAAAAATATGCGTGAAACTTTGGGTAAGTGTTGTTGTTGTTTTTTATGTATAATAAATGCTAAATGTTTTTAAATGTTCAGTATTACTGTAAATTTATAAGTACTTTTGTAAGTGTACTGTTTTTTTTTTTTTTTAAAGTTTACTTGACTCATTTGGATTACACGGATACTGAAAATATAATGACTGAAAAATTACATAATCAAGTTAATGGTACTGAGTGGTCCTGGAAAAATTTGAATACTGTAAGTAATATTTTATTTTGATATGAGATGGGTTTTTGTTTCTTCAAATTTTACTGTGTGCACTAACAACACTTCACATTTTTCTAATTAGATTTGCTGGGCCATTGGTTCTATTAGTGGAGCTATGCACGAAGATGACGAAAAAAGATTTTTAGTTACAGTAATCAAGGTAAATATACTTCAATTTGTTAGTCTTTAGTTGCATTTTATTGTATGAAATGTATCATTTTGCAATACCTTTTTATCATTTAGGATTTATTGGGACTGTGTGAACAGAAAAGAGGAAAGGACAATAAAGCAATAATTGCTTCAAATATTATGTATGTAGTAGGGCAGTATCCTCGCTTCTTGCGGGCACATTGGAGGTTCTTGAAGACAGTAGTGAATAAATTGTTTGAGTTTATGCATGGTAAGCTTTTTTTTACAGCTACACTTTCTTTATAGAACAAAAAATTGACTTTTTTTTAGTGTGCATTATTATAATTTTAAACATAAATTCTGTGTAGAAACACACGATGGTGTTCAGGATATGGCTTGTGACACATTCATAAAAATAGCACAGAAGTGCAGACGCCATTTTGTACAAGTGCAGGTTGGAGAGGTGATGCCATTTATTGAAGAAATTTTGAATGGAATAAACACCATTATCTGTGATTTACAGCCTCAGCAGGTATTTTGTTTTACTTTATAACATTTTTTATTTCTAGAATACAATTTGGTAACATCTCCTGCTTGTTTGACGTTACTAATAAATATAATAATTTTTGTTAGGTGCACACATTTTATGAAGCAGTAGGGCTGATGATAGGAGCACAAGTTGACCAGGTTGCTCAAGAACATCTGATTGAGCGTTACATGTTATTGCCAAATCAGGTACGTTTACTTACATTTTTATGACTGTTTAGACCTATTCTGTATTTCACTGTACTAATCACTTGCTCATTGAATACTAGCATAAAATTGTCTTATAAATTTTTGTGTGAATATCTCTTTATAAAAGTAGCATGAAGATATGGGCCATTAATGAACAATCTGTTCTTTTTCTCTAGGTTTGGGATGGTATTATTAACCAAGCCACACATAATGTTCAAGTGCTTAAAGACCCAGAGGCAGTCAAACAGTTGGCTAATATCCTTAAGACCAATGTAAGAGCCTGTAAAGCTCTTGGACATCCATACGTTGTTCAGCTTGGACGCATTTACCTGGACATGTTAAATGTTTACAAGGTTGGAATTTGTCAGTTTATAAGGTTAAAATAAGTGGTTTTTGTTTAAGATTCTTATATGCTAAGCATAATTTTGTTGTCTTGTTTGATTAGGTAATGAGTGAAAATATTAGCAGTGCCATTGCTACTAATGGTGAAAGTGTTACCAAGCAACCTTTAATCAGATCAATGCGGACTGTGAAGAAGGAAACACTTAAGCTTATTTCAGGATGGGTTAATCGCTCGACTGATCCACAAATGGTGAGTTATATTTAATTGCATCAAGGTATATATACATGTTTATGAAATATATTTGTAAGTTCTTTTTTTTTTTACTAACAATTGAAATTGATCTGACACTTCAGGTAGCAGAGAACTTTATTTTGCCTTTACTTGAGGCTGTTCTGCTAGATTATCAAAGAAATGTTCCAGCTGCTAGGGAGCCTGAAGTACTGAGTACCATGGCTACTATAGTCAATAGTTTAAAGGTAATAGTATCCTGCATAACTTTTAATAACCACTTCAAAACATACAAAAATACATGCAAAATTAATTTAGTGGTGCTCAACCATAAAATTAGTTGCTTTTGTTTGCAAGAAGTAATTTAAAACTGGTTGTTAATTTTTATTTTCTAGTCTCATATTACCAAGGACATCCCACAGATTTTTGATGCTGTGTTTGAATGCACTTTGACTATGATAAACAAGGTAAAGTAAAAGCTAACCTAAAGTCATTCTTATCAAACAGATGTTTTTTTAACACCTCATAATGCATTTTCATATTACTTCTTTAGGATTTTGAAGAGTTTCCTGAACACAGAACAAACTTTTTCTTACTTTTGCAAGCTGTCACACAACATAGTTTTCAAGGTATGTACATTTTAACCATTAATGTCCCGTAACGCCCGCTGCCGCCCGACACCGTTAATGTCCCGTAACGCCCGCTGCCGCCCGCTTACAATACGCATAGAAAAATTAAATTTGTTTCATTAAAATTTGGCCTACAAATCCTAATTTTTAACTAAACAGGAAGTCTGATAGTTTCAGCATCCTTTTCCGGTCTTCTAATTTCAATGGCGCTTTTGAAAGATAAAAAAGAATAGTTTCTTTCTATCTCGAAATTTTAGACTCATCTGTCCGATTTTTAGTAGATTTAATATTAAAAATAACATAAAATAATGCCTCTAAACGTATCTAGGCATGTATTTTATGAATTATATATCTTAAACATAACCAAATTGATATTTAACTGTTAAATTCGATGCATAGTTGTTTAGACAGAAATAAATAAAGTTGACTACCGAAAATGACCTGTTTTGAATTATCTCCGACATTTTTTATTTTTATACTGTACTTGTACCGAATATAATATATTCTATTTAATACTGTTGGAAAGCCAGGTTTATTCCCAACATTAAGCAGTAATTTTTATCTTAATTTTCAATTTCATTTAAACAAAAACAAATATTTTGTGAAACTATTCACTTGATCATACAGAGTTATGCTCCTTACATTGGGCCGTCATGGGTGGAGTTTTGGTAGAATGAATGGGACATTAATGGTTAAATATACTTGAGTATGCTAATTTGAGGTACTTAAGTGGTGTTGGGATTTAGACAAAATACAGTCATGATTTTTTAGTATTATAAGAAATAATACCATGATTTCTCACAAGCAGTTATTATACTTTGCAGTAAATAAAATTTTCTTTTACTCAACAGCATTGCTGCATATACCTCCTGCACAGTTTAAACTTGTGCTAGATTCAATCATATGGGCATTTAAGCATACTATGCGCAATGTTGCTGATACTGGATTAGATATTTTGTATGTCTTGCTGCAAAATATTACACGGGAAGAAAATACAGCACAGAGTTTTTATCAGACTTATTTTACAGACATACTTCAACATCTATTCTCTGTAATAACTGATAGTTCTCACACAGCAGGTAATTAAATAATTTGTTATTGTATTTGTTTTTATTGCAAAACAGTTCTGCTTTCTGCTATAGTGCTAAACTAATGTCATTGTTTTATTTTCACAGGGCTTACAATGCAGGCTACCATTTTAGCATACATGTTCAATCTTCTAGAGCATGGAAAAATTACTGTTCAGCTTAGTCCAAATATGCCATCTATACAGAATATTGTTTATGTACAAGAGTTTCTTCTCTCTTTGCTGAAGACTGCATTCCCGCACCTAAACGAGTAAGTGATTACTTAAATTTCTAGATTGAGACGTTCTGACTGAATTTTTGTTAAATACAAGTTAGACATTAATTGGTAATTATCTATTTTCTAGGCAACAGATTAAGATATTTATTCAAGGCCTTTTTAGTTTTGACCAAGAATGCAATGCGCTCAAAGAACACTTAAGAGATTTCTTGGTTCAAATTAGGGTAAGTTATATTTTTTTGTCCTCAAAAGGATACTTCACTCTATTATTGTATTGTAATCTAGATTTGCTCAATTTTAATTCTGAAACTGCTTTTTTTAATAGGAATTTGCTGGTGAAGATATGGAAGATTTGTTCCTTGAGGAAAGAGAAAGTGCTATCAGACATGCACAGGATGAGAAACGTAAACAGCAGTTGGCTGTACCTGGCATTGTTGGGCCACATGAAGTACCTGAGGAAATGCAAGATTGATTTATTCCTGCTATTCAAAAAGCTTGCATCAGATTTTTAGACTGGATAGAGACCACAGTTTTAATACAACTTGAAAGCACCACTTTATTAGTTGTGACAGCCTACTGCCCATAGCCCCAGTGTATCTTTTAAATTGTCTAACATTTCTGCCTATTTAAAATAACTATACACAAATTAGTTTGTTTGTTTGTGTATAAATGTAAATACATGTTCCAAAATGTGTAAATTATAACTGGTTTGAGTGTTAGCTGAATTTATTTATATTTTTACCCTCATCATGTGATCCACAATACGTTTTCCTGGTGAGTTTAATAGGATTTCCAGTTGTTTACTTAGTGGGTGCCGAAAATAACCTTATGTTGGATTACATTTATTGCACTTATTACGTGTTTTAATAAGATATGCTGATCTAATATACTTAGTAATTGAAGGTACTATTATTTATCAAGGAATTTCATTTTTAATATGACTGATTATATTTAGTGTTTAGGTTTTGGAAACAAGTTCAACTAAACCAGATAGCTCAATGTTTGATTAAATTCTTAGTTTTCATTTTGCAGTACATGGTTGTTGAATGACTTGCGTTTTAATAAATCATGTATAGGTGCTTCTTCTTTTGCACTCTGTAGCTTTTGAACCACAACTTGTGTACTGTTAGTGGTTTAATTTTCCAGGCCAGAGGTATACTTTATTAAAGGCACTGTTTTAAGTTGCTAATTTTAATCTACTAATTGACATTCTGCAATTTCTCTGTACATATTGTTTTGTCAATACTTGTTAGCTTAACGTGGTGTTGTTTAACAAGTGTTTTTTTTTCCTGAAATGTGACAATCATGGTTTTAAAACTACTCTCTTTCTAGATTAGATTTTTGCAACTTCTTTTCCCCTTACAAATTGGCCGTATTTGTAAATTAATAGCTTTTTCCTTCTGATTGCCTCTAATTTGATAAAACCACAGTACGTTCAAGTGTTTACTTCATAATTGTTAGCTTGTTAATTTTTGCATTTGGTAATACTTTAATACTTTTGATATAGTAAAATTATTACTACTACTACTCTGATTTTAATACACTTTAGTTTGATTTAAAGCAACTTCTATTGTCACTTCATTTACATTGTCATTGGGTACTAAGTACTGTGTACTTGCTCTAATCTTTTGTATGCTTCCTGCTCACCTTATTTTATGCAGGATACAAATATCTGTACAGTGATTCCTATGTCCTAAACATAATGCAGTTAACTCTTTTTTTTTCATTTGTTGACATGTGTAATTAGAAATTTTAATAAAATAAACAGTTGTTAAAAATGTTTTTGTATTCCTTTATTTCAATTGCAATGCTGTCTTTTCTGTAGTTCATATAAGTAAATTCGTTAGGATAAGACCTGTTTAAAATCTGGTCTTGGGTGATTATAACTTGGTTTTCTGAGCTGCACTTTGGCAATCTGAAACTTATTTACACCTGTAGGAACACACTCAAAAAAGTTTTTTTCTAATCTCAAAATTAGGGTTTTGCTACAATTTTTTATTTTAATAAGTTAGGAAAAATTACATTTTAACAATATTTTTAATTATAATATTTATAAACTACATTAATTAATAAAACAAACTATATTGTGAGGATGAAAATGTGTAACTGTTCAACCCCTTACATGCCAGGAGATTTTCAGTTTATTAATGCAAGCCCCTTGCTGGTTTTCCAATATACATTATTATCTATACAGGTAACATTAAAATGATTATATCTATCAATATACAGTTCTTCAAAAGAAGTTCCTTGAAATCATATTTAAAAATTATAAAGTCAATAAGAACAAATTACTTACATTGAACTTTTTTTTTGTTAAAATTTAGCTTACATTCTTACATTACATTTATTTAATAATTAAAAATCTAAATAATTAAAGGTTATTGATAAAATTGGCTTAATTGAAATAAAGTGCAGTTAGAATGCAAATAACCAATCTAAAATGCAGTTTATAAAATAAAATACCCTTAGCTTTAAAAGGCAGTATTAGTCTAGCATTATACAGTTAAGTGGAAAAGTGCTTTGATAGGATATCAAATTGAATCATCTGCATTTGATTTGATGTAGGTGTGATTTGGTGATCTGCCAGAATCTCCTGCATCATCAAACTCATCAGAATTAAAATTTGATTTTACACTAGTGTGGCCAAAACTTCTGGTACTGATCATTTCCTTGTCAAGTCCTGCCTTCTTTAGTGTGGCTGTGAATTTTTTGTCAGCCTGTCTTTTGGCATTTTCCTATGAGGTTTTAAAATATGGATTAGAACATAAGTTTAATTTACTTTAATTTTTCAATGAAAATTACCACGTGTTAAATAAAATATCTTAGTATAAATCAGAATTAATGGTAAAGCTGGATGATGGTAGAAGCAAAGTTCCCTTTTTTGAATGTGACGGTCATGGGGCAAGTGATGTGTTCACTTGTTTCAGTGTGGTCAGCACTATGCTCAATTGCCTTTACGTTCCCTAATGGGTGGACTCAGGGATGTTCTACAGACTTGAACCCAGATTCAAACTTTAGACTTTCAGGCTAGCAGTCAATTGCTTTACCACTAGGCCACACTGTCCCACACTGTATGATGCTACTTACAGCCAAATACTTATCCACTAGCAATGGTGACTGTTCCACTCTATTTTTCATCTCTTCAATTTCATTCTGGTATGCCTCTTGTCTAGTCCTGTCCTCTATCCTGAATTGATCATGTATTAATCTATCAGACATCCTTCTTATTTTAAAAGACATGATAGGAGATTATTTGGTTCAACCTCTGTGTTAGAGGATATGCTTAATGTTTTAATTTAATTTTATAATATAAATTATATTTATCTTTTCTTTTTGGAAAATCTGCTACAAGATTTCAGCAACTAGCTCATGAAAAAAAAGGTCAAATAATACATAGCCTTATTTGGTCTTATAATGGATAACTTGGTCATCTAGTACATCATTCAAATTAAATAACTACCTGTGTTTTCTTAGCCTTTCAGCAATAGAGTCTCTTGGTTTTGGTAGATCATCTGACATCTTCTCAGACAAAAATCGTCGCAGCTTTGCTTCTCTTGCCTTCCTACGCCTTTCAGATTCTTCTTCTTCTCTAATTCTATGATTTATTCGTTCCTGTTTTTTTCTTGAAAAAAAAATATAAAAATTTGCATGAAAATAACATGAATTAAACTATTATTTGATATGAATTATCAATATTAAAATACTTACTTCACTAACACTGTTCTCAAGTCAGCTGCTTTACTTGAATGTGTTGGGATGGAGTCCAGTGAACTTGACAAGGCTCCTGTTAATGAAATATAATTTAACCTTGAAACTACAAAAATATTTAGGTAAGAAATAAGTGTTAGGAAAGAAGAAAAAAAAACCCAGAAAATTATAGTTAAACAAAAAAAAATCCTTATGTTGGAATTATTGTATGTACAAGTAAATAAAGTTCCTCTATAGACCTAGCGATAAATTGGGCAGATGAAGTTGAGTTCATGGGTTTCTTGACCTCAGCATATAAAGGGATACTGTGGTCAGCACTATACCTAGCCGCTTTTACTTTCCCCAATGTAAGTCAGGTACCCATAAGTGCTGGGTTGACAGGGACATCTTACATTCACAAGTCCAACCTGATATCCAAACTCAAGACCTTCAGGCTCGCAGTCAAATGCTCTACCATTTGACCATTCCGACCCCATGTACAAGTAAGTTTTTGTCAAAAGATTAAGAAATATAGGAAAATTACATTTCTTAAATCGACAATGAAATTATAAGTTAAAACTCTTTAACAATTCTTTAATCAAATACAATACCTAGGTATTTCATTGAGCTTCGTGGTGTTGTCCTAGAGCTTAAATAAGGCCAGCGATTCTCTTTAAGCTTATTTTCATCAGCTTGAATATCTTGCTGTATTCTTTCTCTATTTGATTGGATCAATTCAGTCTTTAAGTCAAATGGTTTAATAACTGTGCCCTCTCTGACTGATTTACGCTTTGATAACTCATTTTGAAATTCATTGTATAAAAGATCATAGTTAGGAACACTATGGGAACGACGTAAGCGCTGTTTCTTTTTTGCTAATTTAGCCTGTCTTGCTTTTTCAACTCTTGCCTGTTCCTTTAACTTTTCTCTGGCAGCCATGTTAGGTGGTAATGATGCTTCATTTAAGAGTTCTTTTGATCTCATTTTTACTCTGATTTTTCTGAGCTCTTCTTCTGCCATTAGCTTCTCATCAATTTCTGGACTAAATATATGTTGTGGAACTGGCTTTGCTTTGAAAACAGGCTTAGGTTTATCAGTTTTCAACAACGGCGCTGAATGAGATTGTCTTTTCTTCTCTTGCTCTCTGATTTCAAAATTAAAGGGCTTCACTTGAGATTGAAGAAGTTCCTGACAATATTGTTTTACATATTTTCGTCGGGATTCATTTTTTTCCATTATTTCTTCATACTTAGGGAGGTAAACATGAGATGGTACTGGCTGGGCTTTAAATTTCTTTTCACATTCTGCCTCTTCTTCTTTCTGCTTTTCTAGACGTCTTCTCTCCAACTCCATTTGAGCAGATGTTTTTTTCTTTTCTTTAACAGAATCTCGAACTGTCATCCTAAAAGGTTGAGGTATTGTGATTCGATGTCTCCATTCTTTTTTTGCAACATTTTTCTCTCTGTCCTTATCCTGCATGGAAGAGATTGAATGCCTTCTATTGCTGTATTCAGAAATGTTAAAATCTTCCCATAGTTTATCAACCTTTGCTAGAGCCTCATCATATTTATTAGATTTAGTAATAATAAAATTACTATCTTTTTCTTCTTTTGAATTTTCAAAAAACATTTGCAATTCATCACTACTAAGAGTACTAAATTTCCTATCTAATGGTGCAGAGTTAGGTCTATCTTTTTTGTATTGTGATGTTAGAGTCAATGACTTGCTAAGTACAGGTTCATCTGAGAAATTACTTCTAGTTTTTGGTATTGGGGGCTTTGATAGAATGATGCCTTTGTTGTCTTTACCCATTATTGGCTTGTTAGTGCCATTGACAGAAAAGTCATTCTCATATTCATCTGAATAATAATCACCTCTAATATCTTCAAGAATAAGTTTTTCTTGATAAATCCTTTTATATGCTTCTAAAGTTTGTTTATTTTCTTCTTTAAGTTGTTTTAGTTTTTCATAGAACGAGTCTCCTTTAAGAAAGTCTAAATGATCACTTGTGTCGACAGAAGAAAATCTTGATTCATCTCCAATATCACCACTGCCACTTCCTTGAAAACCTAACTTTTCGGGATCATTAATGCATCCAGTTGGCGATAAGCTGAAGTTATGAATTTCATTATTTGATTCATCGAATCTGAGTTTACCATTTCGTTTATCATGCATTGTTGTTTTCAAACCCGTTTTTGTATTAATTGGTGTTTTAACACAGTTATTAGCCCAAACTGAAAGCCCGTGGCTTGTTGACGCCATGGTTGCCATATAAATACTCAACAAATTAGGAACGCAGCTAAAGTCTATGTTATATTGATCTTACAATAGATTATAAATAATTACAGGAGATTACATATAATAATTAATTATCATGCAATAGAAAAACAGAAGTAAATATAATGCCAGATCTAAATTAGGTTCTAAAAATATAGCCCAAAAAATTGCGTTGAAAATGTTCGTTTGCAGCCCTGGTATTAATGGGAAATTACTCCAAAGTTAAAATGGCGCTCAGGATAAACACAGCTCACCTTGTAATCAAGCATACTCAACGACTATTTGCTTTAAATTTAATGAGGCGTTTCTCAAGTACTACAAATCCCAATATTAAAAATGAAGATTATGCCGATGTTGTTATTTCTGGAGGTGGAATGGTTGGTGCTGCGATGGCATGTGCATTAGGTGGGGTTTTCCGTAATAATTAATTAATTAAATTAAAAGTTTAAAATTTAAAAGTTAAAAGTAAGGTAATCTATCGTTTTAGGTACGTAAAATCGGCCGCGGCTAGTAATGTACGAAAAAGTTACCTCATTGTCAAGGCTTTAATTAATATAAGTATATATTAGGTTGAATTATGGATTTTTTAAAATAAAATATTCTGTTATTTCAAATACACCATTAAGTTCCTTACCCCTTAAGAGAACATTTGACACCACATTTAAATATCTAGCTTATTCGGTTGACGAGAAAAAAGAGAATTTGAAAATTTAGCTAGAATGGAAAATGAATGACAAAACGAGAATCTTGCTCCTGGACCGGCATAACATGACGCCGTGAACTTGTGTGCACGAGCTTTTAATTCCCGCCATGGTAATTGCGTCAGCTTAGGTCATTTACTCACCGGAAAATAACAAAAAGCAACTGGTTGATAATAAAACTTAGATCTAGTTATTTTATTATTTATTAAATTCTACTCTACATTTTATTCATACCATTTTAAGAAATAATGAACACCTACATAAATCAAACGACCATAATAAATATTTTTATTTCAAATTCTAATTTTAAATAATAAATATGCATAAAATAATATGATAGTAATAGTTAAGATAGTTTATAAATGCAAATACATTTTACACTCAATCACATTATATTGAGTCAACAGTGTGGCAGCTGAGGTTCATACATGGTATTAGTGTCTTTTTTTTTTTTTACATTACATTTTTTTCATCTTGAAAACATGACGTATGTGATTTTTTTAAAAATAAAATCTCCAAACATCGTCACTCGCGTGATTGCTTGCTTATGTTTACTATCCTGTGGATGAAAAATCCCACCACGGTCGCGGGGTCACCGTGACTTCAGCAGGCCTACAGTACACGTCATAGGATGAACACGCGTACACGAGATGGTCGGTGTCTTCACTTCTCTCTCTCCCCCCCCCCCCCCCTCATCTTCTTCAAGCAAATTGAAAAAGAGACCTACTTCCCTACTTCTGGTCATTTTTTTTAGTTCGGTAATTTTTTTTTTTAAGTTCGGATATCAGGCATGCTAGACAGCCAGCTGTATAAAAAAAATATTTTTTAAACTAGATCTACGTCTAGCTTAAAAAAATAAATAAATAAACGCTTAAAATGCCCGTAAACAGATTATTAAGCGCCAAAAAAAAAGGCCGCTGAACGAGCATTTTTTACAATACGCAGCAATGAAAAAGGCTAACGGCCAATCAATTAAGTCTAAAAATCGCCCGTAATTAGGCCTAGCTCTGAAAAAGGCCACTGAACGAGCAACACTGATTATATAAACGAATAGGCCACGCGGCGTTGACGAGGTCAACCACCGGTCACGAATGCAGCAACGGTCGGCCCACAGTGAAGAAAAAATCAATATACTAATAAAATTACTAATACAATAATAATGTCTATAATTTTACTTTTTCCACACATGCTACAATTGATTTATAATTAAAATACTAGACTTAACAGTTCATTCCGTAAAAAACAAAAACTAGTTGTTTCAGTCTGGCAACTAGCGTAACAATGACGTCATGATACTTAAAATAGCGGATAGAAATGTCAGCGTGGGTACCTCATCCTCGAGGAAGATTTTAGAAAAAGTAATCAAAAATACTGTAAATATACATGATAAATATATCAATTATATATTAATGTACAGTTAGTCGAGCCGTTTTCCCCGTTAGTCGGTCGTTTTTGGCGCAATTCAGTTTTTACGGAGAGTGCTCCACTAGAAATCCTCTCATTATTTACAAACACGAATCTTGCGATTTTTTCTGGCATTCTAAGGCATATTATCCATTTTATTAGCAATTTGCATTAAAATAATGATGATAATTTGTGATATAAACAGTTTTTTCATTTGTCGTGGATGGGACCCCTAAAATAAACGGAAAAACCGTCAGAAAACGATGCGTGACGTTTCAGGGTCAGAGGTCAATCCTGCCATCTAAGCAATGCGCCAGACTAGTATATATATTGTGATATATTTGTGTCAAATATTATAGTTAGGCTACATGAATAATAAACCTAAATCAATGACTAACAATATAGACCAGAAATTAACTTTAAACAGCAGTGTTTGCGAGCAAGATTTCCTATATAAACAGCAGCCATTTGTAAAATAGAGTTGCCTTCCCCTGAATCTCGCGCTATAAGTTTAAAAAAAAAAAACTTAAACAACATGGCTGCTATAGTAAATGAGCATGGTTGCATCTGTTGGAAACATCGCTAATCTTCATTTGTTACTGAAAAGTTTTAATTCAATTGTTTAAAACCAGGTACATAAATGAAACAAGGAAACATTTTTGTATTTTTCAAAACATAAATCCTCCTCAAAATGTGAAAAAATTATTAAAATTTAAGGAGTCACCTGTTTTTCACATTACTAGTCGCGGGCGATTTTACGTACCTAAAACGATAGATTACCAATTAAAATTATTATTAGATCTTTTTAGATTGAACGGTAGGGGTAAAGCGGTGAACGGAAAAAAGTCACAGGAAAAAAAAAACACAGAAAAAAAGTCAGTTTTTGCTAGGAAAAAAAGTCACAGAATAAAAATTTGATTATGTTATAATTCATAAAAGTATTGACAATTTCCATGCAAATATATAATTGTGACTTTTTTTCCTACAATCGGGTAAAGCAGGGAGTAATCCTTCGTTTTAGGTACGTAAAATCACCCGCAACTAGTAATGTGAAAAACAGGTGACTCCTTAGATTTTAATAATTATTTCACATTTTGAGGAGTATTTATGTTTTGAAAAATACAAAAATGTTTCCTTATTTCATTTATGTACCTGTTTTTAAACAACTGAATTAAAACTTTTCAGTAATAAATGAAGACTAGCGATGTTTCCAACAGATGCAACCATACTCATTTACTATAGCAGCCATCTTGTTTATTTTTTTTATTGTAAACTTATAGCGCAAGATTCAGGGGAAGCCACTCTAACTTACAGATGGCAGCTTTTTATACAGCAAATCCTACTCGCAAACACTGCTGTTTAAAGTTAATTTCTTGCCTATATTAATATATTTAGCCATTGATTTAGGTTTATTATTCATTTATCTATAATATTTGACACAAATATATCACAATATCTATTAAAGCCTTGACAATAAGGTAACTTTTTTGTACATTACTAGCAGCAGGCGATTTTACGTACCTGAAACGATAGATTACCAAGCAGGGCATTAAGAGCTGTGTGATATTAGGCCCCGATCAGCACCCCACTCCCACAAAACCTCCAATAACACTGCTAATCTACTTCTGAGGTAACAACCACTGCTTTTCTTTGATAACAGAAAAGCAGAGGATTAATTTTATGTAATCTATGACCCACTTTGTCCAATAGGGAGAAGATGAGACAGGATTTAATCCCACTGCTCTTTCCTTAAAATTTCTCATCTCCATAAAATCATTTTGTGAACTTTTTTTCCAAATAGACATAACTTGAGAAAGTTCACTTTGTAATAAACCAAATGAGTTTTTCAAGCCCATTCTTTGTTACTGTATTAGAGCATTGGTTATTGTACATTTTAACACTATTTTTATAGCTATGGCTAGAATAGTTTTATTTTGGTGAATTTTTTTTGCACAGTGATTATTGGTGCCAAAACAAAATGGCCGACATTTGTCCCGTTTTACCATGCTATAAAGTTTTATCATTATCAGAGTAAAACATACAGAATGCAGAGAATTAGATCTTTTACTTACATGACAAATTTCGTTTATCTATGTGAAACAGTACTCATGTTAGAGGCTTTTGAAAAACCACAAGTGGAATAAGTTCCACTTCTGGTTACCGGAAATTGCTGAAAAGTTGATACAGAACTACAAATTTGAAATAATTTTTATATATGAAATTTTATCCACCTAGCTGTAACACCAGAAGTCTGGAACATTCCAGAAATGACCTCTGAACCCAAAAATGGCTTGGGGTTGATACTGATTTTGGTAAAAAAGGAGAGGGGTTTCACTGGGTTGAATGATAACTTTGCTGATAGATCTGTATCTGAATCTCATTGATACTTTAATGCAAGACTACATAGAAGTAGAACTGGCTGCTTGTCCAATCGGTTGCCAAAAAAAACAATGCTATTTCACATGAATACAAATAGAAAAGTATAGATCCTTAAAAATCTTTCTCTTCTCTTTGGTGCAACTTTAAAGTTTATTATTTTTTATTTTAAAAAATCACTGGAGCTTATTTTAAAATAATGCATGTGAAAAGTTTCTATTGGCTCTTAAGTGAAAAAATTCATAAAATCTCTAATTGTAATTTGTGTAGTGTAAATCATAATGTATTAATATTGCAGATCAATTTATATTCATATTATTTCAATTCCATTAGCTGCAAAATCATCTTAATTGATTTTTGATGTAACATTATTTCAGGAAATAACAGTGCTTTAAAAGATAAAAGAATAATTTTGCTTGAAATGGGAAAAGACATGGGTAGTTATGTTCTTCCAGAAAAATATGGCAACAGAACTTGTGCTCTTAGTCCAGCAACAGTACGTTTACTTAGTAGTAAGTATACAATTACTTTAGAGTGAAATATACAATTACATTAATAGTATCAATAAGTATACATTTGCTCCAGCAGTAAGTATACATTGACTTTAGGTCAGTAAATATTGTTTTACGTTTACTTTTACTACTTATTTTTGTATAACCCCCATTAAAATATGATTTTACCAGCTTTTGGTGCCTGGCAAGAAATTGAAGCAATGCGACACCATCCAGTTCTTAGAATGCAGGTAACTTGATTTTAAAAAACTATTGTTTGGACATTTTGTTAAGTAAACATTTTTAGATGGCATTAATATGCAGCAGCTACTTTTAAAGTTACTTTATCAGTGAAATAAAACTTGGTAAGCACAAAGGATTGACAATGTTTAGCCTTCTTAAGATGTTCTTTTAAAATGCTGGTTGATGCTAGTTTCAAGTTAATATAAGGAAATTATGTCCAATTGAATTGTTTTTTCTTTAGGTGTGGGACTCATGTTCTGACTCATTGATAACATTTAATAATGAAGACATGACTGATAGTCTAGCCTACATAGTAGAGAATGATGTTATTCTAGCTGCCATTATGAAAGCATTAAAAGCCATGAAAGACAGGGTAGAAGTTCGTTATGAAACCAAAGCTGTATCCTTTAGCAACATAAGCTGTGAAAATTCTACGGAGTCCAGATTTCCATATGTTGAAATGACTCTTAATGATGGATCCACATTAAAAACAAAATTATTGGTAAGCCTAAAAAGTTAATAAAATGTTTTTTTGTATTCTTCAAATATTCTCATGCTTTTTAGGAAACTTCATTTACAAATATTTTTAGCAATGTGTTGTTCAAACGAAAATGCAACCTTCATTGTTCAGAATTATTTAAATGTTAATTTTTGATTGATTTCAAAAGTTAGATAATTTGAGCAATATTTTCAGGTTGGTGCTGATGGTATGAATTCTAGTATTCGAAAAGCTGCAAAATTTCATACAGTGAAAAGAGACTATGATCAAAGTGCTGTCGTAGCAACCTTGATGCTTGGAGATGTAAGAATTGTTGTTCAACACTTTCTGTTATCCAGCTTTGTGTTTATAATTAACTTGTATGAAAATATAAAGATGGAGCATTTTCTTTTTTAGAGAGAAATCTGTTAATGTTGTTGAGTGAGATTTATAAAATAAATAAATTAGCTGTTTTATAGTAGTATAACTTAGCTAATTTAATGCTTTCAATTATGATCTTATTTTAATTTCAGACAATTAGTAATGATACAGCTTGGCAAAGGTTTTTACCTACAGGTCCAATTGCCCTTCTTCCGGTAAAATTTACTTTAGATTAACCATATTTCATTTTACACTACTTGTAGAATACTTTAATTCTAGTAAGATTTCCTGTTGTCAGGGTGCTAAAGTTATACTGATTAAAGCTCAAAAATGATATAATATTGAATAGTTGTGAGAGAATCAAGTCTAAACAACATTAATATGCAAATGTTTTTTTCATATTATTATATAAGTTATTATGAAATATGCTGAATGATTTTTTTTTTTCAAAATGTTCAGATGAGCAACACTTTGTCATCTTTAGTGTGGACAACAACACATGAGAATGCCAAACATTTACTGCAGATACCAAGTGACAGTTTTGTGGATGCTATTAATGATGCTCTAGTAGGCAGACATTTTGTTACATTTGACTGTTTTAATAACTGGTTGAAGCCACTATTTTAATGTTTTAAATACCATAACAAATGTTTTTTTTAAAAAAGATCTTTGGCTTATGTACTGAGTGTAGCATATCTTTTTTTCTGTTTATTCTTTTATTTTACTTTTTAAATGTGCAGTGGCACGAGCGAGAAAAGAATGCTTTAACTGGACAAGTTCTTGGTGTTTTCAAAAATCTTTTGCAAAATGTTTTACCAGGTAATTGTTTTAAAAAATTTCATACATTTCCATTAACAGTAATTTAGCATAAGAATTGTGTAAAACCAAGGAAGTTGAATGCTGGACCAGCTAATGATTTGGCTGTAAATAATAGCTAAAATTTCTTTTTAAATCCATTTTACACTCCAACACTTAATTTCGTTACATATTAAACAATGTTTACTATAGATAATTGGATTGGTTTAGGCTTGTCGTCCATATAATGAACCACTTAATGCCAATTATTACAGGTACAGATTCTGCACGTCAGCTTCCTCCAACAGTTATTGATGTTCAGGAGGGGTCAAGGGCAGCATTTCCACTGTCTCTAATCCATTCTTCTCAGTATGTTAGACCAAGGGTGGCATTAATAGGGTATGAACTGATTTTAAATAGGAATTTTAACTCAACAATTTTTCTCCATTTTGTTGAATTGGGTATCCTCTCTGCAATTAGACAGAGTTCTAGACTATGAGTTTTAAAAATTTAGCTCTTGCACCTTGTATGAAGCATGATTTTGTTTTCTGCCTTGATGCCCAAAATTGTAAACAAATGTTTCAGAGATGCTGGTCACAGACTACACCCACTTGCAGGCCAAGGTGTTAATTTAGGCTTTGGTGATGTGGAAAACCTGAATGAAGTTTTGACTAAAGCTGCTCACAATGGTGCTGACTTGGGTAATTTTGTTACTAATATTTTATTCAGATATAAAACAAAAAATATTTTTGAACTCCAATGTATGGTAAACAAACACATAACTTTAACTCTCTTTACTTCAGTTTACTTATTTCATAACTAAGAAAATTTACTGTCTTTTTATAGCTGGGATTTTATTACTGTGTAAAATACTTCTAATTATTACTACAATACTGTAAATTACTTTGGTCAACATGTCAGTTCTAAAGTTTTGAACTCCCTGTAAAAAATTGAGTATTTATAGATTTCCATTTTTTTTCTTCCTTATTTTGTTTAGTAATAAATAACAGGTAAAAGTAGTAATGAGATTTTTAGTGTTGGTGTTGTCATATAATTTACCATCCTCAACTACAATTGTATTAGCCCATCTACATCAAAACTACTTATTCACTTCTTGTAGGTTCTCTCACACATCTGCTTCAGTTTGAGACAGAACGACAACGGCATATCGTGCCTGTCATGCTGACAATAGATGCCTTACAAAGACTTTACTCAACTGAGTTTACTCCCTTGGTACTGGCACGCAGCTTGGGTCTTCATGCTGTTCACTCAATCCCTATTGTTAAGGTGATTTTTCTTCTTTTTTTATACATGATATCAGTAAATAGAAAATCAAGAACACAGAGTTTTATTTTATATAATTATCACAGTTTATTATGTATATATATATATTAAGCTTTTTGTAAAGCAAACATTGAGCATAAGCAACTGTCCCTGATAAAATATTGTGTGTTATCATTGGAATAAAAGTTTAAAAAATCTTTCAAATGCTGAATGCATGCAAAATATCTGCTAAAAAGTGGTCTTTAAATTATCGGCATTAAAAGTACTTAAACATCATATTGTTGCATTTTTATACAAACTTCAATAAATCTGTTATTCATCATTGATCTTAAAATAGTTTTTTCTTCATTTAGTGTTTCTTATTCTGTATTTCCCTTACAGAAATTCATTATTGACCGTGCATCAGTTTGAGACAGACAAGAACATGCTGTGATTTTTTTTTTACTACTCTTTTCATAATTTATGTTTATAGATGTACTTGTATATGAGAATAAATAATATTTTATAAGTGTAAAGACTTAGTTGTTAATGCATTGACAAATGTAATGTGTTGTTATATATATTGCTGTAACAGTCTGATAAAAAATCTCTCCAGATGTGTCAACTGACTCAAAATGGGTGTAAACAAACAAAAACACTGGTCAAGTAATTTTGGCCATTAAATTATAACAAATAGAAACATACATTGGTTGTACAATAACTGATTGTCAACACCTAGAAAATTAAGGTAATTGAATAAGCATGTGAAATATAATAAAATCTTTTTGATAAGTAGTCAAAAGTTCTTGAAATAGGAAATGGTGAAATCATTTTTACAATTAGAAAATTCAGAAAAACTGGCACTAACATTTTAAACACAAAAAATATTTAAAGGAAAATTTACTTTCATGTAACTGATTGACATGCCTGAAATGAAAGGTCCTGAAATATGGATGTGTCTGGGAGTAGATTTACTATTGACTTTCTGTTGGATCACAAATTGAATTAAAATATTTCTTTACAAATGAACAACTGGCTTTGTAAGCTTATTTTTTTTTGTGACACTAAATAATTTATAACAAAGAAAAGGTATTAAATAACATATTATAATTAGGGCTATTATGTTATTAGAAGACACTATTCTTTTCCCTGTTTCTAATTACTTCTGTTGTTTAAGAAATGGCTCAAATAAAAAACATGCATGAGATTAATAAGAAGAAACTTTTATTTAAGAAACAAGAGGAAGAAAATAAAATTATTTTCTTTAAATATAATAATGCCCCACTATTTATTTAGATTACAAAAGAGAGGGTCACGATTTTGTTTATAAAAAAAACTATGAAAATAGGCATGGCTCAACATTAAAAAAAGCCTACAAATAATTATAAGTGCTACATATCAAGTAATATAATATGCTCATATAAATACACCAGAACTTATATACTGATTAAAGCAAATATTATTTACGAGCTGACCCGCGAAGTTGTATACACCGCCATCTAGTTGTTTTATTTTCTGCTTATTGCAATTCATAATTTGTGAATTCAACACTACCCCCTCCCACCCCCCCTTTCTTGTGTTGAACAGCATCAGACCTTTGTAGCCTATTCTACATGCTGGTCCACAGAATTAGTTTCTTGTTCAGCATTCAGCAGTTTTCTTAAAGACTGTAGTGCATTCTTTGCCTGCATTATAGTTTAGACGAATCAGGGAAAAATAATAATCTTATAATCTAAGTTTGTTATTTATTACCTGTACACCAATTCTTTTTGGAATTTCATCTGATCTCATCTATATTTTATAGTATAAGTTAAAAAGTGCTGTTTTTAGAATTACCTTATTGGCCAGATTCTCGTCTGACATATGAGAAACTTTTTCCCACAGCTCCATACACAGATCTAGGTCATCTGATTTTAAAGCCACATCACCAGCCACCAGCATCAGAGATTGATTCTCAGGCTCATTTGCTAACACTTCTTTCAGGTAAGGGTATGCCTCTGTGTGCCGCTTCATTAAGCGATAACAATCAAATATTTTTGTCTTCAGCTCCTGACAGCAGGAGAGATGTTTTAAATTGATTATTGTACAGTAAAAATTCAGATTACCTCTTAATTTTTAATAGAGTTGAATTTTATATTCTTTATTGTATTAAAATGTGTAAATGTTGTTCATATATATTTTTTTTTAAACTAATATTTAGAGTTTCTTTTTTTTATTCCCAATAATTTTAAATTAATCAGAGTTGTATTTATAAGCAGGAATCTTTTTTTTAGAATTTTGTGCTAGTTAAGAGAAAGATTATAAAATTAAAAATAGTCTACATTGTATTTAAATTATGGTCCATACATTTCACTTTTACTGAAATTTTTAACAAAAAATTGTCTTCTAAATAAAAACTTACAATTGAATTTGGGTACATTTCCAGGCCGTCTTGTAAAATTGAAATAGCAGCTTCCATATTGTCTTTGAGTTCACACCATTCAGCACCAACTTTGTAGGATGTCCAATTAAAATCAGGGTTATTTTTATCCATTGTCCTCACCAACTCTTTAAGTCTATTGTAGTCATTTGAAGGCAACACATAATTCTGCACAAAATATGCTGTCAGCTCATTATTTCCTGGCCAACTGATGACACAATTGTTAACAGCATTTTGTTTACATGTAAACATTAAAGTTCAATAAAATGATTATTGTATTCAAGAAACAATTGTTTTTTTTAAAAATTATAACAACTGTTGTTGAGTGTTAGGAGTTGTCAATAAATGACACCACACTCATGAGAGTAAAGAGGGGTTAGAAGTTAGTGACAAAGTATAACAAAGTTAAGTTAGAAACTAAATTTTAACAGTTATTTTAACAGTTATTTAACATTTTGAATAATTTTGGTGTAAATTGAAATAAAAATGGATCAATATTCTCACTGTTAATAACTTCAGTAAATATCATAGAAACAGATATGGAGGGCTGTAGGATGAGGTTGTATGTCATTTTACTCTCTCTGTGTGTGTGTGTGGGGGGGGGGTGACTTTTTGTGATAATAGGATGGGGAGGTAAAAATCATTTTTTGAAAATGTGATGTCCTTTATGGATTGCCCCTTATTTTAGAATGCTTTTATAAATGCTTACATGTTGTGCAAAGCATATTCAACAGTTTGTTCCTTTGGTCTCTCAGGAGGATTTTTTAATGCAGCTGCTGCTTTTTTATCACAATAGTCAAGAAGTATAAATGTATTGGGTAACCTCAGCTTGGGTGAGTTTATGTGACTAATGGCAACTTCTGCAGCTTCTTCAAACATTTCTATATGTGTCAGATATTTTATCATTTCCCTGTGTACTGTTGCAGCCCCTTGATCCACTTGATTTGTTCGCTGAAGCATTGCAACTGCAAAATCATTAATATTAATTATGTACTTTCTGTATTTTAAAAGTTTATTTTAAAGATATATTTTATATTTACACAACATAAAATAATGATTAGACCTACTATAGCTAGATTAAAATTGTCAAAACATATAGTATGTTCACTAGTCTATTTTTAAAAAAAAATATTTACTCTTAGTATTGCATGTTTATAAATTATACAGGTTTTAAAGAAACAATTATTTCAAGATAGTTTATCATTTAATGCTAGAAAGAAAAAAATATATACATTTTGGGCATTCCAAACAACAACCATGTAAATTGCCTTTGTCTGAACTTACAAACATTCAAAAAAATTGGAAGAGCCTCTTCCCACTTATTCATACTGATGAGATTTAAGACAAGATTTTCTTGTGCTTGCCACATTTCATTTTGTTCTAGTTTGACTTCATTGAACTGTCAATAGTGAATATATAATAAGTGAAGCTATATGGTTTTAATTGAATTCTAATGTATAATTACATTAAATATTTTTTTAATAGATAATTTTGACCAGTGACAACATTACCATATTATTAATATTATATATCACTTTTCAAAATCAAAAACAAATTAATTTTAAATTACATTAGATACCTCTAGAATTTTTATGGCTTTTCTAGTATAATCTTCTGCTTCAATAAAGTTTTTACGATAGAACTCAAGCGATCCAAGATTCATATAACAAGTTGCTATCACTTCGTGATTCCACCCAACAGCATTTGCTTTCACTTTTAGAGACCTACAAACAAACAAAAGATATGATTATTTCTTTAAATATTTTCATTACCTTTTTCTCCTATTTCACAATAATTCACCTTTATAATTAAAAATAAATTTAAGTCACCTCAAATACATTTTTTCTGCCTCTTCAACATTATTCATTTTTCTCCAGCATATTGCCATATTGGTTAGAAGATTTCCTACAACCAAAGGTAAGTAACCAAAGTAGAGTTCTTCAAATGTCTGACGAAATAATTATATTTATAGCATTAAATTCAAAAACATTTTGCATGTTATAAAATTTGCTATATATTTAATTATTTTATTTATAAGAATCTATACACTATATTATATACTATAGAATTAGAAGCTCTAAACTTGTTTATTAGTGTAAATTTCTATTAAACATTAAATTCTGTATATAAACAGTAGTGTAATGCATAATATACATGTATTACAAAAGTGTATCCTTATTTAACAATTATTCTTTTAGGAAAAACTAGTGGTCTAAATATTACCTGCATAGCTTCATTGAAATACTGTAAAGCCACTTCAGGCTCATCATTTTCTAACTTAATAACTCCAATGTTTTGAGTTGCCTCTGCTACACACTGCAAATTGCCAAGTTCTTTATGAAGTGAGACAGATTCTAGAAATAAAGGCTCTGCCTGTTTACAATAAAAGAAACATGTTATTTCTTAAATTTAGCATGTTAATTTAATTAAATAAAACTATTAGTGACAATTTTTTAAAGCCATTAACTTATAAAATGCTATTTCTTGAAATAAAGCAAAAATCCCCAAGTTTTAATATAATCTATGGTTACTTGAAGATTAAGTGCCAACCAAAAACAACCTCTTTGTAATGTTTTTGTCGTAAGTGAAGAACACCCAACCCATTACAGGAATATGCTAAAGTTTGTTTTATTCTTTTATCATCTGTCTCTTGGAGAAGCCTAGGAAGATAAATTTAGTTTAAATGAATGTTTACTTAAACAACATAATGCCAATTTTAATTTGTTAAATTAAAAAATATAATTTTGGTGATTGTATAATTATCATGCTGGGAATACACCACTTGAATATTTTTAAAACAGATTTTTAATTACAACATACAGATTGTATTTGCATTTTATTATAACTCAATTTCTCTACTATATTATTACTGAGTATATTAATATAAACGGGTAGAGCACTAGGATGCTAACATGAAAGTCTCAAGTTCGAATCCCAGTCAGTAGAGCATCCCTGAGTCCATCCAGCTATGATGGGTACCTAACTCATGTTAGGGAAAGTAAAGGCGGCTGGGCAAAGTGCAAAGAAACATATGAATTCTACTTCATCTGCCCAATGGATCACTAGGTCTAAAGAGGATTCTTTACTATATCATGATAGGAAACATTTATGGGCAAAGCAAATTGTAATAAATGATAAAAGCAACATTAGATAATATATAAAGACGGTCAAAAACTTTTTGAAACACCTGGTTTATAAATAAAAACTATAATTTTCAACAGTTTTAATACCTTCTACATTCAGTCATGACAGCTTCATGTAAAGACTGAGCTTTATCATACTCAGTATTGTCCACATAAGCACATGCCAAATAATACTGGCTGTCTCTTAAAAGTGTTAACCTTACATCTTCAGGTATTTTGGTTTTAATTCCTTCCTGCTAGACAGTATCAAAGTAACAAAAATTTATAAAAGAAAAAAAGAAGGATAAATTAACATAAAATGCTAGTTAATCTAAATATATCAGGCTGCTGGTGAAAACAACTTTTACATTTTTTTTTTTTAAAACTAATGGCCTATAACAAAATTTCTTGTTTAGTGATTGTTTAGTTCTAAAAACTTACCAAAATCTGTATTGTACGCTGCAAGATTTTAACTTGGGCTCTGTAGTGACTAGCTAAAGAGAACATATCTTTCATTGATTTCAGAACAGGGTACAGCTGTCAAAAGAAAACAAATGTCTATTGATTGTATGACTTTATTAATATGTGAATGATTACTCGAATCAATAGGACACCAAACATATTTTATTTTTAAAAAATGAAGCTCAGTTTTTCTAACAAGGTTGGATAGATGCATTTGTGCCAAATTTATTTCAAGATCTTTGAATGGTAAAAAGATAGCTCACTTGACACAAAAGTGGAATTAATAAAGGAAAGATCCCTTCATGACACTCACTTAACGCTTAGAAATTTAAATTGTCTATGTTTAATTATGCTACCATATAACCAATTTTGGTTTTAATGTCTCTGAGCCTAAGCAGGTTATGTACAATTTGGAACAACTGAAATACCCAACAACTTACAATGTAACCAGGGGGCTCTGGGTTAGTGACTTGGTGTTCCATCTGGTATGTATATATTTCAGTAATTGCTTGGTCAACAGAGTAAATCAGTGTTTCGCATATTTTGTATTGATCATATCCAGTTGATTCCCATAAGCTAATAAGTTCATAGGCATGTGTGCTTTAAAAAAAACCCAATAGATTTAATTATGTTAAAAAATAAAAATAAAACAATAAATATTTAAAACCCAACCAAACAGACCAATCAACATCAAACTCTTCACAACTGAATTTGATGATAAACTAAATGAAGGAAAGATGTCTGAAAAAAATGTGATAACCATTTAGAAAAACTTAACAACTGGAGTGTCTGGTTTAAGACAGAGAATTAAAATACTACTCTAATCAGGTGTATCAGTGAAATACAGATCTAGATACACAAAGGGGATGAAAAAAGAAGCCAATAAAAACAAGTGATACTTTAAAATATAAGTTTCAACCAGAATAATTGCAAAACATTAAAAATATTACAATGATCTTTAATTTTTTTTCCTTAATTTACCTTGCAAGTTCATGGAAAATATTAATATCAGACAAAGTTTGAACCAGACCATCAGTGTCTCTCACTTCAAGCTGTAAAAATGGCAGTTCAGTGGCTATTCTTTTAACTGAAGGACTGCTGATAATACCAGAGGTGATTCTATTTTCCTAACAATAAAGAAATGATAATTTGAAATTAGCTAAAGTTATAACAAATGTCATTAGAACAATAAAAAAACAACAGTTACTGTTATATAAAATAAAAATATTTAGTTAAATAAGAACAAAGAGAAAAAAATCCATAAAACATTTATTTACTAACTTGTCTCAATCTTTCAAAATATTTGATTAAATGATGAGCTGAAGCTGACCTAAACAAGGATTAAAAAGTTTTAAAAAGTTTTAAAATATTAATTGATTCCAAAATTTAAATTACTTGTTCCATCTAATTTAAACCTCATTATTAGCTTTTTAATGTCCAAGACATTATTAAGACAGTATTAAGTATCTTTACCTCTTATCCTCTGTGTCTAAGTACCGCTCTGTTACTGCCTGATGCAGCTCAGTGAAAGCAAACCTATACACATACAAGTATTCATGATATTATTTGGTTATTTTAAATTAAATGTTTAAAGTAAAGATGTCTTTATAAATCATTGGTAGGAGTCTATAATTTTATTCAGTTGGCTGGCAAACAGTTAGGATATTTGATAAAAATAATTATAATCAGTGTAAGTGAAAAACTTTTTAATTTATTAAATTGACAGAGACAAAAAACTCGTATGAAAAAACATGTGGGGGTTAAAGCTTAATGATCATCCCATCTTTATCTTAATCATACCTAGTAGAAATTTAATATTTAAACCATGATTATATTCTTTAGCGCTTTGGAATATTTTGATGATTTTACTGCTAATTATTCACTGCTGATATAAATATATATTTTAAAATATTAATGATTGTTTATTTAAAATGCTATGCCACATCTTGACAGTGTCAATAAATGATTGTCCTTAAAATAAACTTAATAAATTTAATAAATTATCCATTCGATTTTTTTCTCACCTAAGCAGGCCATTGTGAATAATTAAAAAATTTTCAATGGTAAAATAAAATGGTGACCACACATGAGAAGTGAGGTTAAACATTTCTAAAATTTCAGTTTCTGTCAATCCATTATGTGAGACTGCCAATGCACTCAGAACCTGAAGAGAGATTTATTCACATATTTATAGCTGAAAATTTTAATTTCTGGCATGGAATAGAAAATATTCATACCTTTAGATTTACAATATGTTTAAAAATGTTACGGGTAGCATAGTTGAATGGTAGAGCCTACAAAAGCTAACTTTTTTTATGGGGGGGGGGGGCACTTGAAACTTTCGGGGGGGGGGGGGCGGTAGACTTTCTTTGGGGGGGGGGGGGGCGGACACTGTTAAAGGTATATATTTTCTATATAAATTATATAAATTTCATTTTGTTTGGGGGGGGGGGTATTGTCCCCCCCCCCCCTCCCCCTGAAGAGATGCCTGGAAGAAACTGTACTTGAGTCAAGTTAGGAAATGTAAGGGGTGCTATTCTTAGTCCTGACCACAATATTTCTTCCATATCCCAATGTCTACTTAATTTGTTCTATATTGGATTTTAACCATTTTTTTACATGCATAACATAATATCTAATCAGCAGAATTGTAAAAAAAAAAAACATATTAATCTGCAGTTACAGTTAAAACTTGATGAATTTTTTTAAAAAGTTAAATATATTCCTTACATTCAAATGAAACAAATATATCATATAGCATCCTTCTAGTTTACAACATGTTCAGAATTAAATCAAAAGAATCTCAAGAAACAACTTTTCAAACAGTCTTTACTTAATAGGCTGAACTTCTGTGAATGGTAACTCAACTTTGTCAACAAAGAACAAACCTGTTGGACCACTGGAGTTGGTGGAGTCTTAACATTGTAGTCCTCTTCCATTCTCTGTAGAACTTTGCTTAAAACATCGGTTACACTAAAAAAAATATCATGTCTTGTTAATCTCTCAAAATAAATGTATTCAACTAATTAGTTTCATATTTAGAAATAAAAAAAACAATATATATATATATATATATATATATATATATATATATATATATATATATATATATATATATATATATATATATATATATATATATATATATATATATATATATATATATATATATATATATATATATATATATATATATATATATATATATATATATATATATATATATATATATATATATATGATGTTGGGAGTGTAGCATCAAATGAAGGTGATGAAGACATTCAGGGTAGGATCAGCAAAGCAAGAAATACCTTAAGCTAGCTACTAGAGTGGAAATCAATTATCAAGAAAAACCAAAATCAGAAGAATTGTCATAAATGTGAAGTGTGTTTTACTGTTTGGAGTACATCAACAATAAAGCTCAGAGGTTTTAAAAACAGGTCTCAGAGACACATTGCGAAAATACAATAGCCAGAAAAAAAATCTATGCTGAGATGCACAGACAGTAATAACAGCATTAGCATTAGAGAGTAACCCGGGGGTAAAGAGGAAGAGAGGAGGGTGGATAATCAAAAATGCCAGGGAGGTGATTGAAATAGATATGGCAAGAGGATTGAGTTTTAAAAGAAACCACCTATTGTGTTAGTTGGTGAAATGTCTTCTTTCAATGCTTCTCAAGAATGAATAATAACAGAATATTTTCTGGAATATCTCAGAAGTATTATTTGTATAAAATAATAATTGGAGAGCACGCTTAACATAGTAATGTATTTTTTAACATGTATGCATACATTTATAATTGAATAAAATTTGAAAACAAACATTACATACCCATTTGAAAAAATTAGAGAGTCAATTTTCTTATCCAGCAGTCTAAAATATCCATAAATGGAGATTTCCTGTAAATATTTTCAATGAAAAATTCATGCTGATCTTATAGGTTCAAAAGTTTTTCTTTTAATGTGTTGTGTGTGTAAGTGATTATATTTGTCTAAGCTTTACAATCACACTTAATTTTTAAGTAACAAATTTGGAATAATAGTTGCGTTAAATTATGAACTTGTCATTGGGCCTTACAGATAAAACAATTTTAAGAAACAATGGATTCTTTGTCTGTTCAGCCTCAACAACTCTTTGTAACTGCTGTGTAGAAAGTTCTTTTCCATTTATCATCAATGTTTCCTGAATTAGATAGTTGTTTATTGTATAAGTAATGCACGATCAGAGGCACTGACTAAATTACTCATGTTAATTAAACTCTAATAACTGTGATAAGTTCTCTTAAATTTCTCTGTACATGGTTTAATGAAAACACAAGCAATAATCAGAATAAAGAAAAAGTTCAACTAAATTTCAACAAGCTTTGTTAATACTGTTGTAGAAGTCTATTATTATTCAGATTCAAATTTTATTTCTTATCTTGAAATGATTTCTATTAAAAATTGTAACTAGTTTGAAAACGGATTTGATATATAAATAACAAAAGCATGCATATGAGCAGAAGATAAAAATGCAGATGTAGTAGACTAAGTTTCTAATGTACCTTAGAAATCTTTTCTTGCACCTCACGTTCTAGAGGTAGTATTTCAAGTTCGTAGAATTGCTGTTTCTCTACAAGAAGCTCAATAGTATTTTTATCTGATGACTTAGTAGAAACTACTAAGAAAATTCCTGATGGACACTTTTCAGGTAGCCAAAATAGATGCTGCAGGAAATTATAGAAATGTAGCACTATGTGTTGTGGGTGTAAAATCTCCTAATTAAAATATTTGAAAAGAAAACATCATGCTAAATAACTTACTTTTTCTGTTTTTGAGCTTGCTTTAACTTTATCTAGTCCATCAATTACAATTAGCACATTTTTCCCATCAGATGAAGCATATCCCATTTCTTTTTGAACACTTAGATAAATATCATAAGCATTGGTGCTACTTTTACTTGCAGAACCAGATTCATGCATTTTTTCTTCTTCTATTTTTCCATTTATAAACTGAAGCTCAAGCAGGATGTGATTTAGGATACTTTTTGGATCTACAATGAAAATTTACATGTTTTTTAAGTCTCTTCCAAATCACACAGTGTTTTTGTTATGAAAATATAATATATCCCATTAAAATTAAAGTGATGGTAAATTAAAATTTCGAAACAGTGAAAGGGGTATTATTTTTTTAAATTAAGTACAAGTAATTGAAATATAATATTATCAAAACCCTTTCTGCATTAAGTACTTTTTTATTTTTAATCAGTGGTCAGATTATTTACAAATAATAATAAAACAGGTAGTGTTATATTAAACACAGAGATGCTCAAAGATTAGAAGTAAACATATGCACTGAGACTCTTGGGACTAAAATAGCTATTTAGAAAATTGTATTTAATCAATATATATATATATATATATATATAATTTCTAAATTAAATTTGACCTGTTGTTTCCTGTGCACATCCAACAAAATGATAAATGATTTGCAGACTGAAGTCAGTTACTTTAAGCTCTTTAACAAGATTAGCCAAAAGTGCTGATTTACCACACCCTGCTGGGCCCTTGACAAGTACCTTTGGGTGTGCTGATATATTGAATAAAAAGGAGACTTAATTGTTATTGGTTTTAAGTTTTTGGAAATCTTTAACCACAATTTTAATTTTTTTTTACTGCAACTTTGCTAAAAAATAATAACAGAAGGTATATAATTATTCCATTTTAAATAATATAACAAATTACCTTTTAATTTTGAGGGCACAAGTTCATTTAAATAGGTTTTTCCTCCAATGTAAAGTGATGTACAAAATGCCATAAACGTATCATGGCTTAATCTAATGTGATCCAAGGGAGATAAGGCAACATTTTCACTTTCAGAAATTAGTTCTTTGCAATGCTCCCAAACACTCTCAAACATAAATTTTGCACCCTATAAGTACACAGTGAAATAATATAGTTTATAACATTTGTTTTCACATTATCTGATTATATTTTTAGAGATATATTTCTTTTGTTTCAAAAAGTAGACTGAACAAATAATTGGATAGCAAACTTTAGTTTAGCTTCAGTGAATCATAAATTGCGGTATAAAAATCACTTGGAACTTTCTAGTTCTACTTGAGCACTAAACATTTTACAGCTATTAAATGAACATGTCAAAAAACAAATTACCTCTACTGGATTAGCATAATCTAGGAGCACACCTAGACACTGCAAAGAGGATATTTACCATTAGATTCTAGATCAAATTATTTGACTTACATATATATATATATATATATATATATATATATATATATATATATATATATATATATATATATATATATATATATATATATATATATATATATATATATATATATATATATATATATATATATTTATAAATTAATGATTTAGTTAGTTGGCACAATTAACCATAGCACTGTTTTATTTTTTATTTGTATTTATACTCTTTTTAAAAAAGTACCAAACTAAATTATCTTACACACACCAAATTCAAAGTTTAATACATTCAAATGAGTAACAACAAAATGCCATTTAAAGCCTTTTAAACTCTAAAGAAAGACCTTTTTAAGCACCTTTTAGGAGTAGTCACTTTAAGTATAAGCTGTAAATTTAAAAAAAAAACTTATGCTATTTCCAAAACTTTCTAATATATACTAGATAAAATAAACTAATGAATAAAAAAAATTACTCTTTATTACATGTGATTCTGAATCTTTCACTCTTCTTATCAAATCTGACAGTAGTGCTGTAGAATGTTCACTCTCTGCTGTAAATTTGCTGCTGTTTTTATTATCTCCCATTTCTAAACATTCTTTTCTTTTGAAATCATCATATACCTAAAAAATAATTTAGTTAAGCTGTAAACTGAATTTTAGAGAAATTCTTCTGGAAAATGTTTAAATAGTTCAAATTTTTTTGGCCACTGGATTACCTTGCTTCTGAAGCAAAAGGCAGCTGGTAGTTCTCCTGGTTTATTGAGGTGTCCATGAAGAAACTCCAGTTCAGTTACACTTTTGTTTCTAACAGAATCTAACCAAGAGTAGCGGCCAACTGCATTATCAAAGTTCCTTTGCAAAAGCTCATCTGACTCACCATGCCAACCATAACGCTAGGATTGGAATAATTATATTTTTAATAAAATGACTCATTAACTATCATGTTTTAAAATGTTTTCAAAGTAAGAATTACAGTTGGTGATACATTTTTAATGCATTAATCCACCCTCACACATAATCTGATACCAGATATGCAATGAATATTAATAATCCATTATGTTTTAAATAACAAATTAATTTTATTTTAAAAAATATTTCAACAATAAATCCTAGAAATCCCCCTCAGAGTGAGTGTTTGATAAATCACAATACAGTATCATATCATTATCAAGGTTTTTTTTTTTCTTTCTGGTTTAACTGTTAGGATTCTTGAGTGAGTGAATGCTAGGATAAAGGGCCCTAGTAAGCATATCATACTTGCAATAAATAAATTTAATAGGCCTATAGCTCTGCCATTGATCAAAAAGTAGGACAATAAGAAAAAATTGTATCTTAATAAATACTGGTTAATATAAAATGGAAATTGGGTGAACTATTAAACCAAGCTAGATCTGTAATTAGAATGACTTAGTAATAGTTAGGACCAAGCCAATATTATGGAAATCCAATTTAATTAGGTGTACTTTATGATATTTTCACATTGTTTGCATGTTGTAGGTATTATTATTATTTGTTTTATGTAATTTATATCATTGTTAAGGGAGTTGCCTGTAGTTCATATGGTAGGATTGTTAGAGTTTTAGGAGATCGCCTTAAGTTTTTATATAGAGTTATTTGGGGTAGGTTAGCACAAAACCAGGGGAAATTTTCACAGGTAAGCACTAGAATTTGCGCCAAGAGCAGGGTGTCATCTGAGACGCTTGAGGGTGGGGTATATAAACCGGCGGCTTAGGGGGGATGGAGAACTGACGGCCGTAGCCATTAATTTATGCAGCAAACGTGTTGACGCTATAGTCTTCTTAGAGGCGCGCTACACAGGCAATTCCTGGTCAAGAAAGATACTGTACTGTTCGCATAGTCAAATAAAGATGACTTATTCTTCAATTTTAATCGTCTGTGACTGAGAGCAAGAAAAGTGTAGAAGATAAGAAAAACATTATATTTGGTGGAGCAAAAACATTACAGTAGGCTACCAAATATTCCTATCAGCAACACACATTGCTAAATTTAAAGTTATGAAAATCTGGGCTTTTAATCCGTATGTCTTCCCACACATTTCTGATGGTTATGTGACTCAAGTCAGAAAGAATAGGTGATTGGTGAGGTAAATGAGTGGCCCTTGTCCAAAATACTAACTAGCAGCTAGCATTAGCTGTACTTTTCCATTCCTAACCTAACTAGAAGAGAAGGGTGGGGGGGGGGGTGTAAATTCAGTAGTGTGTAGAGTGTAGAGTACTGTAGAGCAATACATTAAAGTGATTAAAGAATAAAACAAATGTGGGTTTTTAATCAAATTAAATGTCAATATATAGGGCCTAAGTAGAGTGTACTTTTCCTGAGTTAGTTTTAAATGGGGGTATGTCATAATATATAAAGGATCAAATGTTAAAATAATCTACCTCACATTACCTGATCATGAAAAATGCAAAATTATGAGAAATAAAATACTTTTTAAAAAAAATACACTTAGTTGCAGCAAGTTTGGGCACTACAGCGACTAAAACTTAGCAAATCTTAAGCAAAACCCTGTTTTTTGTTGTCTTATAGTATACTCATGATTATTAATTATATTTATAACAATTAATTTAATAGGCCTAATATATTTAATAATATTAATTATCTGAGTAAGACTTCAGAATGTGGTCTATTTTATACTGCAGTTAACTACAGCTACCTGGCCAAAAAATCCAATAAAAACATCTGATCTGTCAATCTCCCTCAGACAAATATTGATGACTTGGGCATTGTCAGCAGCTTCAGAAGTGATTCCCCAACGCATATCTACAGCAACAAACTGGATACCCCGAGCTTTACATAAATGATGGAACTGAGGGAAGTACTTCCTGGTAAGCTCTTCTCGTTCTTCCTCCATACCGCCAAATGGAGAAGAAAAAAATAACCTTAAAGTCCGTGGATCTTTTAGTTTTCTACTCATTTTGGTCTATCCTAACTCCACTATACTAAACTTTATAGATTAAATCCATAGGTACATTGTATTATCGCATGCTGCATACATGGCAGGATTTCAAAATCTAAGGATGCGGCCATTTGTTTTCATTGACAACCAATAAACTTGCATTATGTCCCTTGACACAAATTTTGAAACTAAATCAATCCTGGCCTGACCTTTTTTTTTTTGGGACGGACCATAACTCGGTAAACGTTATTTGCAGTTACCGTTACTATTTCTAAGTTATGTTACTAATAAAAATAAAAACGTTTTGTAAATCACTGGTACTTTTTACATCCGAAAATCATGTCTGAATGCAAAATTATGATTTATTTTTGCAACGGCTTAATTAAAAAAAAACAACTTAACACTACATAATACATATTCTAGCAATACCAAAAGATAATGATACAGTAAAATAAAATATTGAAGAACCCCCCAGTGGGTTAAGTTAAAATAAAAATAGTTTGTAGTATTAGTATAGTATTATGTATAGAATTAGTATAGATAGATAGACTTCTAGATTATTATTATATTAACTATAAACTTTATACTAGAAAGAAGGCCGGGTACATGTGGGTTTATTTTTAGGATCCTACTTTAACTCAATACAAATATTAAGTACTAACACTAGCTAATAAACATTTTTGCATGCTTTATCTAAATACCATTTTGCTAATGTCTATACATAGTACATACTATCTAGATTATAGTGTGCAATGCTTTTAAATTCCATTTTGATTTAAATTATAATTAATTATAGTTATAGATCTAGATCTTACAGATCTATATAACTTTAAAATTAAACCATGCAAATAAATACTGGGCAATGCTAATTTGATCAAAAGGTTTTTAAATGGTATTTCTGTTAGTGTTATAGCTGATGGTTGGTAGTGTTCTGATTTTTTAAAATAGCATGTTTCAAGATTCGCTTTACTTGAGTAAAAAAATGACATCTTGATCAGATTTACAATCAAAATTGCCAGCTGTTTCTCAATACATCTATTCGGACCCCAGCTTTGTTGGCATTTTTAATCATCTGTGGAAGTTAGTAAATCCTAATTTCAGAAAGAGATGATTTATGATAGACACAGCAACTCAAAAACACAGAGTTTAATCTATCATCCTGGTTTTTGTATACTTTTTGGAAAGATACAATCGAAAACCCTTTACTTTTGGAAAAATTGAAGCAGGTTTAATTATTTAAAGCATATTGTGAAACCAAAAACAATTCCACCAACAATTTTAAAGTAAAAAAAGTTAGTTAAGTAATTCCAAATGGCTAAAAAATTTCTTGAACATGACATGTCCTGCTGTTTGAGATTTGTCAATTTTAAGTTAATCAGTGTTTTAGTGAACCTTTTGTATCTCAACAATGAAGAGCTCAGATCCTTGAAATATTAGGTGAGTGTCTCAAATAAGAAGTTGTAATGAGTGCCCCCAGACTGTCAAATTTTCATTTGTAATAACAAAAGAATACAAAAATACATTAAAGTAGTTAATTTATTTTAATAGAAATCATGTATGCCCTATACAATTTTAAGGTCAATGATTTTGATTTTTGAGTGAGAAATAACTACATATTCTGCTTTGCTATGTTATCATGGGTTGCTCAAGCCATTTTCAGAAATGGAAGTTCAACTACAATATTTTTCAAATGATGAAAAATTATTTTTTCATTAATGCTCTATATACAGGATATTTTTTAATTGGAAGATAAATAAATGTGACAGTATAATTTTTTTTACTAGCAAACTAATAATATCATTAATGTATTCATTTATAAAACAAATAGTAATTCAGATTAGGCTGAAAATTTAATTTTTAGTTCTTTGAAAAATACAGACAACAACCACCTCTATGTTTTAAATGACAGAAAATCAACCAGAATTTGTTTTAAACCATGAACGGGTTATAGAACATATAAACTCCATGACTAAATAAGCTTAAAGGGTCCTCTCAACCTGTTTAAAACAAATTCACTTCTAAGTTTGTATTATTTTTAAAACTAAAATGCTGCTTAACATTGATGAAGATTTTGGTCACTTAGGTTTTACTGCATTTAACAGCAATCACAGTTACATAGCTTTGTTAATATGATGGACGGATATTTTGAGCCAAGAATAATGTGATATAAATGGCTAAAGTGGGAATACTATGAAAATGGAATGTTAATTTTTCTCAAGTTAGCATCAAATCATTCTACAACATAAATCAACATTGCCATTGATACTGAGCTAAAACTGAGACAATTTATTCTCATTATCATAACAAATTAAATTAACAGGCATCTAAAAGCAAACATATTTTCAAGTGTTAGAATATATTATACTAATCAATTTTAGGTAACAAATTTTACATTTAGCTTTATTTCTGTACACACATTTCTCCTGATTTGAAAAAAAAATGAAAACACCCGCAGTGAAAGGAATGGATTTGTACATCAGCAAATATTAGAAGTAGATTCATTTTTAATCTGTCCCTAACAAGAGGAATCACATCTTATACTTTGAGATACTTGGTAGCTGCAACGTTCATACAAATGGCAAACAGCTTTTTATCTTTCATCTGGTCAAGTAACAGTCATGTCACATTCCTCAAAGAACTTTATAGAACCACTCCATGTTTCACTCAATAAATTTATGACAAACAGGACAAAGATGCTGGGAAATATTCTGAAAGCAAAATAAAAAAGGATGTTTAGTTAGATTATTCTATATTGTGATATATTTGTTTACTATGCAAGATTACTAATACATTTACTTATGTTAATTTAATAACTAGTAAGTTTGTTTTGTATTGTTAATGGAGCTTTAAATATACTTGGAATGTAAATAATATATGGATAGCAATATAAGTTCTAATTTAATATAGATGAAAAATATAGCTGCAACCAAATGGTGCTACCTTGCCATGGTCTCTATAACCCATTACTGTCTGACACAGAACATTTTTGTCTTAAAAAATTAACCCAGTTATTAAAAATTAAAACAATAGCAATATAGTCTTTTTTAAAATCATTTTTGTCTACATAGGATAAATAATTTACATTACTGCACAGAAATTAAAGTACTACACTTAGTTTGGCAGAGTAGCCAAGTGGCAGTAAAGAGTTAACAAACATTAACCTGTAAAACTAGAAACAGACTCCAGGCCCTGATAATTCCATAATGGTTCAGTTATTTTTCAAGCTCTCATAATTAAAGGCCATAACCATTGCATATGTCCTATGGCAGGTGCAGCACACTAGTGTATGTATTAAAGTTTACAGGGATGTTTACTGAGTTCTCGGATTCAAACTCAGACTTGCGGGTTAGCAGTCTAGCGATGTATGTGTGTGTATATATATATATATATATCTATTTGGCTCATTCCAAAGTTGATGAGTAGACTGTAACTCACCTCTTGCTAACTCTGAGATCCATATCCACTTGCCATATAGTTAGAGTACATGTGGAGATTATTTTCTTCTACATCTGCTCTTCTGGAGAATCACATAATCATTTTGATATCATTTCATTATCTTATCTACAGTTACATAAATTAACCTCAACTTTTACAGAATTACTTCTTCTTCTTCTTTTTCTTCTTCGTTCTTAATTATTGGTGTTGAAGGGGATCGAGATTTATCTGCCAGTGGGTTTGAACTCGAGACTTTGTTCGAATTTATCGACCATGAGCTTTTTGCAGACTCGACCACGCCTCCAACAAAATTAAGCGTTACGTGTCAACTGGTTATGTGCCATTGAGGCCATTGACTCCGATTTCAGCCTGCTTTTCTTTTTGGATTTGCTTCCATAGCCTTTGTCCAACCAAGAACATACTAAAAGGCAGCAGTTGTTTAATTTTGGAGTTGTCTCTCCTAGAAGAGTGGCTGTCCCCAGCTAACGAGCCTCATCTGCCCGATTACTAAAGAGTTACAGTTACAACAAAGAATTTATGTACAAGACTATCAAGTGGGTCATTAAGATAATTATTCTTGAGATAACCACCTAAGGGTTACCGGTACAGAAAAGTATTTTTGAACCCCCACTATTGTTTAACAGGTGTCATCAACAGATTCTGGGTCAACAAGTGGGCAAGTCTTTAGTTCTTAAACATTATCCTAACGTAAAATTAATTTTGATTGGGTAACCCATGTCACTACAGAGGGCAAATACAGCTTGTGCCAGATCAGGAGAAAAAGCTAGTAGATGTTTATACTTTTAAACAAGATACTTGAGTAAATGTAGATAAAATAAAACAAATATAAAAAATCCTTAATAATAAGCATTAAAGTGCACTGAAAATGAGAAAATAATACTAATTTGCTATCTTTCCTAAAAAATATTGGTCACTCAAAAGACTGACAAAAAATATTTGAGCTAATACCCAAACAGTATCTCACAATCTCTAAAAGTCCACGGTCGAATCTCTAAAAGTCCATGGTCGATGCTCAGGCAAAAAAGTAACTGTCGACTGCCAGCTAATAGAGTAATCACAAGTTTTTAAGCCCGGTATATCCCCTTTAATTATTGAATTTAGTACTTTTCAAATTCAATCTTAATGACTAGCTTAATGTCTAATTAGATTTTTTATAAATTTGTGTTGTCATTGGAGACTATGTATCTGGAAAGTTTGAATGAAATTGCTGCATTAGAAGTGGGTTAAAATTAAATTACATTTGCCACATCCCAAAAGCAAACACACAAGCAGACATAGTGAACTAAATGAAAGCTTATAAAAACAACCTGTGAACTCTGTGAGCACTTGTTCTCTTGTGTGATAAATTATCTGGTGGCTTTGGTATATGTGGTTTGGAATGGTGATTCTGGCCAGGAAAGGCTATGGAATCTTCTGAGCAAATATCATGTATATGAGAGTAAGCTGAGTCTACTGGAGTCTGCTGGCTCTGTGCCTGTGTCACCAAGGCATTATAATTTGCCTTTGACTGTTCCATCATTACCTGATCGGTGTAATAAAAAAAGTAATTAAAAAAACCAATATAGACTGGTTGCATTAAATAAAGAGTAATTAATTTCAGCAAAAATATTCTGGTCCATGTTGTATATTAGAATAAATAGATTGCAGAAAAAGGATGTTCCAAATTTCAAGTTCAGTCTAAATTTCTATTCATGGTTTTTTATTTTCATTCAGAAATTAATTTCATTAATTTTTTCAACATTAAAAAAAGTTGTCTTTAATGTTCTAAATTGAAAATAAAATACTTGAAAGAGTAAAACTGACTTTGCTTTGTTCCATCATGCGTTGCTTTATAGCTTGTTGCTGTGCTAGGTGTAGCTGTCGACTTTGAAAAGGGGCCATGTGATAGCCATGAGGGAGTAATGAATCTATATCAGAGTAAGCATGGTCAGTTTGCTTGGGGTCCTCTATAAAACTGTTGAAAGTCGTGTTGGCATTGTGCAGATGAAAGTTTGACGGCTGTGACATGGGTCGGGATAAGTACGCTGCTCTTTGGCTGGTTTCTTGACTCAAGACTGGCTGCCTCTGTGCTCCCCGTACAAACTGATCCTCCATGGAAATAAAGTGAGGACCTGCAAAAAGTTATTTAATTGGTTTATTTTTTTCAAATGAATGATTTTGTAAAAATCATCTACCTATTTTCACTGGTAAAGACAAATTACTCAACAAATTGTTACATCACATAACATCACATTAAAAATGTAACATGGAGTTATTAAACTTACAAAAATGTATTTCTTAAAAGGTGACAACATAGCCTCACCTGATCCCTGAGAACTAGCTATGTGAACTGGCAATTGACCAGGAGTTGGTATGAAGAAGGGCTGATGACTTTCTTGGTACTTGACATCATTAGGCTGATGCTTTAAGGACATGCTTTCATAATCTGCTTTCAGGACAGTTGAGCCATTATGGGCAGAGTACTGTCTAGCTTGCTGCCGTTGGGCTAAACGTTGAAGTGCCTCTTGAATTGCCTTCTCATTAAATGTATCTACAAGTAATAGCACAGGTTAGAAGTAGGATAATAGTTCTAGGGCATAGAAAAGAAAATGTCCTTCCCTGCACATAAAATATTTAGACTATCAATCATTTTTAGAGATTTGGGTAATGTCTCTAGGCAATAAACCTACCAACTACAGGATCAGATGTACTGAATTTATTCTGGTTTGATATTGTCTGATGATTGGTTACCGCAGTTGATGGTCGCAATCCAATAGTACGACCTATAAATAAAGTTAACATCATTTCTCAGATTAGTTTACTCAAACAATATTAACATGCAACATATTATCTGAATTTGCCTAACTCATACTTATTACCAAAATAATTCTTTATATGAGTCTTCATTTAAAAAAAAAATATTTGATTGGTACTATAAGACTAACTTTTTCTTCAAAATTATTTAAGGATGTTTTGTACAATAAAATGATGAACAAGACAGGAAAATGTTAAGGAAAATTCATGTTAAATTAGCATTAGTAAATTTGTAGTGATTAAAAAGACTTGTACAAAACTATGTAAGGATTAATGCATGCTAGTTTCCTGTTTCTATTTCTGGAGAAAGCTGTTCAATGATACTTGAAAATGAAAGGTTAGTGCAACAGTTTTTATAATAGGTTTTTTTCTCAACATATCTCCCCATACAAGTGAATTAGTTGTATTATTTGATGAGACACAATCTTTCAATCTATAATCATGCAGGCAAGTCGCAACTAAAACTGACTCACAATGCTCGCAAGGCTAGCTAACAGCTGCGAAAAGTTTTACTGGATATCAGTTATATTCATTTGTGCTGAGTCTCTTCAGATGGTTCTGACTGGTCTCCCATTGACATAGTTTGTGATTTCTTCTAAAAAGACTACACCTATACTAACATTACTGAACCAGACATTTTTTTCATCAATTCATTCGTGGCTTTAAATTATTTGGATTGGACAAAATTGGAGTAGATGAATATTCACCTGCACGGTGAGCAAGCCCGGTGTTTGTGGCTGAATGCGGCCTTCCAAGTTTTTGAGAGTAAATTGAGACAGCAGACAAGTAAGAGTGTTGTGGTGCACTACGGAGTTGCACTGAGCTAGGGCGTGAGGCAGCTCCAATTAATTTTCCTGTATGGTGATCATAGACTGCTTGGCTTGAGACTAAACAATGTGCAAGAAACACATTTAAAATTTCAAGTTGGAGGTAAAGCAATTATCTTTCCATTCAATTCTAGCTTAGCCCAACACTTTTTCAACATTTAAAAAATGGGTAACAACTTTCAGTAGAGAATACAAATGATATGTCTAAGTATTATTATAACTACCTGATAAAGGAAGCCCAGGCCCCTTGAAAAGTTAATGAAATAACTAGAGTTGTCCTATTTTTTAGATTACTCATGGTATGTGAATGGATTGTGTGAATGCCTGTAACCCTGATATTGGTAGATTATTGTCAGGTACACATTATAGCTGAGTGGACTTAAGATAGCTCTAATGACCTTAGCCAAACACAAGCTTAGACCTCAATACAAAACTTGCACCAGTTTTAAGCTTTACAGCACAAACATTTTCTTATTGATCCTTGCTGTTTGTAGAAATATTATACATCAGTAGCTTATTAATGTCTTAGTTTTCAAAGCAGGAAAAGAATTTTAAAAATATCTAATCTATATTATTGCAATCTATCTAAACAAAATTCATTGAAGGAAAAAATATGACAACAATAGTTAGAAACAACTAAAATATCAGAGTATCTTTTTAGTTAGAAGGGGTAAGTTAAGAGAAAAAAAACAACAAATGATGCAAGTAACATAAAGTAAACAAATACCAAACAAAGTAAAACAGCAACACATTTCTTATTTTTTTAAACATACATTCCAATTCATTTTATAAGGGGAACATAATGATTCCCAGAAGCACATTTCAATTTTAAAATTCAATAAAAAACATTTTTTTAAAAATATGCCACATAGAGAAAGACTTTACACACAGAGAAAACAGCTCTGTGCTGAGAATGAAATTCAGTAGTGGTTGAATAAAATAGATTATCATCTAATAAACAGTTACTTGCAAAATACAACTAGAAAAAAATCAACCAAACACAGCTACTGCTAATTAGTATAAAAAAAAAAAAAAAACTGTTGCAATTTAGCAACCACAAAACAAAAAATTTACATGAATGATTAAAGTAGAAAACAAACTAGTTTAAGACCAGGACTTACGATAAAAGAGAACATTATTGCTGTTAATGTTTGGTGGTTGAGCTGGAATAACATGATAAAAGAGAACATTATTGCTGTTAATGTTTGGTGGTTGAGCTGGAATAACATGATAAAAGAGAACATTATTGCTGTTAATGTTTGGTGGTTGAGCTGGAATAACATGATAAAAGAGAACATTATTGCTGTTAATGTTTGGTGGTTGAGCTGGAATAACATCATAAAAGAGAACATTATTGCTGTTAATGTTTGGTGGTTGAGCTGGAATAACATGATAAAAGAGAACATTATTGCTGTTAATGTTTGGTGGTTGAGCTGGAATAACATCATAAAAGAGAACATTATTGCTGTTAATGTTTGGTGGTTGAGCTGGAATAACATGATAAAAGAGAACATTATTGCTGTTAATGTTTGGTGGTTGAGCTGGAATAACATGATAAAAGAGAACATTATTGCTGTTAATGTTTGGTGGTTGAGCTGGAATAACATGATAAAAGAGAACATTATTGCTGTTAATGTTTGGTCTGCAACATATTTTCCGAGGCTATGAGATCAGTATATAATATGTTGGATGAATTAAATGGTATCAAATTTTTTTTTAATTTAAAGATGGAAAATAAAAATAAAGGCATATTCGAATGTAGAAACGCAACTTTAATTATGCAACAGGAGAAGTGTTTATAGTTGTGAATGCTCTATAGAACTAATAATTAGTGCAAAAACTATCACTGGCAAAATAACATCATGTAACACAGAGAAAAATATCTTTACGATACAATGTCAATAAAAAGTAGTACACAACACTAATGGCGTCATTGGTTGTAGGATAAAAATTAGAATGAAAAATAGAAAGCCGAAAATGATACACAATACTAATGACGTCATCTGCGATAAGATTCGATTACCACATCTTCCAATTTTAGAATATGAAGAAATTAACTAAATTTGATTTAGATCTAATTATCAAAACGTGCGCTATGAAATGTATACAATATTTTCGGCCAAAGATAATAAAAATAAATTAGCTTAAGAAAAAAATAGTAGTACTATTGAATAGCCGTGTTTTTAACTGAAACATTTAAGACACTTAATCAGAGTAGGCATTTAATATGGTGTTGTGTTGACTAATAATGTATATATTTAGTTTTAATTTTTCTAATTGGTAATTGGTAGTTTATGTTATAATTAATGTGTTGGATTTTTAGCTATTTAGTTATTTTTTGCTTTTTCACTAATTTCGTTCAACGTGTAGTAAAGCACATTGCATTTTGACAAACAACTATTCTATAAAATATATTTCTTAAACAAGTATAACATTTAAAAAATATAGGCCTATAATTCATGTGCAATGGGTACTGATGGCTAGTAACATGATAAAAGAGAACGTTATTGCTGTTAATGTTTGGTGTTTGAGCTTGGAATTAATCAAAGTGTGAATGAAGTAAGACAAAGGATTTTTGTTGTAGGTGAGGTGGTTGAAATTTTAATACAGGACATTTCGTGTTTCCCAAAGGCCTCAGATCAAAAGTGGCTATTGGTTTAGATGGACAGCAAGTTGACCACAGTCAAGCAGCTAATACCACTCACCATGTCGGCCTTTAGTTACATCATCTCCAGTTCCATGACCAAGCGTGCCAGCTGGCAATGTACCCTCAGTAATATCAGGATTTTCTCGACGTTTAGACAAGATTTCCTTCTTTGAGTCTGATATATTCACACTAGGCTTAGTGTCACCTCCCAAAAAGATGGCAGCAGATCTATTGATCTTTGTGTAAGTTGTGAGCAGTTCTTCCAGCTCGCCCTCCCTGAGATATTAACATTTTTTTATTAAACCTCTTCAGATACATTTCTAAACAGTGTAGATTGAGTAAAGACAATATATGGAAATGGATCTTTGTGTATGTTGTGAGCAGTTCTTCCAGCTCGCCCTCCCTAAGATATTAACATTTTTTTTACTAAAACTCTTCAGATACATGTCTAAACCTTGTAGATTGCAATAAAGTAAAGACAATATATGGAAATGTTTAAAAAATCATGAAAAAAAAAAAACCACACAATGTACTGATGTATAGGCCTACATGATAAAAGTGAATGAGAAATGGAATGATTGACAGTAGCTACAGTTCTTACGTTGCTGTGTACACAAACTGATCAAACTTGGTTTCATCCATGCCATCAGAACTATCTGTTCTTCTTGCCTTTTTGTTCTCAATTCTATTCCTAACCTTGACAGCTTTCAGATTATCAGTTTCCTGAAATTTTAAAATTTACACTTCTATAAATCTGACATGAAAAACATTTTTACAATAAGCCAATAAAAAGAACTTTGATCCCCTCACCTTATTGTATATGTGTACAAAATCACCTAATTGTTTTGCTAGAATTCTTCTTCTGTCACTTAGAGGTAGCTTTCTGCTAGGAACTATAACTCTAAATGACTGAGGTATATTTACTGCTGCACGTTTCAAGAACCGCAAGACAAGATCCTGCAGATGAAGATGAATAAAGACTTTTTTGTAAGTTAGTTATATCTTTAATGTCAGCTTGTCCAGAAAAAAATTAGTTTCCTTTGAAAAGTCTTTTAATAATGAACACTATGCATTTATTATCTGTTTACCAGCACACATAAAAACTTGCCTTTTAAGACTTTTAATGAATATAGAGGATATGTATTAGCTACAACTCAAGAATACAATTCCCTGCTCCAATCATTCCATACACTGACATCCCTTACCATTTATTCATTGATCAAATGATTCCACACCTTGATATCCCGTACCATTTGTTCATTGATCAAATGATTCCACACATTGATATCCCGTACCATTTGTTCATTGATCAAATGATTCCACACATTGATATCCTTTACCATTTGTTTATTGATCAAATGATTCCACACACTGACATCCCTTACCATTGGTTCATTGATCAAATGATTCCACACATTGATATCCCGTACCATTTGTTCATTGATCAAATGATTCCACACATTGATATCCTTTACCATTTGTTTATTGATCAAATGATTCCACACACTGACATCCCTTACCATTGGTTCATTGATCAAATGATTCCACACATTGATATCCCTTACCATTTGTTCATTGATCAAATGATTCCACACATTGATATCCCATACCATTTGTTCATTGATCAAATGATTCCACACATTGATATCCTTTACCATTTGTTTATTGATCAAATGATTCCACACACTGACATCCCTTACCATTGGTTCATTGATCAAATGATTCCACACATTGATATCCCGTACCATTTGTTCATTGATCAAATGATTCCACACATTGATATCCTTTACCATTTGTTCATTGATCAAATGATTCCACACATTGATATCCCTTACCATTTGTTCATTGATCAAATGATTCCACACATTGATATCCTTTACCATTTGTTCATTGATCAAATGATTCCACACATTGATATCCCTTACCATTTGTTCATTGATCAAATGATTCCACACATTGATATCCTTTACCATTTGTTCATTGATCAAATGATTCCACACATTGACATCCCATACCCTGTGTTTATTGATCTACACATTGATATCCCTTACCCTGTGTTTATTGATCAAATGATTCCAAACACTTACCATTTGTTCATTCAGAGCATCAACATCTTCTTGCTTTAAAACTCCTCCACAATCAGACAATAATCTTTGCTGAACCCTAATCAAGTACATGGCAAAGGCTGTCCTGGCTTGTACCTTGCTGAAAGGTTCAAAACATTCATCATTTCAGCAGTAAATTTATTTAAGCTAGCTTTAAAGTTTACAGGTATTTTAACTGATGACTTGTTCTTTACAGTATGGCTAAAAATTTCATTTATAAGTGGTGTTTGCTTAAAGTATATATTTGTTAGTTACAAAGTATTTTATTAATTTTAATATTTTTATTAATTTTAATTCTTATTGTTTTCATTTAAAAAATCCACCATTTAAACTTAGTTTTGAAACATCAACTAGATAATGTTTAAAAAAAATGGCTTGACATTCACCTCAGTGTATGACCCTTTTCTAAAAGCCCTACAACATCGTACTTAGGAACAGGTGTAGGAGAAAATGAGGGAGAGCGATGACCAGGCTCTGGAGCTTGTTTAAGTTCTGCAGACTCCACATCACCTGATTTTTCTTCTTCTTTCTCATTGGGTACACTTTTTGCACTGGCATCTTTTACTTCATTTACAACTGTTTCAAAGCAACAAGCAATTTGATAATCTAAAGCATGTGTAAATTTTAAATACTGTGTCAAAGGATTTGTTTAAAAAATTAACTGTACTTTAAACAATATTCCAAATAACTTGTAGAAACAATGTATTAAGACAAGGGACTACTGCTTACTATTTTACAGCTTAATTATTTTTAATGCTATTTTTTTAAAATGTTTTTAAAAATTCAATGTTGAATTTATTTATTTATTTTTTTACTTTTTTTTTTATATTTTAAAATTCATTTTTAAATTTGAAAAACTATTATTATAGTATTATGTTCAATTTTCATTGCAAAAAATTCTTGACCTAAGATAACTAGTTTATCATTTACTTATGAATGACTAAGACCAAGATATTACCTTTTGTTTCTAGCTTCTGTTCTGTTTCCTTATTCTCTTTGCCTTTATCATTAACCGCTTCTTCTTCTGAAATTTGTTCAGCGTGATCCTCCTGTTCATGTACTCCTTGAACCAATTTATTTCGTTTTGGTTCTGAAAATGAAATTTTTGGTCAGAAAATATATCCAATTTGTCCTACAACTAAATATTAGTCTGGCAAAAAATATTATTTTTGAACAGTTTATGTGAGAGGTCCCTGTGTCCACCCAGCTCTGATGGGTATCTGACTAGTTACCTCACTTTACACAAAAAATATTAAAATATTAGGTTGATTTTAAATATAGTGGATAACATAGTTTTTTTTATGATTACAAGAACCATAATTTTAAAAAAAAACTTTTTTTTACTTGTTTTTGCAGGCTTCTTTTTCATTCGTCTTGACTTGGATTTAAGTTGACCTAATCTGCTTTCATATTGTTTGGCTCGAAGAAGAGCTTGAGTGTAAGATTCTAGAAATTTCTAGAAATATAAAGATAAAAAAACTACAATCCAGTTCTAGGAAAACTAACTTTGAATAACTGAGATGTAATGAAAAATTCTGCCCCTAATACCCATGATTCTAATCATATTGTAAGCAATCAGATGAAAATATAACAGACCTCTTGCTCAGCTTTACCAGGGGTCTGAACTTGCAGACTACTTCTGAAAATATTTTAGTTGAGGTTTGATATAACTCTACACAAAAAACTATCTCAATTAATAAAATAGACATAAAACCTTTTTATTATATTTTTTATAGTTTAATAGACCATTTTGTTTCTACAAAAATAAGTTAGTGCAATAATTTCTTTAATATGACAGTTATTACAGTACATCTTAGTAACAATGGATTTGGATGCTGATTCAAGTCATTACACTAAATAGCATTTAATATCAATTTCAATACTGTTGTAAGTAGATTACAAATGCTATTATTTTTAAATGATTACCTTATTTTATCTAAAATTATTTTCTAATAATTTCTTTATTATTTCACTGATGTTTATTTTATATAGGGTATTTAATACTAGATTATTAATGATTATTAAGCTAACCAAGCACCTAGAAATAAATGTTTTAACAGTTAAATGGCTTGTTAAGATGGCTTTTTAAGTGGTTTAAATAGAAAACTGGTTCGTTTAAAAATGTAAACAACGTTTTTGGAACAAAAGAGAAATGTTTGGTTACAAAATTATAAATAGATCATGTAAACTGTAAATAACATGATCAGGAAGCATTTTAATATCAAGATGAAATTATTATAAATGGTATGAGTTCAACTTTCTTTTGTGCTTATATCAATTTCAAACATATAAATTTGACTGCAATGGGAAGGCAACAGGTATGCAGTATAAACTTACTTGGATCTAGAAGGGGTGATGGAATTGCTACCTGATGCTTTGCTAAGTGCTTTGTGCCTGAAGAGGGAATTACGTATACAAATTACATTAGCCCTATCTGTTCCAAAAAGGTTTTATCTAATTATTAATATTGACAGTTTTAAAAGATCTTTTTTTATAAAAGAATGTTCCACTCTATAGGTTTGTTGGTTTGACTTTAATATTATCTTTATCAAATTCAAGTGAGATTAATTGCAACATAGCACCACCAGATTCAACCTGAGATTTTTAATTGTTTGACAAAAATGTAACTGTTATTTTGTGGATGTCTAACTCTTCAATCAATTTTAGAACTTAAAAAACAACAGGCCATGATTTGTTTGCTAAGAAAACATAAACTCTATAAAACAATGTTTACTGCCAGAAACTGCATCTGCATTGATTTTAAATATTTAATAGATTTTAATTTTTTTAAAATGGGTTTTTTTATTTGACAAAAACTGTACGTAACAAATGTATATGAGAACTGGACAAATGTGACTAAGTTAAAAACTGACCTCTCTCCATAAAGTCTTTGGTGTAGCATGAGATTGTGAGAGGTTGGAAACTGAAGAAAACTTCTGTAAACAAAAACTGGCATGAGAAAATATTTTCATTCTTTGTCCTAATTATCTACATCATTAGAAAATGAGTTGATTAATTAGGTTATTAAAATGACAACAAATCATTGGCCTAAGTGCAGCATACTGAAGCCACAATTGTCTCACCCATAGGTCTCCCAGCTGTCTGTAGTTGGAAAAATCCTTATCCAGCCTCCTTTTCTCACCTCTTCCTCTTTAACCCGTCGAACTATCTTAATCTCATCACTGCTAAGGCCAGCCATCCCAGACTGGGTCTGGCGCTCCTTAGAGCCAGAACTTGTGGCTGAGAGAGGACGTTGTGACTGTTCAAAGTAAATTAACAAGAAACTAACAACAAACTACTTGCTGGACTCTCTACTCAAACTCTGAAAGCATTTACATTTTTCTTGTACAATAAGATTTATTGGTTTAGGGTTGGTTTATTGTGTATTCATACTTTAACTAGTCTTGCATTAGCTAAAAATAATTTTTACAAGCACAAAAGAAGTAGCTTATGGGGGAAAATTTTAAAAATTTGGAGTAGATTCTTTGATTCAATAAACATGGAAAAGATGAGCATATAATAAATAGTTGTGTACTTAGAGCACAAGCAAATAGCTACTGCTATTTCTTTAGTGTCAATCTAAATCTTTTCCACATTTATGATTTAAGACTTTTAAAGTGTTCAATAGTTGAACATAGTATTTAACTTTATTACAAGTAACACAAATTAACACTGATTTTTAATTAAGAAAATAATTTATAGAATGAATATTTAATGATAAATACAATATATATATATATATCACAAATATAAAGTTGTTTTAAAAGAATACATGTTTATAAGAAAATGTAAAGAAGCTAAAGAAACTAGTTAGTGCTATTTGAAAATTAGTGAAGCAAATATCTGATTAAATTGAGAATATTTTTATATCAGGTTTCTGTGTAATAAACAACAAAAAACAAAGTACCCTCCCGAATCTTGGCGGTCTTTTGACAGGCAAGCAAACACGGTGGACCTAAAATAGTAACAAACATAAAGCAAAACACAAAACAATTGAAATTTAAACCTGGAACAAAAAGGCAAAGACAGGTGATACTTGCTACGCATTAAAACGAAACTGGGTGAAATTGCCTAAGAGCTTTAGTTTTGTTTTTTAAAAAGCAAGTTCAGAGAAATGGGCTTATATCCAAACAGTTGTTGTCACATATCACTTAAACCAAACAAACAAAGGCTCAAACTAAATAATGGATTTCACAAACTTTAATTATCAAGAAGTGATTTTAAAAAACAACCCTACCCCAATTTTTTAAAAGTACTAATACTTCAATTTTTTTTCAAAAACTTTCAAAATCTATAGATACATTTCAATTACACCCTAAAAGTAGTTCCTTTTATGTTTTAATCATCTTCTTGAACAGTATAAATCAGTGAAATATGTATTCTTAAATTTTCTTAGCATAGTACCCATCAAAAGGTATGGAAGGATTGAATTTTTTTATTTTAACAAGTTAGTGAGATGTGACAGATATACCTATAGGAATCAGTCAACAATACTGGAATTAAAAATACTCAATAATGTAAGAGAATAATAGAAACTCAATTTTAAATGTTTATGGCAAAGTAATTTTTAACCAATATGTCTGAAAAACCTGATATAAAAAGATGCTATTTAAAATTTCTATATTTAAAAAGCTTTGAAAATAGTTAATATAGCAAAAAAAAATAGAATGGACTGTGCATTAATATTTTCACAGAAACCCAAGCACTTCAAATTTACTTTTTTTATTTTAAAATAAACGCAATTTTTTTTAACCATGAAAGAAAAACCAAAGTAAAGAGAACACAACTGTGGTCAATCTACCCTTCTAAGAAGCCAGGAATCTGCTTCTTTCATATTTTGTCTTGCTGCTTCAATCTGATTTAACATCTCTGCTAAAGCTTCATCTATATCACCCTAGTAATACAGTAGTGTCAAAATGTACTTTAAGAAAATTAAATGAGCACTTTAAAAAATGTGTTGACTGTTAATTTGATTTAGCTCAATAATTGTGGCAGTGCTGGAATACAAGATAGAGCTGAAGAAATTGAATTTATAAATTACAAGTATAGTTTGATTGTTTATACAAAAATTATTTCCTCTTTGAAAAAAATGTGTTAAGACAATGTATTTTTGAATCCTTTACCCTTCAGTAACCACTAGGGAATAAAACGCTGAGTTGAATTTAATAGGTTTGAAACCATGGCAAAACATTTGTGTTATGAAACTTTTGCTATGTTAGCTTTTTCTCACATCTAAAATTAAAACAAATTTCTTAGATAATTATACAATTATTATAATTATTTATAATTATACATATATAATTATTATACATTTTAAAAAGTTGTTAGTATGTCGCTTGTAACCTCACACAGTAGGCCTATAACTAAAATGTAGTTTTAAAAATATGAATTCCCTGTTTTTTATTGCACTAAGAAAAAAGTTGTTTAGTAGTTAAAATAGTGCTAGAAATAATTGAAAAGAAAGACCCTGTAATATAAAAAAAATGTTGAAATTGATTTTCCCCCTCTAAATGTCCACCTCAGCACATTGCTCAAACAGTTTGCAAGTTCTCAGTACATATATATTGGGGCATACAACAATTAGTAAGTTAAGAAGCTGAGGATTCACACAGTTATGGGAATGGATTATATACTTACCACCTTAGCTGATGTAGGTCTAACAGGGGCAGACTGTAAATTTGGGTTTTATGTGCCAATTTAATGAATAGCAACAAGTTCAGTCCATCTTTTAAATGATTCATTTAAATCAGCTTAAAGAAGTAATAGGACTCCCCCTCCCCCACTATCCAGTTCAGAAAACTTATGTGAAGTAAATAAATATATGATTTATAAAGAGGAAATAATGCTAAAAATGAGATACAATTAAAAATACCATTTTATAAGTAAATGTATTGTTCATACACAAAGACAAAAAATTGAAATCAAGTTTGCAAATAAATGTAGTTAAATAATTTTGTATTTAAGATAGTAAAAAAAATGTGCTAAGAAGGCTAATCAAATTTTTTTACAGCCAAAATAACTAGCAATTATACCAGGCTCAAACTAGCGTGATGCTAGACACCTTTTCTAACAGTGAATCATGCAATTACATAATCTCTAGTGCACAGTTAGATTTTAACATAAAATTTAACTGCTTTAACAAATAGTGTTTTGTTAAATAAATTTTCAGAATTTAAAAAATGATTAAAGCTATTGATGATTAACTTATAGTAATTTTTTTAGATCTCCAAGAAATAAAAGAACAAAGAAATTTTAATTTAAGGGGAAAAATTTGTCTCTATAAAAAAAATAATTTAAAACCAAAAGCTATTTCATAAATATTTGATAACTTCTAAGTTTTGTTTGTGTCATAGTTTTATAAGAATTTCTGATAAAACTTTAATAACAATAAAAATATTTAATTTCAATTGTATTTTGAGCTTTATGTTACCTTACTTAAACAAAACTGAGAGGTTTTGAAAATCATAAGTAGCCTTTAACTTTTCATAGAATGTTTAGCTTTCTTACCTTTAGTCGACTTTTCAGTTTGGCTGCAATCTCTGTGCTTTGTTTACTTTGTTGCTGGCGAGTACGCATCATGGGGTCATGGCAAATAATACCTGCCCAAAATAAATTAGGACATCTCAAAGCTATATCACAGTATTTCAAGCTTTGCCATCCAGTATACTTGTACATACATTCATGTTAACTGCTACAAATACTTCCACTCATATACTATCACAAAATGTCTACACAACTAAAACCATCCTTAAGAATGTATATCTAGCAACTATGTTAAATAAAAACTTTCAACAAATCTGGCTGTAAACTATTTTCTTACCAGCAAGGCTAAAGAGGTCACATAACATGTTGGTTTTGATTTTGAGGTCAAGTGGACTGTCACTATAAAAACAGTTTTTAAAAATTCAAACTATTAAAACTCAAGAGGTCTTATTTACAACAATATATTGGGAACAAAATATTGATGAACATCAGAACAACTTGCAAGTGAAACAAAACCCAAAAGATGATGACAGATGTCAGACAATAACAGATTTCTCCCAAAATGCAAGAGATAGTGACAGATTTACATTGTAAAGCTAAAGAAAGAAAGAGATGGTGACAGATTTACATTGAAAAGCCATAGACAGAAAGAGATAGTGACAGATTTACATTGTAAAGCTAAAGAAAGAAAGAGATAGTGACAGATTTACATTGTAAAGCTAAAGAAAGAAAGAGATAGTGACAGATTTACATTGTAAAGCTAAAGAAAGAAAGAGATGGTGACAGATTTACACTGTAAAACCATAGACAGAAAGAGATGGTGACAGATTTACATAGTAAAGCCAAAGAAAGAAAGAGATGGTGACAGATTTACACTGTAAAGCCATAGACAGAAAGAGATGGTGACAGATTTACACTGTAAAACCATAGACAGAAAGAGATGGTGACAGATTTACATAGTAAAGCCAAAGAAAGAAAGAGATGGTGACAGATTTACACTGTAAAACCATAGACAGAAAGAGATGGTGACAGATTTACATAGTAAAGCCAAAGAAAGAAAGAGATGGTGACAGATTTACACTGTAAAACCATAGACTTACCAAGCAAGAGATGGTGACAGATTTACTTCCAAAACCCATGGTTTTAAGTTCTCATCCAGTAGTATGTCAAAACCATACAGCTCTGAAGATAAATGAATAAATATTACAGTAGTGTGTATTAGATGTCTTTTAATCATAATGAACTAAAATAATTTAACTAAATAAACATTTCTCTTCAAAATGTGTTAACTTTGTAAGTTACAACTAAACAATCTTTGTGCTTTACCAAAACAATTTCCTCTGAAAGACTGGAACATCTTGCACGCAGTGGCAACAGATGATTCCACGGAGAGTATGGTTTTGATAACCACATCCTCAATTCGCATCATGAGAGCTGAAGTAAACAGGCAAATATTTCACAGGCTAGGAGGACATTTTTTAAATAGTATTAAATGTTTTTCTAAGAACAGCTGAGCAATAAAATAAGAGGTAAAGTACCAGCCGTGTCCTTGCCCTCAGACCGCAAATATCGTAGCATAGCGCCCATAGACCACTTATTGCCATAGTCTTCAACATCTGGATCATCATTCCTTATATGACATAAAATTTTATATTAACACTTTAGGTAAATGGAGATAAGATCCATTATTAAATTTATATTAAACAGGAAGATAACATTTTAATTTTTTTAAAACATGAAAAAAGTAATTGAACTGAGAGACAAACATTTTAGTCTAATACAATCATGTAAACGATCTATTGTAGACAACCAAGAGTCCATAACAGTAAAAAAAAATCCTTACTTAACATAATCTTGACTTTTCTTGTTAACGCTGTAGTTGGTTAAATGCATGCACTGATTTCTCAGGTGTTTGACATTTTTTTCATACTTCACTGTGGCAAATCTGGTCAATCCTTCTTCATACAGGTAAATTACAAGTGGGTCATACGACGTCACGGTCACATAGAGTCTAACGTCAAACTTAAATCCTGTTAAGCAAATGGTTTTATTATTCCAAATCAACATTTTAAAATTGTTAAAAGCTTAGAGTAGAACTACTAATTAGAATCTTAAAATCACTCAGTTAGCAATCGCCTGATGAGCCTTTGGATATGTTTGAATAAAAAAATATAAAACAAAATTGCATACCATCAATGACTAAAGGCGAAGAGATATACTTGCTCACGATAACATTTTCATCTAAAGGAACTTGATCCGGCTAAAAAATATCATATTGGATGTAAATCACAAATCAACAAAATTATAACACTTTTTTTAAACAAGAAAAAAGCTACATAAATGATGCTTTTTAGAAAAATAAACCGGGAGTGATCTCCCCTAAACTTTCTCGAATATTCTTATATAAAATAACAGGGGATGGGAACTCGGGCTATAGACTTCTAGACATGATTTTTAATCCATTTTAAATACTTAAAGTTTTAAAAATAGAATAAAATCTCGTAGACAAATTAATTGCACACCAAGTGAACGCGAATAAAAAAGCGCATAATAGTGCGCAATATTATTAGTACTTTTAAAATTTACATTAGTTTTTTGAGAAATCGGAAGTAGCGTAAATAAGTACTTCCGGTCAACGAAAAATTCTCAAAATTTGACAGAAGGTAGAGAATTAGATCTTTTACTTACATATCAAATTTCATTTATCTATCTGAAATAGTACTCAAGTTATAGGCTTTTGAAAAATTCAAAGTAGAAAAAGTACCACTTCCGGTTATCCGAAATCGCTCAAAAGTTGATACGGATCTACGATGTTGATAAAATACTTGTATATGAAATTTCATCAACCTAGCTGTAACGGTACTCAAGTTATCGTGTTTACACACGGACACACACACACACACACACACACACACACACACAGACACACAGACATACGGACAAGATTGCAAAATTATGTTTTTCCGTATCAGTGAGATGTAAAACGTCGAGATTTGCAAAAATCTCGATTTTTTTTTTTTTGCACGATTACAAGACTTTCTCTATACTTCGTATATACGAGAAAGTAATAATAAGGAAGCTCAACAAAAAAAAAAAATACATGACATAACAATTTACATGATTTATGAGGAAAACTCCCCTTCCTCTTGAGGATGCAACTGGCTTTACAATGTAAGGTCCTTTGTCTTTCAAAAAGCTTGCTGAAAATAAAATAAAACTGTCAAATTAATTTAATTAGAAAATGATGTAAAAAAATTACCAACATTTGAAATATATAAACAAAAAAAAACACCACATTGTTTAAAATACATTCTTAATTTTTTACCATAATTAATAGAAACTTCCAAAAACCTTTATAAAAATAAGCTGTAAAATACACTAAAAATTAGAAAATAAAAATAATTTTCATTAATTAAAATAGCCTTTCAGACATCTCTCCACCATGACAAAAGTTAGCTTAGTGCTGATCTTAATATTGCTAATATAGTCTAATAAAAAGCACTCTACATGAATAGTAGATTTATAAACATGCATTTAAAACATTTTTATTAGCTTAATAGCTCTGTAAACATTTTAGGTGAATGCGACCTCTCCTGAGTAATCAAGTATCACCTACTATCTAGTTCTCTTTTTTTATTGAATATAGTAATCTTTAAAATAATTTTTACTGACTACTTTAACAACTTATTAGATAATTAGCATATCTGGATAGTTTGAAAGATTCAACTCTATTCAAATGGGCCAAAAGTGAGTTAGAAGATTTAACCACAAACCCAGCCACCGACAGACATTGCATGTTAAAAATAGACAAAGAGTTGTAACTTACAACAAAAGTCTTGATAATCTCCAGGTAAAACATAACTTGGGGGAATGAAATCAAAATGCTTGTAACCCTAAAAGAGAATACATACATTATTGGAAAGTCCTATCAGTCTTTTGTTCTCATTTAAGGACCAGAATAACATCAAAAGTAATTACCCAATTCAATCCTACCTTTATTTGCTGCATTCTTTGAATATTTTTAAATAGTCTATCTTTTCTAGTAAGCTCATAGGATCTGTAAAGAGAGTAGTTAAAGTACATACAAAGTAGGCCTACAATTTTTAATACACATCAAATGATTGTATCCAGTAAATTTAAATTTTGCTGAATAGTTTTATAGAATTTTTTCTTAAATACAGCTAATCCTTTCATGCAAACAAATATATACATACAGTACTTTCTTTTTCAATAAGTGCCTTTCTGTACCAGAAATCAGATTAATTTTAGTATTTCTATCCCTCTGGGTGGAAAATATAACTAACAAACTTACCTTGGGAAATGGTTGATTTTCTGAAACTCTGACATGGTTCTCAATGTAAATGGCTTGAGGTGTGAATTGCTCCATACTAAATTGTAGTCTATACTGTTTGGGTGGACCTATTAAAACATTGGGCTTCTGTTATGAATTAGTTAATATAAATAAAGCTAGAAAGTACAAATGATCATGAAAAGACCAATCTTACTTCACCTGCAAAAGGCTCATTTTAATTTTGTTAAACCCCATTGATTTTTCAAGAATTTAATATACAAGGCATTTTTAAAATACAAACCTCATGAAATCCATGTGATAATAAAATGTTACGAACAATCTTGCAGTCAGTTGAGGCAAACTTAAAAGCCAGATGGTACCTTTCTAGAAGTAAAATATGAAAATAAATGTAAGCCATTTGATTGTTTCACATCAAAACAACTAAGCAATTTATTTATATACTAGCATTAATGTAGGATTTAATTTGTCTTATTTTGCTTATCATAGGACTAGTTTTATATTAGCTGGTGATTATTAAATAAAAATGGAAGTAACAAATAAGCAAGTGTCTGCGTGACACTTTTTCAAGTTAACCTTAACTTACTTACCTCCGACTGTTTTAAAATCTGTTCTTTTGTTAAGAATTGTCTCAGCATTAAACAAGATAATCGGAACTCTTTTACCATAGCCAGTCCACTGGACGTTGAGAGCCTTTCCCCTTGAAAAAAAATAGTTTCCAGTAACTTTCTTAATAAAGTTTTAGCCTTTTCATAAATGCTGACTTGTGTAAAAAATAATTAAATACATGATTAGATTTTAAATATTAAGGAGTTAAGGGATTTCAAACTATTTCAAAAGTAAAACATACTTAGGTTCCAGATGATCTTCTCCATCATCACTTTCATAATCTGAATCATTCTCACTTCGTTCTTCATTCTCACTCTGTTCTGATGGTGTCAATGATCCATTACCATCTGAATCTGGGCCACGAGATTCAAGAGAAGCCATTTGATGATTACGTTTTATTTAATGTGGCTTTAGCAGAAGATATTTCAGAACAATATTTCCATTTTAAACTGCCACAAGGCTGAAAGAAAATTTTAAAAACGTACATAAACAATGAGATATTTAGTATTAGCCGACTTATTTATTACTACTTTCACTTATTTATCAAGTTTTCAAATTTGTACTAATTTGTATTGAATAATGAATTTCAATTAGGCTAATTACTATATTTTCACTTGTCTTCATCTATATATATATATATATATATATATATATATATATATATATATATATATATATATATATATATATATATATATATATATATATAGGCCTATACATATAAGACTAATGTTTATGGTATTAAGCTTACATTACAAGTTAGTGAACAAAGTACATAGACTAGGACATGTGTGCGCTAGTGTTGTGGCAGACTATGCTTCTCTCTTTAATTAATATGATAATATTTTTCAAAAGAAGAATAAAATAAATAGGCCTACAAATCTTAAATAAATATTTTAATACTCTGCCTGGACAAGTCTTCCCGAATTAATTAAATAGTAAATAGAAATCAGGTAACAAAATAAAATGTACTGCATATTCTGCTAAAAATCTAATCGACTGCATTGTCAACACTGCAGTTCAGACTGAAATTTAGGTAAGGTTCATATATCTACTTCATAGGAGGTTATTATGGAAAAAACTTTCCCGCACTGCCTCATTGACCTGAGTCACCAAAAAATTAAAAACTCATTAAAAAATGATTAATGTAGCTCCAAATGAGCAAGAACTAACAAAATAAAGTGTTTGGTGCATTTAAGATAGGTTATTGGTAATGTTTAAATCTAATTAAAATAATGAGGTTTTAAATTTTAAATTTTAAAGTTTAGTTTTAATTTTAAATGTGGCGTGAATTGCTATTCTAACTCACAGAACTGAAGTGAGAACTGTGAACTGAGGAACTCACTGAGATTAGGAATCTCTCTAGATCTAAGAATGATTTCATTGAAATTTAATTGAATTAAAAGACACATTCATAATGAATATTTAATAAGCTTTTACATTTAAAAGAATAATTCTCGAATATAAATATGTAGCCTACTTAAATTACCAAATAAGTAAAATAGTGTTTACATTGTTGTTAAGCAAGGATGGGGGAATTCGTCCGCCATCGTGTTCGGGCAAGCTCATTGGCCAATCATATCCTAGCGTAGCAATGGATTAAAGGGAAACTACTCTAAAAGAAAACTCATTAAACATTCGTTCTTTGCATTTAGCGATAGATTTATTTAGATCTAGTATTTTTTAGGCTTAGAATCAATATTTATTTGTAAATCTAAATTTCCTGAAACGCATAATCTATATCTATCTAGATCTATAGGCTTACATATCTAGATCTATTATTAAATTTAATAGGCCAGGTTAATTTTAAATTATAAAAATTTAAAATATGGGCCTACACAAAAGACAAAAATATTAAAATACGACCTGCCTAAAGTAAAAAAAAAAATTGACAAGTCAGTCCTAAAAAAAAGTCAAGTAAAGAGTTAAAGACCAAAGACTAGAGTAAAGATTAAAGTCATTAAATTAAACTATTATAGTTCAATTTTTTTAAAAGATGTTGCGATATGTACGCTGTGCCATGAATGAATCAATAAAAAAATGCACTGGTGCATTCATTTTCTTACATGGATCAGGTAAGGTATTGATACTGATAGGCCTATTAATTATAATATGGCTTATGTTGCACACTTTTCTCTGTGACGTTTTTAAAAAAATATTCTGGTGTTGAAGTAGTAGGTGGTTTGTACATTTATCAACCTGCCATGTGATGTTGTTTCCAGATTTAAAAAATAAACACTCAACAGTGTGCTTGGCTGGCCCATTTGGTAAAAGATATGATGCACACTTGTATATTAGACATTATTAGATCTCCTAATAATTCAAGCTGCATTTTGTCAGGCAATTCAATTTTTAACACATTTGCATGAGAAATTAAATAGAAACTATTCTATTCTCGGCCCAGAAAGGTAGTCAATAAAGCATTATTTTTATAGTTAATTCCAAATATTTTTATCCATTAGGTCTCTAATGCTGATTTATTATTCAATTATTTATAATTTACTATATAAAAGCAAAGTGAAAGATGTCTGGTTGTTAATTTCAGCACTTAGAATATAGATCCAGTACTTCAGATGGCAGTTTTTGTTACATCACTGGGTTCCCACTCAAATCCACAGGGGAAAAAAATTGTTTTATTTAGCCATGATCAAGTTAGTTTGCATTACTTAGCTTTGCTGTTGTCATTATGCTGTGGTCATATGTAATATGGTTTCTATTGTAAGGTGGAACTGGAGAAGATTTACAAGGAGACATCAACTATATTTCTAATGGTGTGTTTTCATTTCCACATGTGAAAGTTATCTTCCCAACAGCCCCTTTAATGTAGGTAAAAAATATTTATATTTTTGATGAAATTAGAGTAGTGTAAAGTAGTCAATGAAACCAAGTAATTATTATTATAAGCTCATTTGTATTATTTATGGTCCAATTACATTAGTGTTTTCTGATGCTTGTAATAGAAACTTCTAATTTTCTTATACTACAGGCCCTATACTCTAGGAGGAGGCTACCCAGTAAATGTTTGGTTCGACAGAGTTTCTCTTGACCCTGATGGCTCAGAATGTTTGTCTTCCATAGATGCTATGGCTGAACAATTGAAAAACATAGTAGAAGCTGAAGTTAGTTCAGGCATCCCTAGAAACAGAATTGTTGTAGGTAAAATGAAAACACTTCTCAACCTATATTTAGTAAACAAATTTTTAAAAGTTCTTTGTCTATTCAAAAATATTTTAATGCCATAAACTTTTTAAGATAGGGTCTATAATTAATATTATTGACCTTTTTAAAGTTATTTTAAGTTGAAAATATAGATTTGATAAACAGACACACAGAGTATAATAAATTTAGAAGTTTAATTTAAACTTAATAAATTCTTTTCAGGAGGATTTTCCATGGGAGCTTCAATGGCTCTACATTTAGGACTTCGGCATCTACCTGATATAGCTGGAATTGTTTCCCTTAGTACTTTTCTCTACAACAACAGTGAAGTTTATAAAGTAAATACTTAATAAATTATTTTACATGTTGATTTTTTATAAAACTTTAAGAAAAAGTTTTACATCAGTTCAATTTGTTTTGTTATGCATTACAAATATGTGTGCCTCATTAGACATCTACTGATAAAGTTATACATTTCAATTGCTCTACATTAACCCAAGAAATGCTTTAAGCTAGAACTGTTATTATTAATGTTTCACTGTTCTTTTTTTGTTCACCTTTTATGCAGAAACTGGAAGCCAAAGATCAAATTCCTCCAGTGTTATTTTGTCATGGAGATGGAGATGAGCTAATAGACTTTAAGTGGGGTCAGAATATGTACAAACGTTTAACTCAACTTGGTGTTGTGGGAAACTTTCATAAAATGACAAATTTAGATCATTCTATAAATGCCACAGAGTTAAGACTAGTGAGATCATGGGTGACTGAAAGAATTCCTCTTATTGATTGACAAGTTGGATGTTAAATATAAATTGGTATAGCAAGATGGAGGATATTATGTAAAATACAAACTACCTTTATTGTTGCCTTTCGATTACTGTGCATTAAATAAACACAATGTCATAATTGATAAATTATGTTGTATGGAGGCCAAGGTGAAGTATATTTCAAACCTTCATTGTAAACTGATTTTTAAAAGTTTATATTTTTCTAGGACACATTGTCCAATACTTTGTATGCCTTGTTTTGCACTTGTCCTTCGGACATGTTATAATTGTTTTCCATATATATGTTTATACAAATAAAACAATGTCATTCATTTTCATTGGTTGAAAATTTTTATATATTATAAATATTACATAAAATATCTGTTTTTCATCAATTATAAACAAACAAAGCAAGTTACTTGGTGTGATGAGTAAAGAATATTTGTATTCAATTTTTACTTTTTTTTTTACAAGTTTTCATGTTTTTAAAAATAATATGAACATGTAAAAAGAAACAAATAAAACAATAAATAGTAAAACTGTATGCAACTCCAAAGTTGCCTATGCATAAACAAAGGGATTGGTATAATATCTATGTTTTTGTTAAAAACACATAATTTCTTGTTATCATACTAAAAAATCAGTGTTAAAAATTAGCATACAAATTTTAAGCCTTTGCCTATAATTATGAACACGATTGTAAGATACAACAACCATTATATAGACATTACTTTGGAGACCACTTTCCAAAAAGTAAATTTTCCGTGTCTAAAAGTTGTCATATTTTAGTTTACATGTAGAATCATTATAAATTCCACAATTTTAAAACAATATAAATGCTAATAATAGACATCATAAATGAAATGGAACCAATTTCATTCTGTTTGAATTCTGAGGATCTTTGATTGCTATCTGACACCTCAGAAGAAACTCCACATGTTCTGGCCAAAATCTATTATCCAAATCAATGTATGGCTGGGCTGGACTGTTGATAGATTGTTCTATCAACATACCAACTATTGAGTAAAGAGGTAAAACATTTTCTATATCAACACTTCTAGAATCATTCAGAGCATTGTCAGATTTTTTTTGCTTGACATTTTCTTTAACATTTGTTGGGGCTTTAAAATGCTTGTTAAGAAATTCTTTTAACATAGTTTTGAACTTCCTTTGAGCATCATCAATGTTTTTGTATTTTGCTTCCATCTCATCAATCACTACTTTGTGAGCAACATCATTTTCATCAACAGCGTCTAGGTTAACAGCAGACACTTTTTTCTGAAATGTGGGAATAGGTGTTTTTTTTTTTAAAGTTGATTACGTAGATGGGTAATTTTTAAATTACTTTAATTAATAAAGCGCAAGTATCGAAGTCAATAATGTAGAAGAACAAAATTAGTAATCTAAAGTATTGGTATTTCAGTACTAACAATTTTCAAATTTTATTTGCTTGTTTAAAAAATTTACTATATAAATGTACTTATTTATCAAAAAATTAAAATTGAATGACATAGATTTCATAGAACATAAAAGTAATATAATTTTAAATGTATTTCCCCATTCACCTATTGTTAAATTAATATTAATAAAACACAAACATGTTTTTAAGATCTGAACAAATTAACTTAAAAGCCTACATTCTAACCACAAAGTGAATTTACTTATGAAAAACATACTGCGGACATAAGTTTTTTTCATACCTTTAAAACTTCATTCACACTCTGCAAAAGTGAATGACTTTCTTCTTCTTGTTTTAATTCAGTGACAACTTCAGTTCTTTTTGCTCGTAAAAATGTCAGAGTTTCTTCAAGCTGTTCTATGTGTTGTATTTGCTCTTGCTGAAGAACAAGAAGTTGAATTTCTCTGCTTTCTGGCAATGTCTTTAAATCACATTCACTGATAACCTGCAGCTCAGCTTTAAGTCTGTAGTTAGTGAAAACATTTTTCAATATGCATTTCTTTAGAAATAATATTTAATAATATATAGTTTTTTAGCAGTTTGAAAAGAAAACAAAGGAGTCAAAATACTACACAATCATCAGACAATAGTAATAGGTGTGTGGGTGTGTCACTTTGTTATTGCATTCACCCAATGAATACAATTTGAGGTATACTTACATTCTTCCCTGAAATTTACAGGGCTGATCACAAATATATTGTGTTACATATCTTTTAAGAAGATGTTTTGATAGTTGGGATAGAATTGTTTGAAATTGATTTAGCACTATGGGAAACCTACAAAATTCATCAATATCATCCAACATCTCTACAAAGACTCCAACCACTAGATTATCCACAGCACATTAACCAGCCCTTTTTTAAAGTGAAGTGAAAACAAGTATGGCAAAGCTGTATTCTTTTGCCTATAAGCTTTTTGATAGTCACTGACTGGATTACAACCTCCGACCAAAAAGTTGGAGTTCTGTGGATCCTCACACTAAACAACTGGAGGACCTAGGTTTTGAAGATGACATCAGTCTCCTCTCACATCAACAACAGCATCAAGCTAAGCAAACACTGTGAAGAAGTACTTAAGACAGGGTTAAAGGTCAACTGGTAAACAACAGAAGTGATCAGAGTCCACAAAGAGGAGCAGGTGGATCGCTTCACATGTCTAGGAAGTATGCAAGTATGAGGGAGCAGATGAGGACATCAAAAGCTGCATCAGCAAGGCCACATATGCATTCAAAACCCTCAGCACAACCAAAATAAGACTGTTTAACCGCAATGAGAAATGTGTTCTCCGAAATTGTTCTAAAACATGGAGGGTAACACAAACTAATGACAACAAACTTCTGATTTCATTAACAGATGCCTGTGTTACATGTTGAACATAAGGTGGCCAGAAAAAAATCACCAAAACCCAACTGGAGATAACTGGACAAGACCGTATTGGCTAAGAAATACAAAAGCACAAATGGGATGGATGGGACACACATTGACTTACACAAACCAACAAACAAAATTACTAGCCAGGCATTAGATTGGAATCCCCCCCCCCCCCCCCGGAAACTAAAGAGAAAAGTAGGTAGATCAAAATAAACTTGGAGATAATCTATTGTTAGTTAAACACAAGCATTTAGAATGTCACTGACCCAACTTAGATTGCCCAAAATTGAAAAAGATGAAGAGGAAAGGTTGCATTTTATCCTCCACAAGGGGTCCAAGATGTATGTTTTAGAATAAAAGAATGAAAAATACATTATTCTATGTATTTAGACTGTTGTAAGTTTAAATAATTGATGATATAAATGTTCTCACCTCCCACAACCCACCCCCTTCAGCTGTTTTACATGTGAAGTCACAAACCATGGAGCATTATAAGTAAATATTTATCTGACAACTCTGATCCTATTTCCAGCTTTGCTTCACCTGTTACTGTCTTCTATCTCATTTTGACCTCTTTCCTTTTCACTCCCCCTCTTAAAACTAGACCCTAAAAGACTTGACTTTGAACATATGATGAGCAGACACCACCCATGGTTTAGAATAATTATAAGTAGGCCTAATTATATAACATAATCAGGCAAAAGTACTAGATCTAGCTTCTAAGAATAGGACTAAAAGGGTAAAACTATAGGCCTAAAGCCTGAAATAATTTAATCGAATTGTCTATTCACAGTCGACTGTGAATAGCCGTATTGGAGCTATTCACAGTCGTGACCATTTTTGATAGATTTAATATTAAAAATACCTAGATGGGCATGAAGATGTGTGGTCGAGCGGTCATGGGGAGAGGCTGTCATGCCAGAAGGTGTGGGTTCAAATCCATCAGTTGACAATTGTTCTGTCACTTAATGTATGCCTCATAAACTTATTATCAAAATATTTTTTCACAATTAGATCTAGATTCTACTTGAGTTACTCATGTTAATTTTTTTTTTTCGTTTGTGACGTAATTGTTGACATATCAATCAGCAAAAAAGAAAAAAAAAGACCTGTCCATAGATTTTTGCTAAGAGAAAAAACAAAAGTGTGATGGAAACTGAATTATAGCTGATGAAAAAAAGAACATCCAATTTTACCTGATATTTATTCTAGATCTATGTGATAATGTGAATTTTTAACGGTAATTGATAGTTGAATAGCAATGTGAACAACCAACTAAACTGATGCTTAATTAGTATTATTTATTTAAAAATTATTAGATCTATTATTCTAGTGTATAGATTTAGAGTGCATACTTGATCATCTATGACCTACGTAGCCTGTAGCAGATAGATCTATATCTGATATGAGCCTAAAAGCTAAACTAAACTTTAACCGTAATAACTTTTTTATAAAAATATAACAAAAAAAAAAAATAGCACTGCTCTCTTAATTATACCTCACTCCCCAGTCACAACAAATGATTTATTACTTAAAGATATTATTCACAGTCGTATTTAGCATGAAATGACAGCCGACTGTGAATAGCCGTATTGGGGCTATTCACAGTCGGCTGGGAATAGCCCCAATATGGCTATTCCCAACCGGCTGGGAATAGCCTTGGCCTAATTTAATATTATATTAGGCCTATGTATTTATGTAATTTAATATAAAAAACATCAAAATTCATATCCTAGGTCTAGAAGGTAATCTATCGTTTTGGGTACGTAAACAAGATGGCTTCTATAGTAAATGAGCATGGTTGCATCTATTGGAAACATCGCCAGTCTTCATTTATTTCTGAAAAGTTAAAATTCAATTGTTTAAATTCTAAAAACAGGTACATAAATGAAACAAGGAAACATTTTTGTATTTTAAAAAACATAAATCCTCCTCAAAATGTGAAATAATTATTAAAATTTAAGGAGTCACCTGTTTTTCACTTTACAAGTCGCGGGCGATTTTACGTACCCAAAACGATAGATTACCTCTAGAATTTATAAATTAGTCATTCTAGTGGCAGGAAACAAGCAGCGATGAAAGATACTTAAATAAATATTGTAAGCAGTTGAAACGTACCTTTTCTCGTGCTCCTGCATCAACTGATGTAATGTGCCAGGATTACTAGGGCCACCAATAGCACCAGTTTCAAACGTTTGGTCCCCAGCATCTGCTGACAATATTTGAACTGGATGGAGATTTTGTAATTCGGTCTGAATTTGTTTTAATTTTTTCCAGTCACGTGAAATTTGGGCTTTTAACTGTCTAGTATCAGCATCGTGTAATTCTTCTATATCCATTGTAAATGACAGGTTATCAACTGAGTTTGAGAACAATTAAATAATCATAATAATGAATATCATTTTCATTTAATCATATACCGCCATTTTTAAACAGGAAGTGTTTAGAAGGCAACCGTATATTGGACTGGATACAATATGGTAGACATTAATATAAAAGCAACTCGATAAAATATTTATTAACAGGCTTATTATAATTATTTCTATGCTCTTTTTTCCATTATAAATGTAAAACACGTAGGCCCTAAAATAAAAATAAGAGAGCTAGACTAACTTCATTTTTACCGTACCCACGTTATCTTTTTTAATGATAACTAATAATACTAGGCCTACTGTAACTTATTTATAGGTTTTATATTTCTCTAGGCCTATTATATTTATAATATAGTATAGCTCTCAATCAACCGTCCCTTTGTTTCCGAGCTTATTGAGGTAGTAGGGAATAGACTTGATTTTTTTCATAATTTTCTGCCAGTTTTCTCGATTTTCTACCTAGTGGCGTAGCGCAGTCGGGTGTTACCCGGTGCGGCACTTAATGGTGTCACCCCCCAGGGGTGTAGCGACCCATCCCGGGGACAAACTTTCAAATTTTCACACCCCCCCTTAAGTTTTTCTCTATATATTTTGCTATTTTTTGCCTTGGTGTCACCCCCCTAAATGGTGTCACCCTGTGCGCCCCCCCCCCCCCCCCTCGCTACGCCTCTGCTTCTACCCAAAAAGCCCCTCTTTCATCTTGGAAAAAGATGGTGAGCGCTTTTTTTTTAACCAATGACCGACTCTTAAGGGTATTTATTTTACTATTATACAGTCAAGGCAGAGTACGTTTTAAAATGTGTGTAAAGCCTTGTATTTAAATGTATTTTTGTGGATGTTTATTTTCTTAACTTTGTGTATAATTCTATACTTCTACTTAAAATAAGCTATTAAAATTTTTTCAACGCTCCCCCCCCCCCCCCCCCCCAGCTTTTATCCCGTTCACAATACCTCCCCACAGTATTTGTAATTTGATATTCCTTGTAATAGTTTTTCATAAGCTAAAAGCGGTAGGTGTTTAGCCTATTTAATTACTTTGAGAAACGATTAGAGCTGATTCTAAAATGTATATTTTGCAATAAATTATGATGTAAAAGAATACACATAAAGTCCAACACTTTACCATTAGTCCCAGATTCATTTACTGTCTAAATAGACATACAGTAAGACACAAATTCAATATTAATGAAAAATAAAGCATTAATCACATCACAAATCATACATAACAAAAAAAGTTGTTTTTTTTTAAATAGTAGGCACACAGGTTTGTTGTATATGGACATACAAAGTTCTTAGAATTTAGAATAAAGCCTGCTCATCATAAGCTTGTTAATTTGAAATATTTACTTTTCTCAACAAGCTGGAGATTTTTACCTATGATATGTACAATGAATAAATAAACTTGTAACTATGGAATATAAATTATTGACAATGCAATACACACAGACACAGTTATTGAATTAGTATAAGCTTTTAAAGAATTATGAATTACTTATGTGTATGTCCTTGTTAATCTGGGTGGGTAGGGGGGGGGGGGGGTCAAGTTAGTTTGAAGTGGTTTGCTCAAACAATTTTACTACTATATCTAGAAGCAATGACAAAGTTTTGCTGTTTATAAAATGCCATTTTAAAAAAAAAAAGATTTAATAATTATAAGTTTAACTAATATTAAAAGGCACATGCTTTCTTTATTTTTGAATAAACAGTAAAACAGACCTACAAACTTTTTAGATATTTAATGTAAATAATAAAATATAACATTTGGTGTAATTTTTATCCTGTCTACAAATGCAAGTGTTTCTATAAATCAGAATTTGTCATTATTAACTTGATGAATAAAAACCTGAAAACAATGCCCTGATCTTTAGTATCTTAAACTAATGTTTGCAGCTAGAAATTGAGAAGAAGTAAATAATTACTTGAAACTTGTTTTTGACAGAATCTCTATTTATTAAATATTTGTATTAAATAAATATGCTACGGTGACAAATGTACAAGAAAACTTATTGTGGCTTAGTGTTGCTGAAATAGAAATCTAAACCCCTTTTTTGCCCAGCATATTGAGTGTGCTGTGTCCTGCTTGATGTTGCACTTGCTCCCCGGCCTCTTGGTGATTGATAATCTTTGCTTCCCTTGGGCGCTGATGAACTTGAACCCTTTAATTAACCAAGAAATTATAAGTAAGACGCATACATTTTTATGTGATTAATTTTGTATCTTTATTTATAAATATACTTATACATGCCTATATACATATATATGATAATAATAATTTGTGTACCACTGCTTCTGTTTTTAAGTTTCTAGTATATTTTACAAGTAGTTTTCTTTACAGGTAGATTAAATAACAAAATCCACTCACAGGCCTATTGACATGTTTACTCCACTCAGGTGCAAGAACTATGGGATGAGGGTATGTCTGACCTAGAACTACATTTCCAGTTTCCAACTGGACCTTGCTGGCAGTCCAAATACAATGAACTCTTCCTGTTTTAATCCCAGCCAATTCTGGAACCCACAGCCTAACATAATTACCCTAAAAACATAAATTGGAAAATAAATTTAATCGCATTTTTATTCCTTTAATAGTTGTAGAATAAAAAGTCTTTTATAAATATATTTTAACTCTGTTGTACACACGTAATTAGGCCAGTCATTCACCTCTTCATCATAATCTAGTCCTTGCTTGACAACATTGAATTTTCTGTTTTCTCTAGGATCATTTCCAATGCCTGCTCCATATAGCCAGTTGCCATAGTTACTGCACACATCATGGTCAATCTACACGATAAATAATTTGTACTTGCATAAATCATTGTGAGGGTACATTAAGAGATCAATTTTTAACAAGGTATTTTAGCATATGCTGAATAAATGCTACTCACAAAAGGGTGGAAAGAGAAACCTACCAGCAGTGATTCGAACCATTCTGCTCCCAATCTCCAGTCCAGCTGCAAGTCCTTGGTTAAGAAACTGGCAACATTCTGTATAATTTACAGTTGTTTTTTTTTTAAAGTATTGGGAAAAAAAATATTTTTAGCATTTGTGTTAATAAATAGCCTTATTGCTTAACGAACAATAAAAAAAACGTACCTGGCGACCTCTATTAGACATAAAGCCTGTGGCTGCAAGCTCCCTCATATTTGCATCGACGTAGGGGACTCCTGTTTTACCCTCTGTAAAGAACATTTTTTATACCCAATTAGAAGTTCTAGTTACAATTGTATTATTATTATAATTTAAATTAGGAGTTTGCTTACCCTGCCAGGCTTTAAAATGTTGTTCATTGGTCTTCCATTTTACATTATCTCCCTTTATACCTGTTAAGAAAAAAGTTATAAATAAACAAAATATTACAATCAAATAAACAATGCAACCTTAAAAGAACTAAAAGTAAATATGTTTACTTGAAATTAAAGTAAGCAAATGGATGCTTAAATCTAATAGCAGTCCATCTCTTCCATCATAAATAAGAGGCTACAATTATTTAAAGACAATTTTAGTGAAAAAAATCTGACAATTCAGTATTAAAACAAACTATTTGTATAAAGATTACAACTTACAGTAGACTAGTAAATATGTTAATATTTGCATAGTATTTATATTGCTTTTACCCCCTGCAAAGAAGAGTTTATTTCCATATTTGAGACCAATGTAGTAAAAATAATCTCTCCATAGAAGTTCAAATATCACCCAATATGTCGATTGATTTGCTGTCCTTTCTTTTTCATATCTTTTTATTTCCCAATAAATCTTTTTTGCAGATATGCATCCATGAGCAAGCCTAAGAGTTAAAAATGGTTAGATATTTTAAAAAAAATTGTTAGAAAATTTACACATAGCATAGATGGTAAATTTAGCAGATTGGCTCCATAAAAAGAATGTCTGAAGAAATTAAATAAACTTCTCCAACTTAAAATACTTTTTTTAAACAATGCAGTTTTCAAATAGTTTAACACTTTAGTATTAAGTTTAAAAAAATCAATTCACTTGAAATAAAATTCATTTGAAATAGTTTTACCAAGGAGAAAACTTAGTAGAGAATTCAGGGCCTATCATGCCATTTCTGGTGTCTTTGTATGTAGTGACATTGTTGGTTTCCCATAAGTAGCTATTTAATCGTTCTAAAGCAGCAGACTCTCCTCCAGAAAAAGGAAAAGCTGTTCGGGGATCACTCTCTGGCCCTGTGAAGTATTTTGTTACATCTTTAAGAGTCTGACTCAAGTCAAAGTAAAAACAATTTAATTGACATCTTAATTTTCACTAGGTGATACTAACTTTGCTGAATGATAAAAATTAATATTTAGAGTAAATTTAGAGCAGAATTATATCCAACCATTAAAATTCATAAAATGAGAGAAAGGTTAAGAATTTAGACCTTTTGCTACAATTTTTTGTCATCCATACAAGTCTACATGGTCATTTTATTCCTTACTAAAATATGAGATATACGGAACAAATAAAAACTTACTAGGTAAATTAAAATCAGCAAAGCCGGGTATTTCTCCAGGATCTATTGAACAAGGTAATGGCTTTAACTTGTCAGGAATCAGTATCAATTTACGCACAGGAACATCACTTTCTACTCTCTTCCTAAACTGAGTATACACATCAGGCAAACTGAAACAGTACAAGCATTCTATTATTCAAATAACCCTGTTAGGCTTAAAATATAACTTTAAACCTTGTTATTGTTACATAAAAAGATTTGACAATATCATAATACAGAAAATGTTAAACTTTAAATTTAAAATATGTATGTAGCCTAATAGTTATGACCCCAGTTTCAGATCTTACTGTTTAGGCTGAAAGGGTAAATCTTCAATGTGATATAAAGTATGTCCCCATACTGCCGCTACTGGGAGTTTAGATTCTATTGCTTTTTCAACTTTCGTTTCTTCATCTGTTACCTTATAGAAAATACAACTGTTACAACTTTATTTCATTTAATACAACTAACACTGATCTCTTAAGCACATTCACTTTTTAAGTTGGCAAGTGTTACCTACAAGTAATGAGAGAGAACTAAATTTTAAATACTTTACATACCAAGATTTAGAGCACAAAATGTATAAGTTGAAATAAATTTCACTAATTTTCAAATAGATTCAACAGTTTCAACAGTTAAAAAATGAATTGTTGACAAAAACAGTTAAGTGATAAGCTTTCTCAGTTGCCACCTGGATAATGCATGGCATGATGGCGAATCTCATAACAAAAAATTAAACTTTGAAGCAACAAAAAACAAATAAGGTAAAAATGTAGTTATTTTAAGAAGTACCAACCTCTTTATGCAAAAATATTGATACATCTGCCTCAGAACTGAAAGTCTTAATTATTTCAGGAATAACATCTTCTGGTTTGCCTTTTCTTACGATCAAATTACTGAAGTTGTAAAATAACATTTTCAAACTTTACATTGAAATAAAACTTAAATTGTATTAAAACTTACATTGAATTAAAACAAAAAATGAAGTTTAATTTTTTAAATTTTAAAATAAATGAGCCTATGCACAAAAAATAGAAAGCTAAATGAAAAGGAAAACAAAGAGATTGTAAAATCATATAGGTCTACAATTATTAACTAAATTAAGCAAGATAATTAAACAGTAATAAGGTTATGTAACAGGCCACTGTTAATTATTAAGCTAACATGTACCTTCCAATGGATTTTAACTTCTCTCGCAAATCAACAATGCTCTCCAACAGAAATTTCAACCGATGACCACCAGTTTTTGGAAATTTATAGTGATATGTTCCTTCATAATGGCATGGGTCAAAACAGTATAGTGGAAGCAAGGCTTCACTTTTTTGGTTAGCAACAAATAGTGCCTGAAACAGAAAAAAATGAATTTTAAAAATCTTTTAGTATTTTTTCAATGAAAAAAAAGATGGGTTATCACATTTTGTAATATCCTATCAATATTTAGTTAAATATGCCATGCATTGTAGAAAAATTAAAGAATGGAGGTTTTCTTTTATTTTTTAAAGAACTTGTTCTTTTAGTTAACTCATACTATTAAGTCATCATTCCAATTTGATTAATTAAAGAAATTGATACAAAATGACTGTTAATTGTAGTAGGCAATAATAGCAACTTGACAAAAGTAGCAATAGTACCTCATTGTCATGTATCCGAAGGTCATTTCTGAATAGACAAATACCAACTTTTGATGCCATTTTCTTGTTGAACCTGGAAATATTAGTTTTAGAAAGCTTAAAAAATATACAATCTTGAGAATGACCAATGATTTCCATTTTTAAATATATAATAATTATACTTATTTGCAAATAAAATATACATTTATTCATGATAATAACAGTAATTTAGTTTTGCGTAGTAATAACTTTCTAATGAGGACAGATACACATATACATTACAATCATACACATACAGACCATTATCATCATTCCTGTGTACACCTTGCCATCAGACTAAAACTATAATGTGTGTGTTATTGCCATCAGACTAAAACTATATATGTGTGTGTTATTGCCATCAGACTAAAACTATATATGTGTGTGTTAGTCTTACAGCTACAACGATGTCACAATTTAGTTTATGTCAACCCCCAATTGCACATTTTTGTGAAATATTAACTCTGACAATTTGAGTGGGAATAGCCACTTCATTTTAAAAATTACAATTCAAAATGTAAAGCATGACGTCTCATTTCCTGGGCCGTCACCATGAACCCTCACAACATTTTCTAACCTTTTCCCTTCCGCTTTCCCCCTTTATTATTAAATATAGTGACATATTTTATCTCATGGACAACACAGAGATAAGAATTTAAAATGTCAAAATTTTATTTTTGTAAGAAGGATTTCAAAAGTGTGAAAAAAATGCCTGTTCTATTAATATAATGAACAATGTATGTGTGTGTCTGTCTTTTATGCAATACTACATCTTTCATCACATAACCATGACTTTGGATAAGTTGTTAAGATTGCTCCTGGGAAAAAAAATTTCAAATTCGCTGGGGTGGCGCCCCGGGAGGGTGCAATTTTTCTCAATATACGAAATATAAAAAAATAAAGTCTAATGCCGTTTGACACCGTTCATCCGAATGCCATGAAACTTTGAGCAATTGATGAGAATACTCACAAGAAGGTTTCTGGGGGAAAAATTCAATAAATACTTAATTAATTAAATCTAATGATAATGAAGGGAGATAGTTTTTTTTTGGTTAAGGCACGACACACAACACTATGCGTGCGTGGTATGTGGCCTGACCGACCGAAAAGAGATTGTTTATATTATTGTTTTGAGTTTATATTTAACTCAATGCAATGAGCCCGCTGGTTGGTTGAGGCCAGGCCTGGGGGACGATCTGTCCGGGATTCAAAGGGTCGATTCTAAATATTGTCCTAAAAATAATATGCCCGCAAATAAATGATGGTTTACAGTATTTCTGGTGGTTTCCGGAATGGTTTGGCAGACTACCCCATGGTTTTACTGCTTTTTACTGCTGTACAGTTCCAAAATAAATAACCGATGCTATGTTGTGATTTTACCCCAATTTATTTATTATTATTATTATAGTTATAGGCATAAATTCAAAGAAATAGAAAATAAAAAGCTTACGTCATTGAACTTATTGAAGTCTAATCAATCTCTGTGGCTGTAGGAGTGAGGACTGTTACTGTTACTGTCTGTTACTGTTAAACTACTGTAGGACTGTAGGCCTACTTTAATTAATAATTATTTATTAATTTATCAAAGTTAGGCCCAAGCACTACCTATACTGAGACTATACCTATACTCTAGTACTACCTAAGTCAACTAGTTACTAAAGGTGAAGTGCCCACTATTTACTATTTATTTATTTAGTACTATTTATTTAACTATTAACTAGTATTAACTATTTGGTCTGTTACATAATATGCGAAAACATCGATTGAAAACAGAAACTTTCCAGATACATCCACGAAATTGTGGCCAAAATATTTAGAATAGTTTTAGATCTAGATCTAGGCCTATATTATCTATATCCGAATTTAATCGGAAGGACACTGAGTAGCGAAATTAATTTTTAATAATTAGATCTACAATTTACACCAAAAAGGAAGTCTTTCACAAACGCAAAATAACTGATTAAATTTAGTTTTTATCATCAATATTAGGCTCAATGCAAATATTTTGTGACATTTTCTGGAACTCCCCACGCCCTTTGTCACAAATGTAACAAAAGCCACAATCCGTGTGACGTCGTAAACGATGTTTTCCAGCTTTATTACTTTCTCGTATACGAAGTATAGAGAAAGTAGTGTACACCTCCCCGAGTCGGAAAAACACAATTTTGCAATCTTGTCCGTAAGTCTGTGTGTGGGTATGTGTGTGTGTATGTGTGTCTATGAACACGATAAGTTGAGTACCGTTACAGCTAGGTTGATGGAATTTCATATACATAAGTATTATATCAAATTTGTAGTTCTCTATCAACTTTTCAGCGATTTCCGGTTACCGGAAGTGGCAGTTATTCTACTTTCAATTTTTCAAAAGGCTTTAACTTGAGTACTGATAATTGAAATTTCACATGTAAGTAAAAGATCTAATTCTCTGCATTTTATCAAAATTTGATTAATTTCCGTTGACCGGAAGTAGTAATTTACGCTATTTCCGATTTCTGACAAAAACTCATGTGAATTTATGAAGTACTAATAATATTCCGCACTATTATACACAGATTTCTTTGGCGTTCACTTGGTGCGCAATTCTTTTTTCTACGAGATTCTATTCTTTTTTAAAAAGTTTAAGTAATGGATTAAAAATCATGTCTATGTCCCGAGGTGCCATCCCCCGTAGTGTTATATAAGAATATTCGAGAAACTTTTGGGGGAGATCACTCCCGGTTTATTTTTACATTAAATAAGTACAAACCATTTGAATATAACATGCCTTATTTTTATTTACATCAGTGTAGTTCATAAGTTTCATGCAACTTATTTAGTCAACAAGATTTTATTTTGAATAATTAATTAATAAACCATTAGTAAAGGCCAAAGGGTCATCCATAGCCATAAGCACAAATGGTGTCACGCTTTTTTGTGTGTGAAGCCCCCTCCCTATAATCACATCAGACAGAATCCTACATACTACATCGCCCCCCCCCCCCCTCTCAAAACTGCAGTTTAATGTAATTTAAAACATCGATTTCCTTCTAAAATTTTGACTGAGTTCATTCAACATAGAGCATATTAATCAATTTCTATTACAAATTTCAAAAAGTTTCTAAAACGCGAAATAACAATTAAAATTCAGTTTCTAATATTTTTTTTTCAAATGCAAAAGTGGGTTGTTACACAATCTGAACACCCCTTCCCCCTAATGACATATCGTCACAAAATTACAACCCCCACACCCCACTAAGAGTGTGACGTCATTTATGGACGACCCCCTAATGCCAATTAGTTCTGACAACACTTTTACTTCATATGCCGAGGTCACAGAAACAAGTAAACTCTACTTCACTTTTCCCATGGTCCATCAGGCTTAAGGGAACTTTACTTTTGCCAATGAAACAAAATAACAGTCACAACATTTAGTTAATCAAAAGAGCTGGTAACAGTATTCAAGCTACAATGAGTAATCCTCCTTCTAGAATCAATAAGCAACAGATGCAAAAGGTGAACAGCTGCACCATACATGGTAATTTTTTTCAGCTGAATAATTTTATGTTAAAAAAACTATGGCTGCAGAAATTCTGTTGTTAAGCCATAGAAAACCCTATAGACTAGTTACTGTGATTGAAGATGATTCCAGTAAAATTGTTATCGTCACAACCACAGCCATTTGCAGTAGGCCTAACTACATGGAATCCTTATATTAAGCAATTTTGCTGAAGATTTTTGTTTTCAGAGTATCTATAAATGTCTATTTTAGCTCTTATCAATAATAGAGCATCTGAAATATCTGAAATCAATTGTAAAAATAGAGTAAAATTGTAAGAGGATCATTTAAAATCACTCTTACATCATTATTACTCCAGCCTTCAGAATACCACTTTGTTGTTTTTGTTACATGTTTTTTTATAAGAAAAAAGTATCTGCAAATGATAAATGTTTTATACAAACATTATAAAAGAGAATTTTAAGAAATAAACTGCTTTTATAAAGTGTGCATACTTTGGAAGTAAGCTGACTTGAGCTTAGGGAAGATGCAGGTAGAGCTCATTAAATAGTTCAAATGCACAACCAGCTGCAACTTTTTAGGATGTTTCTATTCTACAAACTGTGAAACCTACTGTTCTGGCACCTTATAAATCCTAATAAAATCTTGCTCAATGGACAACTTGTATTTTTAAAAAATCTCTTATGTCAAGGCATTTGTATGACAAGATACTCATCTAGTTAAAAATCTCGATTTTGAACCCTTGGGTAGGTGAGGCTCGTTAGCTGGGGACAGCCACTCTTCTAGGAGAGACAACTCCAAAGTCAAACAACTGCTGCCTTGTAGTTTGTTCTTCGTTGGACAAAGGCTATGGAAGCAAATCCAAAAAGAAAAGCAGGCTGAAATCGAAGTCAATGGCCTCAATGGCGCATAACCAGTTGACACGTATCCTTAATTGTGATGGAAGCGTGGTCGAGTCGGCAAAAGAACATGGCAGATAAGGCTCGATCCCTTCCAACCAGTGTTTCTTCCAGACTTTTTTCTCCGGGGGGGGCACTTGAAATCTTCGGGGGGGCGGTAAACTTTCTTCGGGGGGGCGGACACTGTTAAAAGTATATATTTTCTATATAAATTATATAAATTTCATATCGTTCGGGGGGGGCGGTAAAAATTTTTCGGGGGGGCTTTGCCCCCCCGAAGAGATGCCTGGAAGAAACTCTGCTTCCAACACTAAAAATTAAGAACGAAGATGAAGAAGATCTAGTTAATTTAATATACTAACTCTTAGGATTAAAAAAATGTTATGTCAATTTACAACAAAGAACAAAAAGCAAATCAAAACAACTTATTAGTCCATAACATTTTTTTAAATTTTCAATTGATCTTTATATTTTGCAACCTATTATAATGTTGTTTTTTTCACACTAAAGGTACTTTAATAACATTTAGATTACTTTTGTTGCTAAATAAATTTATTTATAAGCCTATATAATCGTAAATGATTATAATATTTTAGAAACATAACTTCTGTACCTAAAGGCAGTTTCAATTATCTGTTGTAATTTTCACTTATATAATAAAGACTTTTCAAGTACATCTTGGTACACCATTATCACAAAGTAGAAACATACCAGTAGTGATACCAAGGACGAAGTAATTACTGTGGAAATGAAAAAAAAAATATTTCACCTGTCCACATTTATAGAAGTGCCATAATGTTTTATAAGCATCAGAAAATCTCTGAAATTTTTTTTTTTTGTAATTTTAAAAAACAAAACAATCAAGTAAGCATGCAACAATGTTAAAGGACAATAAATAGAATTAATGGGAAGACTGAAAGAAACATTCTAGGATTCTTTTTAAACAAACCAAAAATGTTTTTAAATGTGTTAATTTTCTATAATTAATTTTTTTGCCACTTTAGAGGCTGTACCTGGACTGAGTGCATACAGTCTGCCTATTGTCACAATAATATTTATAAACACATTTCAAATTATATCTACCATCAAATATATCTTATGAAACCAATGTTTTTTTTTTACAAAGCCATATCATCTTATAATTAGTTGATTAAGTCATAAAAAAACAATGTATACATTAAAGATAAAAATTAATTTAATTTTCTTCTTTTTGTTACGATATTCTTTGGAAAACATTTTTAAAAGAATAGAATAATCTTTAGTGAAAATTGTCTTTAAAAATACCTTAAAACTTTAAAAATTAAAGTGTTGAGCTTTATTAAATACAAAATTTAAAAATTTCAGCCAAAGAAAAACAGTTAATCTCTAGCTGACAGATAGGAAATGTTAAGTTAGTTGATCTCCAAAGTAAGGTAAAAAGTGAACAAAAAAATTATTTTTTTTCAACAAATAGGTGATGGACAATTTAAGGGTTTGAGATTTCAATGTATTGAGTACTACAAAAATAAATAAAAATAGTTGTACAATTTTAATCTTGAAATACATCTTTTTATTATAACAGTTGTGAAGTTTCTAAGTATTTAAGTTAACCTTATAAAATGGATGAAAGAAAATGGAGCTCAACTGAAACTTTTTTTAGTTTTAGGATAAATTAAAAAATACAAATGCTTTATGTTGGTTTTAATAATTAAATGTAAATAACAAATTATCTTTGAACAGTTAACGTGAAACATGTTGAAAAAAGAAACCCAGTGAGTAATTCATCATAAATGGCTAGTGTGATGATCCAGAATTATATCCAATAATTAAATGTATGCTTTGTCAAGAGAAAAAAAAGAAAGAAACAACTACTAAAAAACTTACAAAATAATTATTGCACTTTAATTGTGATAACCATAAGTGAAATTAACAACAAAAGAAGTACAATCCCTTTAAGAAAAAAATTGCTGATCTATCTACAACAATTCAATTCTACCTTTAGATGTTGATGAAATACCAAGATTGCCAGTCAAGGGATTAACAACATTTATTTCTCCTGTAAAAGAAATCTTAAACATTTTGTTTAAGTCAGATGATGACAATGTTTTAGTTAAAAAATGATTATCTGGCCATGTTACTTTCATTGAAGTAGCCTCAGAGTTACCAAGACCAAAATGAGCAACTGGTTCCATTTCACACAAATATCCAGAACCTCCATCACAGAAGCGAGTCAATTTTGTGCCATCAGCCAAAGTAATTTCAACCTTTGACCCTCTGGCTGGTGCTCCATTTTGTGTCAGAGGTAAAACTCGTATCCATTTGTTTCCCCTTGTTCTGTTGCCAGCCACATGATACAATGTTAGAGCTTGTTCTTTGGACTCCCCATGAGAAACCAGAAGCTCTAAAACACCATCTCCATTGATATCTGACACAGCAGCACCTGGTGTAAATACATTAATTTCAAATCTTAAATTCATGCTTTAAAATAATGCATAAAATAATATAGGAATTTTAAAAATTTCCCAATAAATTTTACCTGTGCCATAAAAAAAAGGTTCTGCAGCATCCCCAATGTCATCTGTTTCTATGTTCACACTCTGCCCATTAGCTTTCAATCTAAACAACTTGTTGCTCGCATCCATATTGTAATAGACAATGTTATTCATAAAGACTTGGATATCTCCACTGTTGTCAAAGTCTGCGGCAATGACAGTGCGAATGGGAGAGGGTGTTGAAAACTCTGGGGTGGCTACATCCTTGTGGAATGTGTAAACATGTGGTTATGTATTAAGTATGTGTTGTAGGTGCCAATCCTCCTAGTATTCTCAATTATTGCTTAAAAAAACAACTAAGGCATATTTCTTGATACATTGATGGCACATATAAATATGTTTTTAATTAGAGCACAAGTAACTATTGTTAGAAAAAAAATTAAATTTCATACTAAAAAGCTAGGCTTTCCAGAGACATCTGTTCCTTGAATTTGAACTCTGTGAGGACCAACCCAGTTGCCATAAATAATATCTGTTTTTCCATCATTGTTGACATCAGCTATGGTGACACCACGACCAGGCTCAAAATCATCTAGCTCTAGAAAAAAGAAATTTGAAACATGCAATTCAGTTTTCTGCTAAATTTGAGAGAAAAAAAGTTAATAAAGTTTAATTCAGTCAATATTTTTAAAAAAACACATTTTTTTAGCAATACATTGAGTAAATCAGATGTTAAACTTACTGACAGTTTTAGCAACATTTTCAAAGTGACCTAGTCCATCATTTTCAAAAAGGGCATTATCTCCCCTATTTCCCAATCTTGAGTTGCCTTCATTGACAAAGTAAATATCTGAGAATCCATCATCACCCAGTATTGGTCCCACAACAATACCACGACCACCTACATGGCAGAAAAGTTTATTTTAAAACAAGCCATGTTCAATTCAAAATATAAAACCATTTAAAAATTACCAAAATTGAAATTTATGAAATTTAAATAATGTTTTTATATGTAGTTATTAGTAGTTAAGTTTTTACCTGTAGAAAAATTAATGCCAACAGACTCTGCAACATTATGAAGAACAACAAAACCTTTGCCTGCATCATTCAGTGGACTACTTACATCCATTTCAATGAGTCCAAATTTTCCCAAACCTCCTTTGAACAATTTTTCAGAAAAATTCTTTAATAATGTATACCTCTATAGGGGATCAAGACTAACAGAATTTCAAAATTAGTGTATTCTCTATTTAGAAAATATTTGCTATATAGTTAAAATAGTTAATGAGAAATGTACTTTGTGCATAAGTAGCCACAACAAATCCATATTTTCCTGATCCAGTCCGGTCCACACAAGCAACTGATCTGCCTGCAAACATTGCTGATACATCTTTGTTAACCTCATCTTCAAACAAGTCTTCATACTTTCCATTGCGCCACTTACAAAATAATAGATAAATAAATAAATAATGAGAGGTAAAAATCTTTCTTCTTCAGACTACTTAACTTAGAATTTTAAAAAATAATAATGTTACATTAAATAACTTATCTTACCTTAAATAATTTATCTTTGACAAGTTTTGGCCCTGAATACCGATCATTGGTGTTGAGAAAATAGATCTCTTCCAGTCCATCGCCATCTATATCACAGGCACAAACACCAATGGCTGCACCTTAAAAATAATTTAAATATCACTGTAGTTCAAAGTCAACAACAAAAATTTCTGGGTGTAAGTTAAGTCTGTCAATGAGAAGTATGGTTGAATCAAAGTGTCTTAGATTTGTGACATTTATCTTGTTCTTGACAATAATGCAGGTGAATGGTTGAACAAGTCTCTTATAATTTATATTACAAGTATTTATTTTAATTTTTCTGACAATAGTGAAATTATTATAGGCCTAGATCTAAATCTAGATCTATATAAAATTAATATGCAACAGGTGGGGGGGGGGGATTGGCTTTCTTTTAGGGATTCAAAGGGTTAAATCGACCAAATAATTGTAAAGTCTACTCATTGGCTTTTATATCTAGATCTATTTAAATTTACAAAGTAATATTTGGGGGTTTTTTTTTGGAGGAGGGGGGGTGGGGAGAGTAATCTAATTCTTAACAAGCATTATCTTCCTTTACGGGAGTTTACGCAAATGTATTTTATTACCATCAGGGTCACGTAGTGCTTCATAAGGGCTGCCAGGTTGAGCAATGTTTGTAAACCTGTTTGTTGTTACATCTAACTGCAGTACAAAGTTGGGGCCTGAAAAACTGGATAATAGTTAAATAATTAGTTACTAGATCTAACTTAAATTAGTAACTAGTAGTATCTAGATCTAGATATCTAAACCTAGTTTAGATATTAAAGATTTTTTTTTTTTGCGTTTACAAATTTACACTTTACCTGGCTAACCTAGATTTATATAACAAAATCTATAAATAGGCATTTTAACCATGCAGTATTATTATGATTAATCAAATCATTTTAAATATCGACAACACTACGCTATAATTTTTGTTATAATATTACTAAGATTCCTCACACTTACCCAGCGACAATCCATTCCATTGGTCCATCACCTTCACCAACATTTGTTACAGCAACGCCATAATTTAATTGTTTAGTGTTTGTTGGAAGTAGTGATGTCATGTCTTTAAACATCCCATTGTTGTTACCCTGAATTTGATCAACACTGGCACTACAGACAAACAATAAAACCACAGTAAACATCCTATGTGGTTTGACAAACATGACTTTTCTAACCATATGCGTTTAATGCAGCACGCGCAATATTAAAATGTGGGACTGCAGAGAAATTCTCGTGGAGCTACTTCCTTTATTGAATGTTACATAATTATGCTCCGGTGCAGCGGCGGATTAATGGTGGGGAGTAGTGGAAAGAATTGGGCAGAAAGGGCATATATCTTGCCCCCAATTTTTTCGGGGCTCCCAAAATTTGCTCTCAAAAGAAAAAGAGAATTTAATTTTCCTACAGACTATGATTTCTGTTTGTTAAATGATCGTTTCTTCTTCTTCTTCGTTCTTAATTTTTAGTGTTGGAAGGGATCGAGCCTTATCTTCTAGAGGGTTTAAACTCGAAACTTTTTTTTTTTCGAATTTATCAACCATGAGCTTTGCCGACTCGAGCATGCTTCCATCACAATTAAATGATCGTTTGAATGTTCAAATTACCAAACAAGTAAAAGACCACATAGGGGTCATCCATAAATGACATCATACTCGTAGAGGGGAGGGGGGGGGGGGGAGTCCGTAATTTTGTGACGGTGTGTGACGAAAGGGAGGGGGGGGGGGTTCAGATGGTGGGACGTCACACTTTTGCATTATAAAAAAGCAATGTTAGAAAAACGAATCTTAGACGTTATTTCGCGTTTTAGAAAACTGCTTTAATAAATTGCAATAGGAATTGATTAAAATACTCTATTTTGACAGAGTTCAGACAAGATTTTGGGAAAATATCGATATTTTAAGAAAAATGCAACTGCAATTTTGAGGGGGGTCGTAGGCTGAGGTGTCTGGCTTTTTGTGACGATATGTGTGACGGAGTGGAGGGGGGAGTTAAAAATCGTCAAAAAAGCGTGACGTCATTTATGGATGACCCCATATGAGTAACTGTCCCCCCCCCCCCTCACGTCAATATCAAATGTATGTTACCTCAAGCGACGCCCCCTAAAACAACAAAAGTCTCATTTCCAGTACACACAGTTGATCAACCAAGTTCAGACAAACAAAAAAAAAAAAAAACAATACATACAGACTTTTATTAAAACAGGCCAGAAAAACCACATTTTATGAGTTTATGACATATCAGTTAAATTGTTAAAAATAAAATGAAGCCGATAGCAACATATTCACAAACAGTGAAATGAATCAAAACGAAATACGTCGTCAACCGGAAAATAGCAAACACCCGGGGAAAAAAACGATATAAAAATACCTACAATCCTACACATGCTTATACACCTACATGGATATATATATATATATATATATATATATATATATATATATATATATATATATATATATATATATATATATGTTTTTGTAAGGGGGGTGGGTGGGTGACACCATGAGGTACCGCACGGGGTAACACCCGGCTCTGACTATATGTATTTTTATTTACCGCTTTCCAATCAACATTAAAATTTAGAATCTAGTCCATTTTCAGCCATTGTCAGTGTGTCCCGTCCCCCCCCCCCCCCCCCTCTGTACAGTCCTATCATTAACAGAGGAATTTACGTTTCTAGTCCAACTTTGAAATGCAAAGATAAAAAAATCTGAGTAAACTTATTTTTAGATACTTTTGTAATTACATACAAGATGCTTAAATTATAGCGTAATTAAAAATATACATATTAGATATATGGTTATAGTTACAGGACCCTCAAACAGTTTCCTCCAGTGGCCCCGCTCAAGCTTTATCCGCCCCTGCTCTAGTGGAGTTAATTGAGTGTAGTTGAAGGCGAAGGTGAGCATTAAAAATGTATGCGTTAGCACAAGCCAACTTTGTTGTTGGGGCAGGCATACTTTTACTCTGTGATTAAGATACAGCTGTTGAGAGTTATAGCCAACATTAATTAGTATTATAATATAACACATTTTTCAACTTTGTAGATAAAAATAGTTTAGCAGTTTATATAAGCGACTTCTACAACTCACTAACATCACGGCGTCATCTGACATTTCAACAAAGGGAGACAACAATAACAAAATAGGACTATTTAAAATTGTCTTTTCTTGCGTCCTTGGGAAAGTGCACATATTAATTTAAACATCACATGACAAACAAATATGATATTTAAAACCACCACTACCCCATATAAAGTGCTACAATATTTTCATAGACCACAATTAAAACATTTCTAGATATTATCCCAACCAGTTAGAAAAACCACACAATTTAATCACTTAAAAAAAAAACAGTTATCTTTAAAAACAATTCCTGAACCTTATACCATGATTTAAAAGAGTGTGAAAGACAGGTATGTCAACTTATTCATCTAGAATTTTAAGAGTAAAGAAGATAATAATGCAGTTACTTAGTTTTATTCTATACCACCCCCATCTAGTCTTAGATAAAATATACAACCCTAGTCACCATCTGGTAAGTTTACAGTGAGTGAAGGGAAATCTGTAGCATAATAGGAATTTGGTGGCCTCTGCACAGCACACAACTTCCGTGACTATAGCATTCCTAAACGATTTTCATAAAATATTAAAGATAATACTATTACCTACAAAATTATGTATAAAAATAAAATGTGAATGTGAAGTTGCTTTTGTTCTTGCTCTATTTATAACCCTACAAAAATTAAAATACAATGGCTTTAATTTTAAACCAGATAAAATGTATCTTTGTGAAATAATGACAGCATTGAATTAACATGCTCAGGATTACAATTGAACATATGAAACGGACAGTCACAGACCTGTTGCAATGATTGATATTATGAGAACTTTTGGCATTTATTTTTAAATGGTAAACTGTTAAAAGCGGTAAATATATGCAACTAGACTAAAAAGTGTAAACTGTTGTAGCTATTTTTTTAGCAGCCAGGTAAGGAGGTTTGCCACAGACATAAGGACAGATACTGTGAAGTAAATAAAAAACAACACATTTTTTGGTTTGAGAAAAACAAGTTGATTATTGCAGCCAGGATTAAAGTTCTTGATCCCATCACATACAAGTTTTGTGTATCAAAAGTACAGGTATTTTTATGAAATATATATGCAGTATAAAAAGAAAGTTATAAAAAAGAAATTGGGAGTAACTCTGTCACCTATTTGGGTATACTAATGGTGTAACAAGCTGTTCTAAGGGAAGGAACTCTCACATCATTGATTCAAACAAAAGATCCATTAAGTGATCAGACTTTAACAATATTTAAACTAGGCTTTTAAGTGAGGTTGCCAGATAATTAATTTAAAAAATAACAATACAACAATTATTGCATTGAAAAAAGATAAAAGAAAAAACCTACATTATCACAACATCTAGAAAATAGAGAAAAAAATTGCCTGATTACCATTTACATTTAGTATTATAAAAAATGTACAAATAGAGGTATTTAAAATAATATGATTATGACATTTATAAACATATGAAAACAAAACTATTCTAAAATGTCATTTCCAAGTGGTGGTTTTAATGGAAAATTTCATACAGAATTTACTTGAACATGGAATAGTGGCTATACACCTGATTGTTTACATTACACAGACTTGTCTGCACAGAAATAAATACCATCAAAGATTCAGATACTGATAAATTAAATAATTGGAGGCTTTCCCACCAATAAAATATAAAATTTTTGTTCTATACTTTTGGCGCAAACCCATAAAGCTGTAAACATTTTGAACAACCACAGAAAAATATTCTTTGTGATATAACTGAATATGTATTCTTGCCAACTTGAATGAAAACAGAGCTGCCTTAACAAACTAAAGTGATGAACACTTAGGTACATAGAACACAACAGTCTAGTTTGTCAGCTGGGAGAAACAAGAATTATTTGTTTATATCTGATAACCAACAGTAGGAGGCACAGGCTTAACACTTTAGGCTTAAGGGTATTAGAACATTTAAACATAGATATAAAATATTTGAGATAAAAAGCATGTCCAAATTATTGTTCCATATCAACAAGAGATTTGGAGAAGCTATTAGAAGGCTTAGAGCAAAATGAAATAGGCCTATGCAAACAAAAACACAGAGGCCATCTAGGATAACAATCTCATGTTATAACATTAGACGGTGGAACAGGATTAATAATAAAGCGAACAGACAGTGGCTACAATTATTAATAGTTTTTAATTCCTTATAATGTTATGGAAAATATGACTTTAAATTAGTGAGAATTCGTGATTTTAAAATAATACAAATTCTAGTTTACAAGTAATAATAGTCCTTGTATAGATGGATTTTTAAAAAAGTAGGCCTACCCTAAAATGACAAACTTCAGCTTAAAAAAGAGGTTGCATATTTTATAAGTATAACAATTATTTTTACATTATGCACAAGTTGCATGCCATGTGGAAATCAAAACCTTGAGATCCACTCCTGATGGACGAAGTTTTTCAAGTGGCAACAAAAAATATATTACAGTACAAGGTTATAAATAGTAAGACATTCAAGAATCTCTTTATAACAGCTGGCATAGACTTTTTTACATACTTGACATAAAAAATAAACTTAATATACATTAAGTAGGCCTACAGAAAAATATAAAATGGTTTCCCTATAACAATTAAAACGGAAACTTACATTTTTAAAAATAATTTGTAAACCCTGTTAAATGTTTAGTGTTGTAAAGTTATATGTTAAAATTTCTCAGGTTTCTCTTATTCTTCTTCTTAAAGCAATAACTTTAAAAATTGATACATATACAGTTAAACCACAACAAACTGAAAATATAACAATACAAAGAAGGCTAATTTCCAACATAGATTAGAAGAGCCATATAGACAGGGGCAGACTTGGAAGTTGTGTACAAGCTGCAAGCGCTGGATGTACGGAGTAACAAGGACTTATTATTTTAGCTAATCATATGGCTGACGCTATAGAAATTGTAATACTGTTATATACCAATGTTTTACCTAATTGGCTTTTCTAAAATGTAATAAAGCATAATTTGTGGAATGTTACTTACTTCTGCCTTTTTAAGTTTATGTAGGGAACATTTTCAAAACAGTTGGTAGTGAGTATAAAATATTTTTCATTCAACTTTAAAAAAAAATAAGATGGGAGAAAAAATCTGCCTATACCCACAGAATGAAAAAATATCATACAATATAAATTAAATCTCTTGTATTGAACTCACATTTTAAATGCATAATAATTTTAAAACACATAAGCTTAACCAAATGTATCTATCCCCAAATATTTCTTTAAAATTTCAAATAGTTCAATCTATTTTACTGCCTGCAACTTAACTGTAACCTAGTTAATCTTTCAAAAATATTTTTTTTATTTTATAAGTAAGGCTATACATTTGGAAGCTCAAAATTGGTTTAAAATATTTTGCACAGAGCATTTGCAAAAATGTTCTTCTTATTGGAAGAAATGCAAGATTAGAATGTATTGATGTGCCATTTATGTCATGAGGGTGCAGTGCTAACTGGGTAGGAGGAATCTACAAATGTGATTAAAAAAGGTCTTCGTTCATCTCCTCATGGGTGCTCAGCTGCTCTCTGGTGGTGCGATCAATGGATGTCACAGCTCGGCGAATGTTGGTCTTTGGTCGCAGGGAGCTCAGGTCACAGGACATGGCATTCCTATCTGAAAACATTCAGCGAGGTCAAATAATAAAATTAGGAAAGTTATATTTTGATTACAAAAAACCATTAAAAATACTAGGTGTATAAAAGAAAGTTTTAAATTAAGAAACTGCATCTCTTATTTAACAAAATGTGTTGGTTTCAGTAAAAAAAAAAAACATTTTATCAGTGCTTGAATAAGGAACTTAATTGCGCTAGAAAGTTGTGAAAAATAAGTAAAAGACAAACAAAAAAATTTCATTGCTTTTAGCAATACATAAGAAATTGCATAAATTTTTAAAATTAACAACAGAATATCAAATTTTGGTAAAACAAAATGATTACAATTTAAATAACCAAATGAAAATTTTAAAATGGAAGAATGCAACAACAATCTGTCTGTTGCTGCTGTGTCTGGTGTTAACAATATCCAGTTCTATTTATAGTGTTATGTACAGTAGCTAATGGAAGTGCTTATTTCAGTCAACTGTTGGTGAAATAAAGTTCTTATTCTGCTCAATGATTAATGATCTATATTTAGCTTCTATTTACATGTATACACATTTTTAGAATTTTTGGACATAATTTTGACTGATTTTACGTAATGCTAAATTTTGTCAGTTGTTTTAAGGGTCAGCATGGCTGAGTGTATGGCAGCTATCAAGATGGTTTGGAGTTTAGAGCCGAGTATAGCTGGGTTTTTTTTATTGCACAAATAACATTAACAGTTTACATTTTTTAATGCATTATTTATTTGAGTTGGGTTTGAGATTAGGACTAGTCTAAGAAAATAATGATTTTTATTACAGCCTATTTCAATAAAATAGGTGTCTTTTATAGCCTCTACATGTTATGCAAGCGCTTTTGTTTTTTACCTCAGATATTTTTTTATTATGGTAGATGAAATAAGGAACACGCTTATTTGCTAAAAACCTTAAAGAGGATTTTTTTTAACACAGTGTTAATTTCCTCAAAAGCTCATTAGAAAATATAACCACATCACTTATTTTGTCTACTGTTGAAAGAAAAGCACTACCATAGCTAATCTGAGACTAAATCTTTATTTTTAAAGATTACAATTGATACTCATGAAGGATTTTCTTTAAACACTAAATCAGCAATCTAATTTAGTAGCTAAATTTGTAAATAAGCTGTCTACTTTGTATACAAGATATACAAAATTATTTTAAAAGCCAACCTATTTCCACCATGACATAATAATCCTTCAACCTTACAATAGTTTAAAATTAAAATGCCAAGGCTAAGTGTGTAAATATGAAAAGATGTTATAAATGTTTTTCTGATCTGTACAAAATGTCCAAAATATCTGACTACGGCACCAGTTACATGCTGTTGTTCCTATCTATTGGACCATAAAAAAATGTACCATGCAGTGTGGGGAAACGTTTTGACATGCCAAATCTAAACTGAAGGAAATGTTCACAGCTGCAGAACATATCAAACTCACAGTGTTTCAGTGTGTCATAGAGAGTTCACAATTAAAAACAACCTTGCTATGTGTAGTTACAGCACATGTCTGTTCACTTCACAGTGTTCTAGTTCATGCTTAAAGCCAAGATTAAAAAGTTGACTGGCAAATACTTGGAATTTAAAAAAAAATGTACTAATAGGTGGACAATATTTTTTATGCCTTGTTGTTTCCTTAACAAGTCTGTTTACAACACTGTCTTTAATAATGTTTCTGAATGTTAACTTTTTCAGTCAGTATAGGCTATAATTTTCCCTCAAAGCAAAGAGACATCAAATCATTAGAATGGTAATTTTGTTTTGTGCAGTTAATTAAAAACTATATATTAAGAGCTCTAGCTAGTTAATGCAAAAAATAATACATATACAAATGATCATAGGAATGTACAAATTATGTGGTTTATGTCAATTTTACACAGTAAAGTTATTTAGTGAATGTTTATAGTATAGCAAATATTAAATAGAATATTAACTTAATATGTATGCTGAAAAACCCAAAATAAAAGATGTAGGTTAATAAATCTCAAGCGATTAAAACCAAATCAACATAACCTAATAATATGAAGATTTATTTAAACAGTATTTTAAAGTCTGAAACTATTAATCAAGATTTTCATGAATGGTTTGTAAAAGCTAAAGAGATATGTTGAGAAAATGAAAATTAATATTAAGACTAAATATCAAATAAAAACATAATTTGGGAACCAATGTGAAAAACACATTCTTTAGCAACATGCTAAAGTGTTAAAATGCACCTAGATGTACTGGTTTATAAATATGCATGTTGTAAAAAAAAATCTGTAACACATAAGATTACCTGGGTCAGAATTCACACCTAAAATAAAATGACAACAAAGATAGCTGAGTTAAGAAAAGCAACACATCTGAGATGAAGTGTACATCATTTGTTAGTTGAAATAGTTACCAATACACAAGAGTTGCCCATTACACAATTCAGAAAAAAATTATATTAGATAAGAAGCATAAAAGAAAAAGAGGAATCTTAAACTGATGTAAATTACATGATGAGATATCAGAACTATTCAGATTACAATTGTTACAGAGTGTAATAATCCTTCTTGTGCCCATCTCACCCCCCCCCCCCCCCCCCCCCCCCAAAGCTATGCTGTGCGGTTTTTCAAAAAAATGTGAATGAAGATGTTTCTAGTAGTCATACCTAAATTACTCTATAGTTAGATAAACTATTTACATTGATTGAAGTTGTAATGAAAATATAATTAAAATCCAAAGACATTTTTATGTTATTCATTCAATAGTCATAAAATACACAAATCAGTTAAAGAAGTAATTTTTTATTAGGAGGCATTGCTGATTATTTCATCTAACTGGAAACTCAAACATAATCAAAAGTGTTAAAGGAAATAATAAACTACTTTATTATGAGAGAAGAATCACAATAAAACCAAACCGTTGCAATTTCGTTTTCAAGATAAAGCACATTCAGCTAACAACAAGTTTTCCCCTAGGTAAAACACTGGCTTATTGAAACATCATATCATCAAACTTCCTTTCAAATCATGATCAATAACTTTATTCTCCACCTACTCAAAGATTATGGTTTATAACCCACCCAACACATTTGTGGGGACTAGAAAAATAGCCTATAGCCTGTTTTTAAGGTTGGGGTGAGAAATATATGATGATGGTTTAGAGGTTATATATGTTACTATTGAGAATATTCAATATAGTGATCCATCAATTATCAAGTACCAAATATATTACATTAGTGCTTCACATGTAGATTGACTAGAGTTGACATTGTAAAATAATTTCAACAAAGTAAAAAATGAAAAAGAAACTTGTCAGTTGTGTGAGTAATATAAAACACTAGAGACAGAAGATCTGACACCAAACTGAATAGAACAGAGAGCAAGCCTAAACCTGATGTAAACAAAGTCCTCTACCAACCTCTACAATCTGTCACCTGTCAACTGGTTAATACAAATAAATGATGGTCATGCACATGCAGTACAAGTATCTTTGCTCGTAGGGGGAAAACAGAAAATATCATTGCTTTAACATTCTAATGATAAAGCAAAGAAAGGGTAAACAGTTACCACAGAGTGGTAATTACAACAACAGAAGTATGGTCAAGTTGGCTGGGTCAACTAGATAGTCCCACAGAGGGCAGACAGCATAGAATCAGAATAGAGAGAGGGCAGACAGCATTGAATCAGAATAGAGAGAGGGCAGACAGCATAGAATCAGAATAGAGAGAGGGCAGACAGCATAGAATCGGAATAGAGAGAGGGCAGACAGCATAGAATCAGAATAGAGAGAGGGCAGACAGCATAGAATCAGAATAGAGAGAGGGCAGACAGCGTAGAATCAGAATAGAGAGAGAGGGCAGACAGCATAGAATCAGAACAGAGAGAGGGCAGACAGCATAGAATCAGAAGAGAGAGAGGGCAGACAGCATACATCCAAAACAAAACAGTGTGAGGGCAGACAGCATACATCCAAAACAAAACAGTGTGAGGGCAGACAGCATACATCCAAAACAAAACAGTGAGAGGGCAGACAGCATACATCCAAAACAAAACAGTGTAAAGACAGACAACAGCAGATTAACTGGCTAATATAGTGTAAAGACAGACAACAGATATCTGTCTGTTATAGTGTAAAGACAGACAACAGCAGATTAACTGGCTGATATAATATGGAGCCAGAAAACTGTCTATTACTGGCACAGCCACTGATTCATGGAGTATAGATGTAAATTACCACAAAAACTAAAAAACAAACAACCCCAGAGCAAAGATACTGACAGTAAATCTCACTTACAGTGTGGCTCCCTAAGAAAAGAGCATACATAGGATGTGTTTTTATGGGAGTGGGCCAGATATTGACTCCAGTGTAAATGATTTTCACTGTGATATGAATCCAGTTCCAACAAGATTTTTATAACACTGGTAACTGTTTGCTGGACAGACTAAACATTGAACATGAAAAGAATCAGCGCCTTTAAACTGCAAGCGGAATCTGTTCATGAACAGAATAGTTTTGGTGTTTGGTGAGAGGCCAGCCACAGAGAGCAGGAAGTTTCTGATGGCTACAGCACTTCTCACTGACCCAGCAGTTACAAATGTTTCTCATTGGAACTGGACTGCGTTACTACACAAACAATGTCAGATAACAGATTATACCTGCTGATTTCAAACACCTGGAATACTGAAATACAAATGGTCAGTTGTAACTATTTTAACATTTCATTCAACAAACTACGAGAATTTAGTCGTTTCAAATGTTAATTAGCATGCGGTTTCAAGACATGCTCAAGGCAATGTGAACTTGCTTCATTTGAATCAAAATTAGAAGAAAAAGACCTTATTCTTTAAAATATGTTTACCCTAAGCAGAAATTTCATCTAATATTTTGTTTGCATTAATTGTTTGTCTTTTAAAATAAATTTAATATTTAAAAAATATTTTTAAATGAAGGTAAAAATATAATTAAAAACAAATTTTGTTTCATTAAGAGTACATGAAAAATTAGCATAATGTAAAAAAGAAAGCAAATAAATTATAATAAAAATATAATTTTAATGTAAAATTTATTGTTGTTTTTTAAAAACCCCACAAAAAATATAATTGATTATACTGGTTAAAAACAAACTCAAAAATAAGTGTACGTATAGTGCTCTTTCATAAAGTTAGTAAAAACGTAATATACTTGATCAATGCCCCCTTACCGGTCAAAGAGTTGAGTAATCTGCGTAGCTCATGGAGGCTAATAAATCTTAGAATAACAATTACAATCTTTTACCACCAAATTAACAAGAATCTGCTTAACTTAATCTTACATGCAGGACAAACTAAAGAATAAATTGCATTCTCTTATTAAAAAAAGTTAACTTAATTAACCTCATGTTAGTAAAGGTACCATGCTCCCCATTCCCATTAGGGTTTTGCTTATGATTACAGGTAGTACTAGCAGTGGCTACCTCAGGTAAATAATTACTTCTAGAACAACATTAGTACTTCAATCTAAGTCAAGATTCTCAAGCAAGTCTGTTTGGTTCCGATCACCATGACCTAACTGTACTCTGAAAACAGGTCATGTTTCTCATATAAACTAACCAAATAATAGCAACTACAAGTCACATGACATCCAACTTACTTGATGACCTCTTCCTGTTCTCATATCTGACAGTTTTAGCCCGTCTGGCTATTGTTTTACGAGCCATTAAACCATTTCTGATAATCAATGGATTTTCTGAAGAAATTTTTGCTTCTTGTGCTAAATCTTCAAAGAAATCTAGAAACACAGAGATGTAATTTTCAAAATAGGGTAATGAGGCATTAAATAATGATAATACAGAAAATAAAATTAAAAAATTGTTGACCATTTTTTTTACTATAGTTCTATTCTATTCTACAAGTAACAGTGTAACTACTACAGCTGAGAAAGTGGATGAAAAAGTATATCATTATTGTCACAAACCTTTCAACTTTTTCACATTGATAGTCATTTCTTTTTTTACTTCTGTTTCTATTCGATGTGACTGTGAGATAACTGCCTGGTCAAGACACTTTAATGATAGCTCCGCCTCCTTCAACCTCTGCTCAGCTGCGATTCTTGCTTTGATTTCATCCTAATAATAAGTAACAAATTGGATATCAATATAAGAAATTTACAATTTACCTCACAATAAGATGTTTCAGATTCTGAATGTTGTTTTTTTTAAATTTCACTACTTGAGGTAATTAGACTAACCTTCAATTCTTTTTCTGTCATAGCTTTTTGTGAAACCAGGTCTTCTATGGTAGACTCCAGCTCATGTGCATGTTCTGATATTGCTGTCTTCTCTTCTTCCAACTGTTCCAGTCTTTCCTGTTTGTCTCGAAGTCTGAAAAAAAAAATTATATATTTGGCAACCAATGTTTGTGGAAATTTAATTGATAACAATTTTAAAATAGAAACATTGCTCTTTTAAAAATAATGACAAAAACATGAAAGGAAATGATAAAATAAAAGGAAATACAAGGAAAAGGCACTATAATAACTTATGATGTTTCTACCCATAGTCTTCTTCAGATTTATCTATAGACAAAATGCAAATAAACGCTGTTTCATCAGTCAAATTTTAGCCCAAAAGGGTAAAATTTAAAATGATGTGATTTACCTCATTTCAGCAGAGGTCTTTTCATTCTCAACATCCCTAGTGAGGTTCTCAATGTCCTGGAGCTGTTTCTGTAAGGCTTCAGATCTCTGTGACAAGCTCTGCTTCTCTTTGCTCAGGTTGGATTGCTCTTCCATACTTTGCTTTAGTTCATCCAGGATTCTCTGTTTGTCTTTATGTAAATGCTACAGAGAGATTCATGTATTGAGACATTTTTAGAGCTTTAATCCAAACATTTTTCAACACAAATAATTAAAGCACATACTACTCTTAAGTAAAGTATTTTGTGTACCATTTTTATATTTGAAGCTGTCTAAAAATATCCCTGAACCTTTCAGCACTGCAGTTGCTTAAGGTTAAAAAAAATGTTTATGTTTTTGAAACTAACTTAAGAGGTAAAAAGCAATGCTATTTTTAGAACTTGGTTTTGTGTTCTTATGTTAAGATTTCCCAAATTAAAAAATATCTCTTTCTCATTGTACACAGAATATATATATATATATATATATATATATTTCTATACTGTGACTTTTTTATTTTCTATCATGTTAATAACAAGCCAGCCAATGTAAAAAAATGTGTTTTTATTTTGGTGTTAGTTATTTTTAAATTAATGTTTCTCAGGTTCAAAAGTATTTACTTGATTTTTACCCTGTTTATGGGACAGTTGTGCCCCTTCTCTCCAATCCTTAAAGTGTCAGTTAAAGTTAAGTAACTCACTAATGGAACAAACCTTTATATTGAATTTGATTACATTCATAAAATTTGGTTTATAATGATCTGAACACAAAAATGTATCATGTCTCTATACCATGTGGATAATTATCTAAACAAAAACAAAAGCATGTCATGTATACCTCCAGCTGCTGACTTTGTTTGATTAAAGACGTAGCGAGGGCGACTCTTTCATTCTCTACCTCCTGGGCCAGTGTGTTGGTCTCCTCCAGCTCTCTGACAGACAACAGATGGCATTGTAATCAGTTGACAGACATGTTTGACAGACATGTTTGACAGACATACTGACAGACAACAGATGGCAGACATGTTTGACAGACATGTTTGACAGACATACTGACAGACAACAGATGGCAGACATGTTTGACAGACATGTTTGACAGACATACTGACACACAACAGATGGCAGACATGTTTGACAGACAACAGATGGCAGACATGTTTGACAGACATGTTTGACAGACATACTGACACACAACAGATGGCAGACATGTTTGACAGACATGTTTGACAGACATACTGACACACAACAGATGGCAGACATGTTTGACAGACAACAGATGGCAGACATGTTTGACAGACAACAGATGGCAGACATGTTTGACAGACATGTTTGACAGACATACTGACACACAACAGATGGCAGACATGTTTGACAGACATGTTTGACAGACATACTGACACACAACAGATGGCAGACATGTTTGACAGACAACAGATGGCAGACATGTTTGACAGACATGTTTGACAGACATACTGACACACAACAGATGGCAGACATGTTTGACAGACATGGTTGACAGACATACTGACACACAACAGATGGCAGACATGTTTGACAGACAACAGATGGCAGACATGTTTGACAGACATGTTTGACAGACATGTTTGACAGACAACAGATGGCAGACATGTTTGACAGACAACAGATGGCAGACATGTTTGACAGACAACAGATGGCAGACATGTTTGACAGACATGTTTGACAGACAACAGATGGCAGACATGTTTGACAGACATGTTGGACAATGGTAGAGCAGCAAAAAAAAAAGCTATATCATTTTCTTATCTCAATATCTTACAATAATCTTTGTAAGGCCAAGCAATTCTTAAAAGCTTACAATTTTATCCTTTCATATTCCTCTTTTATTTCCTTTGTGAAGTTTTCTAGCTTTATTTTTTCTTTTTCCAACTCTTGGTTCACCCTTTCCAATTCCTTTAAAAAAATATAAATTTATAACTCATTATAAGGAAGTCACAATGTTAAATATGTACTTTAATTAAGATTAAAATGTTTTTAAACAAAAAAATAAAGTGTATTTATATTTTCTAGTAGAAAAAGGGACAATTACTTCTGTTTTCATTTTTTCTTCAGATAACGCTAAAACTTCAGATTGTAATCGATCTGGGGAATAAAGCAACAAAATGTAATTTACAAAGACACAATTGTAATGTACAAACTTTAAAGTAGAAATGTTTACAACAATAAAGCAACAAAATGTAATTTACAAAGACACAATTGTAATGTACAAACTTTAAAGTAGAAATGTTTACAACAATAAAGCAACAAAATGTAATTTACAAAGACACAATTGTAGTGTACAAACTTTAAAGTAGAAATGTTTACAACAATAAAGCAACAAAATGTAATGTACAAAGACACCGTGGTAATGTACAAACTTCTAATTTAGCAGAGATAAAAAAAAAGTAGAAATGTTTACACACAACACTCAATAACAAAGCCAATGATTGTGCTGTTTCTCACCTATGTAATTTTGTTTTTCAATGGCCATTTCTAAACCTTGATTTTCTAATGTACGAATCATTTCATCGCCAAGCTGAGTATTTTTCCAAGTTCTAAAAGTTACCATACAAAAAAAAAGAATTAACCAAATATTTATTTAATTCTAAACTTTCATAATGGCAGCAAACAATACAAGGTATTAAGAAGTTACATTAAAGAAATTAAATTCCCACAGCATTAGGATGAGTTAAAGTGGGCAAGTTTAAAATGGGAACAATAAGTGATAATCCTGAAGCTAACAAACATTAGCATTGACAGGTAGCTGGAGGCAGCCCCAGCATTTATCTCCCTTTCTGGGCCTGCTGGGGTGGAGTTATCAATGGGTCCCATTCATAACTTACACTCTTCTTGATCTCTCCAGGATCTCTAGCCAGGAATTTCTTTCATACTCACTCTCTGCTGACAAGATAAGCTTCCCCTGAAAGTAAGTAAATAAAAAGGTCCTGTGCTATGTGGCTTTAAGAGGTAATCAATTAAATAGTGCAGAAACAATATTCTTTACCCAAGGCTTGCTGTGAATTCCTATATTTATTTGTTGTTATAATGGAGTATTTAAAGCATAAAAAGTTAATTAAAAATATCTATAGTGTGATGCAGGAATCACTATGCTATTTTTTTTCCACTGTCAATGTTTGTGCAAGCAGAGACAGCAAAGTGACAAAAAAGTGGTGAAGTTAAAAAAACAAAACAAACAGTAGTAGCATGAAAAGGTGGGGGCGATGTGACCACAGAATGCAAGGAATGTGGGGGAGAAAACAACTGACCTGAAGACTCTAAGTTAACATCTTAAACATATAAACAAAGGAAATGCAAATTAGGAGATCTTTGACCTTTCCACCTGTTTGTTGACTTACTGGCCCTCATCTGTGCTTGTAAGACCTGAACAAACCATTTGTGTAGCCACTGTCCTGATCAATGTTTATTTAAGAGTCCCCTGCTTGCCCTCCCCATTTGATTTCCTTCCAGCCTCCTATTTTTGATTGGGTTTTTTTCTAGTTTGCTTTCACCAGCCCTAGTTAGTATGACTTATTCAGATTGTTAAGAAAACTGTACCTCACAATACTTTTTCTGACACAGAAGAAAAAAGTATATACACAGTAAGTGTCAACTTCAGCACACACACAACACTACAGCGCATGCAAAAAACATTAGCCACTTTTAGCTACAAACAAACATGTCATCCATGTATTCCTAAACCAGCAAAGATATTCTTGCAGCTGACAGGTGAAACAGACTGAACTAAATCTTCTTACCCCACCAATCTCTGGACTTTCTATCTGCAAACAAAATGGCTGTTGTTGTTCTCTGCAAGCTTTAAAATGACATTCTCCCAAAGGTAACACTCCCTAAAGATCATTTTTAAAAATTTCACGTTAAAAGAAATTCTCTCAAACAGAAGATGTACAGGTTTTTTTAAATTAGCCAAAAATAAACTAGTGATTTTTAAAATTCACGTTTCAAATTCCAGACTTTTTTCAGACATTGTATAAACTTGCTAAAAGCGAATCAATTTAACTAAGAATATTTTTCTTTAACAAGATTACAACTTTCTGGTAATGTAAAAGCATTGAGTAAATAATGTCAAGCTGAATTCAATACCTTAGGGTGAATGTTAAAATATTCTCTTCTCTCATAATCTTTTTTCTCATTTGCATCATAGTACATAAGGAATCCATCCTTTACTAGAAAAAATCTACACAGAAAAAAAAGATCCCTGAATGATTTATTATCAGCATTAATGAACAAGTTTTGCTAGCTTAAAAAATAATGTCAAATAAGAAGTTTAATTAAACAAATAATTAAACAATACATAAATTAATTTTGAATGTGTGTTCTGACAGTTTATTATTGTATACCAAGTGGCTACAAAAATACATCAAAAGTGTGTTTAACACAGCATATCTTGTATCTTTGAGATCTAAAAGTTTCTTTGGAAAATTTGTTTAGTGAATTGTAAAAAGTGAATGAGGAAATGTCTACTTACCTTTTTGACCATTTACTAGACTGGTGATTGAAAGGCTTCTTCAACAAGATTCCATGAATCTGTATCCTGGTGGCCCAGTCTCTTGAAGATGCTCGGCGGCCGATCTCAGGCATATTATTGTTCATTGCACAGTTAACTCCAGTGAATTTTTATGTGTGGAAAACTTTCACTGAACTTTATATATTTACATTATGATTACTTCAAAGTCTTGTTAATCAACATCTGATAATCCATGTTATCTATTTCAAATTAAACACACACCATAACACAGGCCAGACTACAAAAGCTGAGGCCAAAGAAGAAACAATTCAATGTGGCCATATTACATTTGCCAACTTAAAATGAAAACTTCACCCCCAAAACTCTCATTAGTTCCCTTTGTCAACAATGAAAGAAGTTTGGCTTTAAAAATCCAAAATATTTTGAGTGCATATGACAGACAGTGTGTGACACTGTAAACAGACAACAAAGGATTAATCCTCAAACAAGCACAGCAATGGCACAGGGAAGATTTTCTGGGTGTTCTCCTCATTCAATATTCAAACTAATATTAAGTAAACTTCATTAAATTACTTCCTGTACCAGCTTTCCTAGGTTTTACCTAATAGATTGAGCAAGTAATTATCAGCATCAAAAGTGTCTTTAAAGTACCAAAACTATTTTAAGAATAAATTTAAAAAGAAAAGGTATTTTGATATCATATAACAGTAACAGAGAAACAGAGTTGATTTATTTTGAAATCATTGTGTATGCTGAAATATGTGCTATTACCCTTAATCAGCAAACATCAATGAAAAAAGTATTCATTTTTTACCTAGGCCTAGGTATGTTTTAAAAAAAAAAATGAGTGTGTTCTATGTGTGTAGTAGATAAGACTATTGTAGACAGCTATGGAGCTGAATACTTTTTTTTCATTGATGTTTGCTAAATACTGGATCTGATTATTTTTACCACCATTATTATTCAGTAAATACTGGATTACTATAAATATTGTGACCAACATTTATTATTTACTGTTTAGCTCTCTAGGTCAGTTACTGACTCTGACCTAAATTTTTAAATTAAATAATAAATAAAGTGTACATGAAAGCCCTCACCTAACCTTAAGTAAAAGCAGGTAAAATGGAAATAAAGTCAATAAACATTGAAAAATCAACCCCATTCATTTTCATATTTCCATTTTATATAGTTACAGTGAAACAGCTGACTAGCTAAATCTTGCTCTAGTACAGTAGTTATAATGACTAGAATAACTAGAATCTAGAACATCAGTGAAACTTTTTTTTTGGTAAGATCAAAAAGTAAAATACAAATATTTTAAGAAAAATAATAATGCTACGTGTTATTCCAGTGTCTGATATTGCCACAATAATTACATCTTCTTTGAAAAGGGGGGTGAGATTACTGGTAGTTAATTAAATACAATATGATTTGCTAATATAACTAACTCTATCCTAACCCAAACCCAAGCCTTAACATAGCCCTTAACCTCATTCTTTTTTACCACAACACTAAAACCTGAAATTACAATACTAAACAACCTAACACCCATTTTTGGAAGAGTCTATTGTCAAATTTCAATAATACCAATACTCCAAATAATGAAATCACGGCACTATCAATCACTAGAAGATGTAGAACTGGTCTCAAATAACGGTATTGGGTTAATTTGGTACATTCTCTGGGATTCTGCTAGATCCAACATCAGCCAATGGAGCGCACATAATACCCCAGGGAGCAATATGCTGGTATATTGGTATTACTATTAGGGTTTGGGTAAGTGATAGAGTGATAGGCAAAAGGGTAAGTTACCTTAACTTGACATTAGTAAAAGTAAGTCATTTGTAAGCCTTAAATAAAGTATTTGAACATTAGTATACAATTAGAATACGCCCCCCCCTCCCCTCTCTCTCTGAGCAGGGTGGGATTTGGTGCTAAGGCAAAGATTTAGTGCCACAGGGTCCCCTGTGAGTAATATGGTATCTACATTGTTTTAATGAGTGTGATAAACTAAGGATATGGTAGCACATGATCAAAGAAATAAGTACCTGCTTTGTTTACATTAAAATTTATAACTTAGGTCGATTGAATGTATTGATTGAGAAATATCTCTTAAATTAAAATATTGTATAAGCCTTTCACCTGAGACTAGTAAGACAGACGCAGCATGTTGGACCAGTAAGCTAGATTAAGTTAAGTGAATAGAAATAGATACTAATAGATAGATCTCTCTATTTATTACATTTAACTCTAGTAGTCTCTTCTCTAGCTACTAGCTAGGTCCTAGGCCAGGCTTTAGTTAGGTTTAGGCTAGGATAGGAGTGTGAATGTAGGAAAATTCAGACTAGTCACTAGAATAGTACTAGAGTCTAGATCTAGTAGTAACTAGATCTAGCTCTTGAGTTTGACAATGACTCAGTACAGTAGGTTAGGTAGAAGTAGAGTGACAAGTCTAAGAGTAAGACCAACTGTCAAGCTAGTAACTAGATCTAGATCTACCAACTTACTATTACTAAGCTTTGGCTTAGACCTAGATAATCTAGATCCAGCTGTAACAGAGTCAGAGTGTATAGCTGCTATTGCTAGCTAGATCTAGATCTATTAGCTAAGATAAGGTTCACTAATCACTGACTGAGAACACCAGTCTACAGAGTAATTCACAGCACAGACAAATTAATTAATTTTGAATTTTTTTCTTTACTTCACACTTTGTGACTTTACTTTTAATTTTTAATACTTTACCTTGCTTTGTTTAATATTTTATTTGATTTCCAATATTCCAATAATTCGTTATAAGTATAAGCCTACTAGATCTAGATTCTAATTATGTTGGTATATAAGTTCTAATGTTAATTAAATAGCATAAAGAAAGAAAACCAATTAAATGAAACATCATGCCACAGGGAAGTAGACTTTCTACTATCCTCAATAAACTATCACTGTTTACGTGAACACAACACATCAATAGGGCAAAGGAAGTGTGCATTACCTCCCTTTTATAAATCGGGATACTGTGGGCGTGGCCAAGTTGACAGTCGAACCCTGCGCATGTTGTGAATAATAGGATGCGTTTAGAAACAATAGAAATAGTCTAGGCCCTACAATTTACATATTTCTAGAGTCTATACACGATCATGATAGATTTAATAAACTGCAATATAAGCTATCGTAAAATAGAGTAAAGTACCATTAATGAACACCGATACACAAAAAATGCGACGTGTTCCCTATGAGGGCACCTCGTTTCATTAATAATTCACCTAGAAAAAAACCGAATGGACCCTAATACTCTTTATTTATAGGAGAATAATAATAGACTATTCATCCTTGTATTCATTCGCATTTTAGATTTTACTTTTCTACTTTTTGCATGTGTCTGTATTTCCCAATAGCGAACACCTTTTTTACATTTTTTCCGAATAGCGAACACCCGTTCCTCATAGGGAACATATTCATATTTTGCTCTTTAAAGCATAACTAGGTACACAATTTTACAGTTTAAAACATTTTTAATGTGTTGTTTTGTACTAGAATGACTAAAAACGTTTTATTTTAGCTTTTATCTCTCAAATAATTCAAATAAAAATTACTCGATTTTGACGGTGTCCTTGACCCTGGGAACAGTTTATTATAAGGAAATATAGTGTTCGCTATTTGGCCCAGGTAAAAAATAGTGAGCATCATAGTAAACACCCTATTTTTTTAATAAATGGGGAAGAAAACAACGCCAATTATGGAATGTATGTTGTCAGGCATGTTAATACTTTATAATTTCAGCAAGTTTATTGACCAAAACGCAACACAATTAAAAATATAGCCTTAAGACTGGGGTGGGGGTCGCTCATCCGGAATGGCATTTAACATGGGTGCTGCCATACCAAATTTTAATCAATTCATTATACCCCTCTAGGGGCAATTGAATATAATGAAATTAATGCTGAAGAGTTCCAAAATGGACATACTACATGCCAGCACCACAGTTTCGTAAAAAAAAATCCAAATAACAGTGTAAAAAAATTTTTAAGTGGGGGTGTTCCCTATGCGGACCCGTTCCTTATTCGGCACGTTACTCTATATCTGCAATCAAATCTAGATCAACATTTAAATATAAAATATAGATCTAGATCTAGATCTAGGCCTAAAGAAACATAGTTGCATTTTTTAAAAAACTTTGTCTAACCGTAACCTACGCTCTATGGGGTTATCCATAAATGACGTCACACTTTTTTTTGACGATTTTTACCCCCCCCCCCCTCCCCTCCATCACACGTCGTCACAAAAAGCCAGACCCCCCCCCCCCTAAAATGACATCACACCTCTGCCTACACCCCCCCCCCCTCAAAATTGCAGTTGAATTTTTTTAAACAGCTATATTTTTCCAAAATCTTGTCTGAACTCTGTCAAAATAGAGTATTTTAATCAATTGTTATTACAATTTATTAAAACAGTTATCTAAAACGCAAAATAACGTCTAAAATTCGTTTTCTAACATATTGCTTTTTTATAATGCAAAAGTGTGACGTCGCACCATCTGACCCCCCCCCCCCTCCCCCTCATCACACACCGTCACAAAATTGCGGACCCCCCCTCCCCCCTACGAGTGTGACGTCATTTATTGACGACCCCTATTCTTTTCTTTAGAAAATCTATGCTATATACTACTATATAAATCTAGTATATAGTCTAGTGTGTATCTAGACTAGCTCAATAATATTAATTAAAATATAGTAACAATTGTATTCCTTGAGGCATTCGTTTTCTATATATCTAGATCTGGACTCAGTGTTTCTTCCAGACTTTTTTCTCCGGGGGGGCACTTGAAATCTTCGGGGGGGGGGGGGGGGGGGCGGTAAACTTTCTTCGGGGGGGCTGACACTGTTAAAAGTATATATTTTCTATATAAATTATATAAATTTCATTTCGTTTGGGGGGGCGGTAAAAATTTTTCGGGGGGGGCTTCGCCCCCCCGAAGAGATGCCTGGGAGAAACTCTGTCTGCAGAGGCGTAGCGACCCCTCCCGGCGCCCGGGGCGAACTTTCAGTTTGGCGCCCCCATATATATATATATATATATATATATATATATATATATATATATATATATATATATATATATATATATATATATATATATATATATATATATATATATATATATATATATATATATATATATATATATATATATATATATATATATATATATATATATATATATATATACATATATATATATATATATATATATATATATATATATATATATATATATATATATATATATATATATATATATATATATATATATATATATATATGCGTGTGTGTTTGTGTGTGCGACAGCCTGGAAAAAAAATTAACAATTACGCTGATTGTCGTTCCCTAAAACTTCACTTGACGCCAATTAATTTCCCCTTAAGATGCAGAAACGAATAACACGTAGAAAATCAAAAGAGCTTAGAACAGTGGGCTCCATCGAACCCGAGAGGTTCGGTAATTCAGTCTCAGTGCTTCCGCGGAGGTCAAGACACACACCCGACTCATAGGATTCCCGATCGGATTTTCTCATTGTGGACGATACAACTATTAAGGAGGGTTCGGTGATTGCGCATATGAAACTGGTGGGGTTCGGTACTCCAAAAAATTAAGAACCACTGCTTTAGGGTGTATTTTGTAGAAGGTGCAAGCCTTATTTGGTCTACTTTTGGTCGTGTCTTTAGAACAATTTCGATAATAGTAGGCCAATCTTGCAATTTTGAATTATCAGTTAGGTTGAACAAAGTAATAATCAGTACAATATACTAATTTTCTTCTCTCTTAAAATTTTGGCAAAGAGTGTCGCTTCCCATCCACCCGCTCCGACAGTCTGCTAACTCTTTTTATGTTACACAATCGTAAAATACGCTTTAGTTCAATGGGTTTCTTTTCTCGGTGATATCGGTTTATTCCTTAATCCGGTGTGAATTTTTCCGATATTAGTCTTCGAAAAAGCGCCCCCCCCCCCCCTCCCCATCTAGGAAAGCTGGAAAGCGGTTTTTCTGGTCACTGTTTCTTAAAGATATACGTTTTACAGTTACACAACCAAGGTAGAAAACAGTTAAATCAGTATGCAAAGGCTCTCAGCCGTTACATTTCTTTATTTTAACTGTTTATAATTCAAAACTGCAGCTTAAAATGAGCTTTTAATTTTTTTCTACCCCTTTTGGCGCCCCCCTAGGGTCGGCGCCCGGGGCGGCCGCCCTCCCCGCCCTCCCCTAGCTACGCCTCTGTCTGTCTGGACTGGATCCTAATAGTTGACTATTAGTGAGATTTAAATCTCAATATAAACTAGAACACATTTTCAAACACGCCGTATATTATTAATACACACTGTACCATTCAAAAACAGGCTTTTATTTAACTTGCTTCCTCGAGCTTAGTGCTTTTGTCTCAGTGCTTCGTCATTGATCGAAACTTCCGAGCGAAATTTCGACCACTTCTAACTTCTAATCTGTCGGATTTGGTTCAAAAATAGGACCTACTGAAAACAATTTAATTAAAAACGTTTTAACAACAAGCTTTTATATAATATGTATTGAAATTGAGAAAAATGATTTTCTTTAAATATATAACTATGCACTACTATTTTAAAAACTATAAAGAACTAAAATTTAGGAAGCGAACCACACTTAATTATATAAAAGCTTGTTATTAAAACGCTTTATGAATATTTTTTTTTAAATCTGTGTGTGGGACGTAAGGGACAGGTAGGCCTAAACCTTGTAAGTAGACAAGCTACTTGTAAATCTCTAGGCCAAGCTTTGGAACTAAATCATGTAATTAGAGAATCGTAGATTATATAGTGATCTAGAGTAAGGAGCCGTCGATGTTTGTCTATCCTTTTCGTCTAAAAAAAAACAAGCCCCCACCACCAGCTTAAGAATATAGGATCTATAAAAAGTATAAACAAAACATTTTTGGGGTCACCCATAAATGACGTACGCTTTGTTTTTGACGGTTTTTACCTCCCAACTTCGCGGTACATCGTCACAAAAAGCCAGACCCTAAAATTACGTCATATCCCAGGCTACAGCCGCCTCTCCCCCCCCCCCCCCCTCATAATTATTGCAGTTGAATTTTTTTTTATTAGTCGATTTTCTTTTCTTCTAAAAATCTTGACTGAGCTTGGTTAACAGATTATTGTAATCAAATAACGCATACGCTAAAAGTACTAAAACAAGTTTTCTAACATAACTTTTTTTTAATGCAAAAAATCTACCCCTCCCCCAATCCCGCATCGTCACAAAATTACGGACCCCCCCCCCCCCCCCCCCCCCCACGAATGTGACGACGTTTATGAACGACCCCTTTATAGGCATACAACACAGTTACAAGACTTTGAATGAACTATTTAAAATTTATTCCTGTGTAGCATATACAAAGAGTCGTTCAATGACGACATCGTCACAGCCCTCGAACGACGTCATGGAGTTCCCCAGCCCCCCCCCCTCAACTAAACACATACACAGTGTATGCTACTTCACATTTCTTAAGATCCTCACCCTCTACTCAAAATCATTGTACAAGCCTAGTCCCCACTACTGGTTTAAATTTTTTTTTTAATGAATTGAACTTGATTAATCACCATTTCAATTATTGCAAACAGCCACCCCTCACCCCATCTTCCAGGGTTTCTTTCGTTTTGCCGTGGGGTGGGGGCGTGAAACTTCCATGAAGGGGGAGGTGAAGAATGGTTAAAATATATTTTTCTATGAGCCGATATTTTATATCTTTTCAATTTCATTTCGTCCGGGGCGGTAAATGCGCTTTTGGGGGTGGAGCATAGCCCTCCCTTCCCAGAGATATCTAAGAGATAGTGAACACACCCTACCCCAAATTGTGTAAGATCAACTAAGTCTTCATGTAATATACAAATAAAATGTAATGATGTCACATGACTGACTAGATTAAAGCCATTATCACTAACTGTGGCCAGTATAAACTAAATGACGCGCAACTTACCCAAGACAATGAGATCTTCATTTTGAACTATTTTATATTGTGGTGAGGGTGGAGGAAATATACAACAGCGGTAGTAATCCCTACAAAATATGCAATAAAACGATGCAAACCTTATACACGGTGTGCTGGTATGCGTTATACTCCTGTAGAAAACGGCCCAAGGAAGGTGTAACACAGTAGCCTAGTTGAGGAAGTTAATTACTTTTTATTTAGGCCCGTTTCAATGCAGTAATTTTATGAGGAGAGGCACAATCAGAAAACCGACACCCATGGAATTACTTCAGGGAGTAGGGGGTGGTGACATTCAAAAAAAGGGGAGGAGAACTAGTGTAACAATAGCTTTCAGCTCTAGTTTTTTTTTGCCCCTCAGAAGTAAAAAGGGAAGTAATGCAGATATAGTTTAAAAGAAAAAAACAGTAATTATTTTCTGTTGCTTATGGGACATGAAAATAAGCAATAGCATTTTTTTAAAATGCTCACAGAATTTTATTTCTTAAAATTCCATTACATGATAAAACCATTGTAAAACACAAAAGTAACATCATTATTATAATACATTATAATAAGAAAAAGAAATCTTCAAAAATTGATGTTGGGTTAGAACACCAAAGTTCAATGAATTTATCATAGGAGGTTAAGCTAGGACATTAACATTTTCAATATTTATGTCCATATTTTTAAGTTTCTTTTGAAATACTTTGTTGAATTGGTAGATAACATTTTTAATCATCTAAATGTTAAAAGGGTTGGTTAGGATAAATAAATATAGTGTGAATGTAATGTAACTAAACAGTTGTTTATTAGTAAGATTTTGTTTGTGAATTTTCCTATGAAAAACTGAATATTAAAATACAATATTCTAGTAACAATTTCTAATATTTAGAAAAAAGGTACATTTTTAGTTGATATTCACAGTAAAACCAGAAACTCGGTGAGACATCATAGGGACTGTTTAATTATTTTCTGCAAACTGTTTGTGTAATAAACATTATTTATCCCAAAGAAAAAATTTAACACATAACACAAAGTTAATGTAAAAATAAGGCAAGCTATTCAAGCTATTAATTTGGGGATCTGATGGATATGAAACAGTAAACGTTTCATCAGTATCTCAAAAGAAAATAAGATCAAATTTTTTGTAAGACAAGGTTTAAAAAAGAAACTGAACAATTCAGATCTTAAGAAGCAGTGGCTTAATCAGTGACTGTGCCTTTTCTTTTCCCTTAAGCTGTTCCACAATAGCGAGGGCAAACTCAAAACAAGTGCCAGGTCCACGACTTGTGATCATTTTCCCATCAACAACAACCCTGTCTTCTGAATACTTATAGTCTCCTAAATTAAGAGGGAGGTACAAAATGTTTTATAATACTGGATCTGTAATTTTTATATACATTATTTGAAAAATGTAATGATGGATATAAATTATGGATACAAATAATGGACATAAATAATGATTATAAATAAATTAAATGGATATTATAGATAAAACATATAGATAATTAAAATGTGAATTACTGGCTGATTACCTTTGAGTTTATCTGCAAAACTAGGGTATGATGTGAGTTTTTTCCCTTTGCCAATGCCATGAGCCAGAAATGCAGTAGGAGCTTAAAATAAAACATTTACAATTTTTATTAGTTTTGTATAATGAATGTTTGAATAAAATAAAAGTGATGTAAAATAAACCGGGAGTGATCTCCCCTAAACTTTCTCGAATATTCTTATATAAAATAACAGGGGATGGGAACTCGGGCTATAGACATGATTTTTAATCCATTTTAAATACTTTAAGTTTTAAAAATAGAATAAAATCTCGTAGACAAATTAATTGCACACCAGGTGAACGCCAAATAAAAAAGCGCATAATGGTGCGCAATATTATTAGTACTTTTAAAATTTACATTAGTTTTTTGAGAAATCGGAAGTAGCGTAAATTACTACTTCCAGTCAACGGAAATTACTCAAAATTTAACAGAAGGTAGAGAATTAGATCTTTTACTTACATGTGAAATTTCATTTATCTATCTGAAATAGTACTCAAGTTATAGGCTTTTGAAAAATTCAAAGTAGGAAAAGTACCACTTCCGGTTATCGGAAATCGCTCAAAAGTTGATACGGATCTACGATTTCGATAAAATACTTATATATGAAATTTCATCAACGTAGCTGTAACGGTACTCAAGTTATCGTGTTTACACACGGACAGACAGACACACAGACACACAGACAGACACACAGACATACGGACAAGATTGCAAAATTATGTTTTTCCGTATCAGTGAGGTGTAAAACGTCGAGATTTGTAAAAATCTCGATTTTTTTTTTTTGCACGATTACAAGACTTTCTCTATACTTCGTATATACGAGAAAGTAAAAAGATAAATGTTTTAAAAAATGTATCTTGTTTTTGAGGAACGAAATATATTTTTTTAGGCCTAAATAAAGTGTGTATACCTGCACAGACAGCAGCTACATAGCCTCCTTTCTTCTCTTGGTCTTTTAAAGCCTCGCCAACTTCTTTAGACTGAGAAAAAAAGGATAAATGACAACAGTGACAACAGAAAACATCCCTTCACCATTCTTGTGTGCTGACTAAAACCTATTAAGTCTTTATTGATAAATATTTGATTTTTTCTGACTCGACCTCAAGGTTTTTGTCCAAAAAATTATTCCATAATGCTTTGGGTGTCCTGACATGGTATACCAAATTTCATCTCCGTCGGTCAAGTATTATGCAAGTTATGACATGTTTACCAAAATGTACAATTTACTTTAAGCAGTACACAATAATTTAAATCATACTTTACACAAATTTTCAGCACCGGTTCCTCCACCAGGACAGATAAGGATGTCATACTGCTTAGCTGCAAGTGCATCTTTCAAGCTCATATCAGGCACCAGTTTCACATTTCTGCTGCAGTTTACTGGGCTATTACCATGCAGTCCAGCAAGAACCACATCAATCTATGTACATTAAAATGAAAATTGTTTTTAATGTAATACATTCACAACTAACATAGATAACATTCAATGTAAATAAGTTGTACCTCACAACGGCGAAGAATATCCACAGTAATTACTGTTTCCATTTCTTCTGCTCCTTCAGCAAGAAATACTAAAGCAGATGGCATTTTTGTCTGGACAGTGTGCAAGAGTTTTTTAATTAAAGGAAATGCTGAAATACAGAAATGTCTCAGTGCTCATCACAAATAAAACAAGTATTTAAAAAATATTAGGGTGCAGTTTAGCGCCCAGAGTTCCCAATCAGATGATTAATTGTCTTGCACAGGGGGTGCTACTTGATTCAATAGTTAAATAGCACAAGGCAGTTCCACCAGCACCCCTGCAGTCTAAAGCCGCTGAGCACCCTGGGTTCCCTCGGAGCACTCTGGTACTTACATTCAATTTATAGAGTGCCATGCACTAGAAACACATTGGGCTACTGTAAGTGTTAAATGAATCAACCCTGGTGGTTGTTGGGTGACATGGAGCACGCCATGTTCCCCTGTGAGCACTATAGTGCCTACATTCATTTTAAAAAGCATCCTACAACAAGGACATAGTCGGCCACTACATGTGATGATTAAACTGAACCAGGTAGTGCCACACCACTGGATTGTTTGGTTTTTGTCAGACTTTATTAAAGATCTGACACATTTGACCAGATCTGTAATTCTGGTATTTTTAAAAAATCTTAATAGAGGCAAAACAATTACTTGGTAATGGACACTGCTGAATGAAGGGCTAGCCCAAATTATAAGGAAATAGGCCTACTAATAATATCTAGTATCTATATACTCAATATTTTTAATATTCACTGTCACTATAGTATAGTATAGGTAGAGTATAGGCCTACTATAGATAGATCTAGAGAATATTCAATATACTGAGTATAACAGTATACTGAGTATAGTCACAGTATAGTGTATAGTGACAGTATTAGTATAGAGTATCATAGAGTATAGACTATAGAAATATATAGAGAGGATAGTCATATTAGTCTGAGTATAGTATACTATAGTATAAAATTAAGTAAAATATACAATAAGTATAAAGTATAGTATTAAAGTATGAGTATAAATACAAAAAGCAAAATGTAACGTCACATGGAACATATAGTAGGAAATTTTCTAAAGCAGGGAAAGTACACAAATAATATGATGTCATTGATTCTCAGGTAAACATTGAATTAAAAAAGCAAATGTTGTCTAATCTTAAAAGTGGTTTGCGTGCAGAGTTTCTTTCATGCATCTCTTTGGGTAGGGGCGAAGCCCACCCCCCCCCCCCCCCACAAGAAATGATGTAATCGATACTCTATAATAAGAATACTGAGATTACTGCCTAATTCATGTGTCTATTCTTTAAAGTGGTTTGCTTGCAGAGTTTATTTCATGCATCTGTTCGGGTAGGGGCAGAGGCCCCTTCCCCACGCCCTGGTTAAACATCTAATCACCCCCCCCCCATGAAATATAATTTATATAGAAAATATATACTTTTACCAGTGTTGGCCTCTACCGCCCGGGAGATTTATTTTATTCGCCCCTGCAAGACTTCAAGTGCCCCACCACCGGAAAAAGGTCTGAAAGAAACACTATCTGTGTGAGTGAGGTTTATCTGCCAAAAGTAGGTAACGGGTCTATATTATAGAAGTAGACTCTACCTTTAGTCTGTATGACCTACAAATACGACCAGTGTTTCTTTCAGACTTTTTCCTACCCAGAGAGAGGGAGTACTTGAAATTTTCGGGGGTAGTGGTGGACTAAATTTTCTGGGAGGGGGCGGACCCTGGTGAAAGTATATTTTCTATATAAATTATATTTCACTGAATGGGACGGTAGACGTGCTTTGGGGTGTGTAGAGTCGCCTGAAAGAAACTCTAAATGCGACTTTTGCCATGATTGAGACTAGGTGCAAGGTTTAGGGGTATGGCTATGACTATATTAAGAATCAATGTGCAGTAACTACATGTAGATCAAGCTTAAATCCGATTAAAATACCGATTATGGATAAAAATCCGTTTTCAATGACATTTTTTGTTTCCGGTTAAATCTGAAGTTGAGGTGGTGATTTTGGTTTATAGAAAAAGACAATACTATCAACCTAGCGCCCATTGTATCTCTCCCTCAACGGGCCATTTATCTCGTAGTTAATACTAATAGTTTACAATTACATACTACACTGTGACTTTACACATATACTTATCAATTAATATTATATTAGGCCTATTAATTTTAATAAACTATTTTAAGTATAGATATTTTTATTCTATTTAGATACTAAATAGTAGATTCTAGAATATAGAATAGTAGTAGTATTAGTTAGTAGGGAAGTATTAATAGTAATTTAGTAGTCATAGACTGCGCCATAGGCCTTTATTTAACTTCATGCCATTTATGGTAATCTATCGTTTTAGATACGTAAAATAAATCGAGACTAGTAGTGTGAAAAAAAAGGTGACTCATTGAATTTTAGTAATTATTTCACATTTTCAGGAGGATTTATGTTTTGAAATTTACAAAAATGTTTCAAAGTTTCATTAATATACCTGTTTGTAAATAATCGTATTAAAACTTTTCAGTAATAAATAAAGTTATAAAGACTAGCAATGTTTTCATCAGATTCATCCAAGCTCATTTACTTTAGCAGCCATTTTGTTTGTTTTTTTTTTTGTAAAATTTAAATTATAGTTAGAGTTAGAGGTTCAGGGAAACCACTCTAACTTACAGAATGTCGCTGTTTATATATTATATAGCAAATCTTCCTCGCAAACACTGCTGTTTAGTAGTGTTTAAAGTTCATTTCTAGCTAATATTAATTATTATTATTTAGTAATAGTAATATTTAGCCAAATATCACAATAAATAATAAAATATTGAATATAGTCAATAGGCCTATTAACCTATTTCTATTAATATTAATTAATAACAGTGTAGTCATGTAGTGTTAATTAAGTGTTATTAAATATTAATTCACTAGCCGTCCCGGCCAGGCCCTGCTCCGGCTTCTGTGAAAAACCTTTCTGTTAAAGACCATTACCTGTGTGTTTAGTAATCATCATAAACCCGGCATTGCACACCCAAACCAAAACCAAAACAACAAAACGCAAACACAACGCTAACACAATTACAAATACAAACGAAAACAAAAACCTAACAACTAACCCAACCACAACCACAAACACCAATACGAACACAAAGAAAAAAACAAACGAAAAAGCAAACGAAAACAAACCAAATCCAAATGCAAAACCAACCACAAACCCAAAGAAAAAAACACAAACGAAAAAACAAACGAAAACAAACCAAATACAAACGCAAAAGCAACCACAAACACAAATACAAACACAAACGCAAAGAAAATAAAACACAAACGAAAACGAAAAAAGAAAGAACAAAAACGAACCAAATCAAAACGCAACCACTAACGCAAACCCAACCTAAACACAAAGAAAACACTAACGCGAACATAAACGCACAGTGCTCAGAGTCTAGCCCGGGGCAGAATCGCCTGTTTCAGCTTAATAAACGACTATAGTACCCCAACTTATTCATAGTCTTTTGCACTCACTTTAATGAACGTAGGCGCGAAACCGAACACGGGAGGCCCGGGACCCCAAATAGCACCCTGTCTGGGCGCCAGAGGACGCACCATGACGTCACCGCCTGATTGAACTTAGTAAACGACTATAGTACATAACTTATTCATAGTCTTTGGAACTCACGCGAACGTAGATACCATAGCGTACACCGAAAGGCCCGGGGCGCCAAATAGCACCCTGTCGGGGTGCCGGAGGACGCCCGGATTTGATTCACTTAAAGACTATAGTAACCTTTCTTATCCATAGTCTATCGCACTGTTAAAAACAAAATTATGCAGCATAGCGCTCACATGATAGCCCAGGGTGCCAAATCGAACCGTGCAAGGGCGCCGGCGGACGCGCCTGTTTCAATTTAGTGAACAAAAATGATAATACTCCAAGCTTAAATGGAAAGAAATAAACATATAGGATTTGTAGGACCTGGCTTATTAAATGTTATTGATTTAAAAAAAAAATATTGAACAGTATGTTCAGTGTATAGAATAAATAAAAGGCAGTGTTAAAAATACCTAACGACATTGCACTTAATCAATCCCCGCTAATTATGTAATTATTTTTTTTTTCTTAACACCAAAAACAAAGTAATAAAATGTAAATTCTTTCTTCTTAAGAATTTTTTTTATTAAAGGGAAGTAACTGTGCAGTCAATACATTTCCGACACAATTTTAGAAATTTTATAAACGTCGATACAGTTTTTAAAAATTTTATGTCGTGTTCATAATTGAAAATTATTCTTCTAAGTAAATAGAATGAAAATTGTTTTTAAAGACTTTCAATGGTAATTTTTTGACTCGTAAATTTAGACTGTGAGCACGATAAAAAATCTAACACTTAAATCCATAGAACGGTCAACGACAAACTTTTTTGCCACACGTTACAGAACTGAGCTTTATATATTAGATTTAATTAATTGTTAACATTGTGAGGCAACTTTTTTGCACATTACTCTAGACTCTAGATATCTAGATCTACTAGCCTCGCCCGATTTTACGCACCTAGTTACTAACTTTACACATTTCTAGATCTATGTGTTAGAACGTTACTTTTACCAATATACTGAGTACAGCGAGATATCCGTAACATACAAAAAACCGTAGAAAAAATACTGTCAATCAATAGATCTAGATTCTAAATACAATCGACTCAACTCAGGCACGGTAGTTATCCTTTCTTTAATAAACAAGTTCATCGGTTCAAGGACCAACCCAAAGTACCGGTCAGGGTTATTTCAATTTCACTTTCGCTTTCAAACTACCGTGTCTTTTTAATACTGGGGAGGGGAGAAGAAAAAAAAAGGGGGAGGGGGGGGGGGGGGGTGAACGGAAAAAAGTCAAAGGAAACAAAAAACAGTAAAAAGTCAGTTTTTGCTAGGAAAAAAAAAGCACAGAAAAAAAGTCACATAGGAAACATTTTATCGGAAAAAAGTCATAAAAATCTATTAGGAATATTTTGATTTTATTGTTGAGAATCGTAACATTTTTCGTGTAGGTTTTTTTTTTTGGGTAGCATATGCATAAACTTTAAAAGCAGTATGGTTTATATTATAGCAATAATAAGTAAAAGTACTATAAGGCAATTTAGTGAATTCACAGTTGATTTGCACTTTCTGAATATTCAATGCTTTAAAATATTAATAAATTCCATGCAAATACATATCTGTGACTTTTTTTACTTTTTTTCGAGTGACTTTTTTCCCCCTACGATCAGGTGAGGGGGGGGGGGAATAGGCTTGGATGTGACGAACTTTTTTTTTCTGACGCTGATGAGTGGCAGGTAAAATTTCCCTTTTAAAGCAGTGAATAGTGTTGGAATAAATAAAGTATTTAGATCTATTTAATTTATATTTAAAAAAAAACAAACACCCAACAACTAGATAGATATTAGATGGTCTACAGGGGATGTAGGAAATAGAAAAATATATAATGTATATAGGCCTAGAAAATATATTAAATTATTTATAAAGAAAATATATACTTTAACTAGTCTGCCCTCCCCTTCAGTATAAAAAAACTGTATGAAAGGATACCTGGTCAAATCTTTTTTGTTTTATATTTAGTGTCAAGTTTGGGTAGAAATCTGGTATGCTTTGTCAACCATATTCAATATGATGTACCCATGGTTACTGGTTAAGAAAGCAAAGCCATACATTGTTTATCAGTTGACAGGGGCACATCTGTTGTTCATTGCTGAGACTAGAACAAATTGTCTCAATGGACAGGGAAAGTCTATTTTGCAAGGCTAGGGAAAGTCTATTTTGCATGATGGTGCTTGATCCTCTCATCGGCTCTATGTAGTACAAATATTAAAACAAACACATCAAACCATTTTAAAATAAATACTTTATTAGTCATTAGTTATGATTCCCACAGGAATAAAGTAGTCAACCATTTTGTAGCCACAGAAAATATAACCAACCATTATTACATGTTATTTAAGATTGAGTTGAAAAATGAATGCTGACAATGTACACTATATTAAGCTCACAAAATACCTGGGTAAATTCAAATTAAAAGAAAATGCTTTTTCTCTTTAAAAAATTGTCTCAACTAAACATTGCTACTAATTTATTTCATGTTTTACGAGGTCAAATTATTGTTATCATACTTATAAACCATCAAACTGATAAATAGAATGCCACAGGCACATATATTTTGTTGTAAAAAAAGTTTTAGAAAAGAGATTTTAAATTTATAACTATAATCAAGATTGTATTTACATCCAAAGAAATAAGATTGTTATATTTTGTGATAGAAACACTAGAATAGAACCCTTACCATATTTTATTTTATTTTCATACTATACAAATATTAATGGTTTATTATAAACACATTTATAAGCAGGGCACTGATAACTAGTTGATCCTGTAAAAAGCCTTTTTTAGAACCAGCACAGTGCATTGTGATGCAAGTCAATACAGCAACCCAGGAAATAACATACAAAACTACTACAAATGTCTAAGTAACTAGTTGTTAATGAACAATTAAAAGAAGATTATATGTTACTTTCAATATGTACAATAGTGATGTAGTTTTTATCAATAAACAAACCACAGAACAAAAACATTTTTTCTTTTACTCAGTTTAAATAACCAAATGAAACTAATGTTACTTATACTTAAAAAAAAGACTTGTTTTTGTGATAAATTATTTGAAGATAGTAAAGTATTATATACTTAAAAACAATACAATAATATTATTTGTCATGAAACTTATTTACCATCTGTAAAGTCATTTTTTGAAGCACTGACAATTAAACAATGAATTTTAAAGCTAAGCTTTGCAAATACACATTAAAGTTTAGCATCAAAGGGAGGATGGAAAGGAGTGGGCAGCATCTCTTAGCAGCTTAGCACAAATGGTCTAATGGATCCAAATATTTTGACATTTTTTTTTCAATGGAACAGTTAACTTAATAAAAACAATAGACAGAATACCAGTAACTTACTTGAATTATTTTTAAAATGTAGATCTAGACAAAATCAATAATTGCTATCTAACTTTATTAAATTAAAAAATATGATTAAAGTGACTAAAATATTAGAGGTAGCTTTTATATGATTAAATTTGAATGAATGCTAGTCTCGATCAACTGATGATTGGTGCAGATGAAGCTTGTGCTGACATAATGCTGGCTATGTCTTACGCTGGTTTGTAATTGGTCTAATATCAATTCAATTTCCTAACACTGGAATGTTGGAGCAATAGGATACTTGCCACAGCATTGCATAATAGGACTGAAAATCATATTAGTTTAGTATTGTATTATGTAAAAAAAAAAAAACAGATGTGCTTTATATTATAATTTATAATCAGCCTAATAGTAGTAAAAATTTAAACAAAAAAAAAGAAAAAGCGTCAATAAACATAATAAAAAATGATAGAACAATGAAGAAAATTTCCCTAACAATTCTTTTAAATAAAAAAAAAATGACAATTTCGTCCCTTTTAACAACCTATCTGTAGAAATAAACCAAGACAAAAAAAAAAGATGAAAGTTGCATAATGCTCACATCAAAAGGTAAGTTTAATTATCAAAGAATGAAAATTGAAGTATGCTTAACTATAAGTAATTAAAAACATGTACCACCAAAAGGTTTTATTTTAATAATACACACTTTATCCTACGTGTTTATAATTGTGCATTTGTTTAAATAAATATTTTTCTATCTAGTGACTACTAGTTTATATTAGAGTATTTTTTAAGAATACATTCATTTGATAGGAAGTTATAATAAATTAAAAGTGTCTGCTCCCATAGGGGCAACAATAAAACATAAAAGTGGAACTGAACATTCCCATGAATATATGATTATAAAGAGAACAATTATTAGTAAAATTATGATTCTATCACAGAAATGACCAGTGTCACACAACACAACAATCATTCATTCCAACATCTCAATTGAATTAACACCCCAAAATTAAGTTTTACAAATGCAAGTACAAAACAGTTTAACTCAAATAAAAAAAATGAAGTGTTTGTCTATTCCAGGTGTTAAAAATAAATTTACATACCAATTGCCGTGTACAATTTTTTGCCATAGTATTTACAATGTCTTAATTTGATGCTTATGATTCTTACAAGCTTCAAGTCAAGTACAAATGAACGTCCAGCATAAATGATTAAAAAGCTGTATATATTCAATTAGTATTTAGAACTAATGCCTTGCACTTTACAATGACTATAAAAAAAATATTTTTTGACTGCACAACTAGTTACAGTTTAGTAACAAAGTAGACAACTTTAATGCAACTGCTTGAAGCACATACACAAAAAATAGTAATAGATGCACACATATATTGTAATGCATTACAGATCTAAATCCCATTTATAAAATTTTAAACATATAATACAACTTGCATTCTAAGCTGTTAGAAATAAAATTCAACATCAATAATACTATTAAAATGTGTAAGTTCATTCAGATTTTTAAGGCTTTCAACACAACACAGTAGATACATTTTAAAGCAATACATTTTCATTGCATGAAAACAAAACGAGTAATGTAACTTGTCATGTTCAAATATTGACCACAAGAAATTTTTCTATATTGTAAATTTAGAAATTATGTGACCATAAACAGATTGTTTAGTCAGTCATTTATTTTAGAATTTTGTATCCAGTCAAAGATTTAAATATTTGTTTTCAAATTGTAATACAGTAAAAAAAAAATATTTAAAACATAAAATTTTAAAGACTAGTTTTAAAAAAGCAACCTTTTCTTCCCCCATGAAGTTTGCAGGTTTATCCATGGTTTAAGTTTGCCAGTATTATACGTATTCAAGCTACTATATCACAATATTTAAAAGATTTAGGAAGCACCAAACCTATTTTAATCTTTCATATTTTAGGACTGACTTTGAAAATATCACATTTGAAAAATTAATTATAATTGATTTAAGTTTTATTTAAAAATGATTAATGTTTGAAATTATACATTCAATATAACAAATGCAATTTCTTTAGCATTTGCATACACATTTGTCAATAAAACTTCAGATCAAACTTTACAAAATGTTTATAAATTTTTTCTGACTAGTGTGTAACAAAAATAATGATTGAAAAAAATTGAGATTACAAAGTAACAGCTGAAAAACATAACAGACAATATTTAAATTTTAATACAAGTTTCAAACAAAAGTCCATCAGAGATAATTTGTGCTAATGTAGGGCACGTCCAACATTACCAGTCCAACACAGATATCAGTAAATTTATCAGGCACGAGGAGCCAAACTTTAATTCCATTGCACTCCTAGAAAAATGTTTCTGAAGTCAATTTAAACTATTCATTTTATTTTAGATTGAAATTTACTAGTCTATAAGACACTTCGTCAAGTCAAGCTTTATACTAAATTATTATAGTATTATAATACTAATAATGAGACTAAACTGTGTCTTACATCAAATGGGTTAGAACATTATTTAAAAAAAACCTGAATTCAACTTATTTCTTTTTTGGTCCACTCACTTAAACAAGGTCTTCCACTGTTGTTTCATTTTAATTTTCTTCTAAGATAAGATGCTTAAAGAATAATAATGAAGAATAGTTAAAAAAGCTAAGTCATCTTTGAGTGACAAAACAAAATTTTTTATTTACAAAGACTAAGGGATGCTAAAAATAACCTCTTGAAAACATAAATTCCAAAGGCTGGAAACAATATTGAAAATGACCATGTTTTAAAAAAAAACAACAGTGACATGTGGAAGTTTATTTTTTTAAACCTGTATATAAGGTATAGCAAACAATAAACATGAGCAGTCAATGAAACTGAGTAGTTCTCAAAAATAAACATCAAATTTTCTGTGCGCTTGTACTATGTGAGACCAAACCAGTTTTTTTCAGATTTCTCTGACGTTGTGTAGCGTAAATTCTCAAAAACAGAGCGATAAATAATATTACAATTCCCATAATGCCCACTGAAGTGAGTGGGTGACCGTAAATAATGCAAGATAACAGAATAGCAAAACCTTGTCTGACAGTCATAATTATAACAAAAACTACAGCTCCATACTGTGAAATGGTGTAGAAAATAAAAAGCTGGCCACTAGCGGAACAAATACTTAAAATGACGGCATCCATTAAAAATTCTGGATGCCTCAACATGAACGCTGCAGAGTCAATGAATCCACCCTGTTCTATGAGGGACACGCTGGTCAGAAGACAAGAGAACATGTTGACACCAGCCATCATCTGGATGCTGGACATCTTGTACTGTGTGAACAGTTCACCCTAAATAAACAAGTTTCTTTTTTAATCATTTACATTAATTTACTTTCTCTGTTACCCAAATAAATGTAAACAGAGACTCCCAAACACAACATGACTGCAGTAGCGTAGCGAGGGGGGGACGACATATGTCCCCGGGCGCCGACCTTAGGGGGCGCCAAAATGGGTTGGAAAAATAAATTGAAAGGTTGAGGGGGGTGCAAATCAAAAGTTTGAAGGGGGGGGGGGGTGCAAATCGAAAAGTTTGTCCCCGGGAAGGGTCGCTACGCCTCTGCATGACTGGTACCTATTTTACTGCTTATAAAGTTGTAAACTATCGTGAATTCCTACCTGCCAGTTAGACGTAAAACTGTCAAACAGCATGTAGCCAATTAACATAATTAGCCCAGATGTAGTTGTTACACTGTCTTTGTGCCTAGTGACGTCACCACTGGTGAGCAGAAACATGGAGAGACCAACAGAAATCATAATGGCTGTCGCATACTCATGGTACTGATATGTTTTATGGGAGACTACTTTGCCCATCAACATCACTGGGATCACCTTGGATGCCTTAGCCAGAACCTACAAGAGAACATTATAAAAAGAAAGTAATATTTTTACATTCAATTTATCACATAGGATTCTATTAGCTGTATAGTTTTAAATGGCAGTTTTAAACAGCCCAAGCTGTCAGAATTGCTAGAATACAAATCTTATTTAAACTAACAACTTTAGAAATAATGACAATGTTACAATTGATTCCATTGCCAATTTTATATAATATGCTTTTATTTTTTCCTGATACCAAATTACAGAAAAACTTTGATCTTAAACTAACCCTAGTAAAATAGCAATAACCAGCATGACTTACTTGTGTTGGGAAGCTGACAAACTTTAATGCCTCGTATTGGCACCAGGAAGACATGATATTAGAAAAGGAGCTAAAGGAGTACTTGTACAGTGGTGCAGTGTGGGGTGGTTGAGAGCGAAACATTATCACAATTAAAGCCATTATAAAAGCTAGAATACGATTTATAAAAACAAGAAACTGTGAATCTTTAAAAAATTCTCCAATATTTGTTCCATTTTGTCCATATTCAATAGTCATAATCCTCTCCTGTAGCACACCCCATGTAAGATAAGATATCTGAAGTCCAGCCACACAAATTAACAGACGGATAGCACGTTTGCTGAAAGGTTCTTCCACTTTAACAGGTGTTGATGACGTGCCAGATTTTTGGGCATTGCCCTCTTCAAGGCTGACATGTTGCTCTTTCCCAAACACACACAGTACAATAAAGTTCTGAAGACAACCAGGAGCTGTTTCAAAAAAGACATTGTTTTAATTTTAGTGAGTCAAAAACAAAACAAAAACAGCTTAGGTTTAAAAATAATACAGTCAAGATATGGCTAAATAAGTTAAAAATGTTTATAAAGATTGCAGCTTTAAAATAATTGTCCTTAACGAATACAGATTTTTAAAAAGCGCAAACTAACTTTTTATAAAAGATTAGACCATTAGTTTTAGGAAGGAAATAAAAAATAATTTTGAATTTAAAAAAAGTTTCAGAGAAAAATACAGACACCCTGTTCCAAATGGTGTTGGTTTTCTAAAAAACTCTTTTGAGGAATCCAAAATTTATACATTTAAAAAAGTAAAAAGTTATGAAAAGACAAAAAGAATTTTTTTTTAAAGATTTACCTGCTATTTCATTATATTTTATTCTTCTAAAATGTCTGATGAGCAGAAACCCTGGAACAAATATAGTTGCATATCCCAACAAATTTAATGACAGCCGAACAACCCAAAAATCAGTCCAATTGTCCTGAACAATGTCTTTGGTACTTTCAACTTCCTCACTCAGTGCACCAGCCACAACAACAGATATGAACAAGAGCAGCCTCATTCTGGACTCCTGGAAAAACAGTATTTGATCATGAATTGTATGGTAGGCCAATGGAGTGTATGTAACAATTGTGAATATAAACACAAACAATATTTGATCATGAATTGTATGGTAGGCCACTGGAGTGTATGTAACAATTGTGAATATAAACACACAGTTATCAGATTACTACAATCATTACTACAATAATTTCCACATCAATGTTAAAACATCTGCACAGCCCAAGCTTACAAAATGGGAGCTAAGATCACATCCAACAGTAGCTGTGGCTCATAAGTAATATGAAAGGCAATAAACTCACACAGCTTATACTTAATCAATAAGGTCAATAAATAATCTTAAGCTGTAGCACTTTATACATTTGACCAATAACTACACTGTTAGCTATTTCATGATGCATCCATAGCATATATTTCACTTCATTGATTTTCCCCCCTTGCTCACAACTGTTGTCACACCCTAATATTGAGCCTAAAAATTCAATACTTTGGATAAATGTTACAATTTTAAAAAGAAGCATTTTCTGTGATAGAGAAGTGAACTAATATTTATATAGTAAAAATAGGTAATTTCTGTAGTGAATTTTAAATAAACCGGGAGTGATCTCCCCTAAACTTTCTCGAATATTCTTATATAAAATAACAGGGGATGGGAACTCGGGCTATAGACATGATTTTTAATCCATTTTAAATACTTAAAGTTTTAAAAATAGAATAAAATCTCGTAGACAAATTAATTGCACACCAAGTGAACGCCAAATAAAAAAGCGCATAATGGTGCGCAATATTATTAGTACTTTTAAAATTTACATTAGTTTTTTGAGAAATCGGAAGTAGCGTAAAGTACTACTTCCAGTCAACGGAAATGACTCAAAATTTAATAGAAGGTAGAGAATTAGATCTTTTACTTACATATGAAATTTCATTTATCTATCTGAAATAGTACTCAAGTTATAGGCTTTTGAAAAATTCAAAGTAGGAAAAGTACCACTTCCGGTTATCGGAAATCGCTCAAAAGTTGATACGGATCTACGATTTTGATTAAATACTTATATGAAATTTCATGAACCTAGCTGTAACGGTACTCAAGTTATCGTGTTTACACACGGACAGACAGACACACAGACACACAGACAGACACACAGACATACGGACAAGATTGCAAAATTATGTTTTTTCGTATCAGTGAGGTGTGAAACGTCGAGATTTGTAAAAATCTCGATTTTTTTTTTTTTGCACGATTACAAGACTTTCTCTATACTTCGTATATACGAGAAAGTAAAAAATGAACTGTTTATGTCTTAATTTATGTAAGAAATTAAAAAAGAAGATCAACAGAGAAATAAAATTGTTGAATTTTGTTTAGGGTAGCAGAAAAATGTTCTACCCTAAACTATTGTTTAGGGGGTCAGGGAGTTTTTTCTATCCTAAAAATTGTTAAATGTAGAAGAGTTTTTCAATCCTGTAAGCAACAAGCTGAGTCATCAACTTCCAGCTAACAGTGGCGAGTGAGTGAACTTGTTTAACATTTACACTCACATTACTAAAGTAGAGAAAACTAGTGGCAAATTACATGTTAGTTTAAATGCTTACACTATGTAGCCACAAAAAATGACCTAAATGGCCTAAATGTTATTATGGTCTCATATCAAAAGATTAAGTCAGTAATTGACTGGACAACCTTAGCTCTGATCTTCAGAGAAAGGGTCAGTCATTTGGCAAAAGTAGAATAAAATGTCTACCACCTTGAGATTTTACACTTCTTTATGTATGGTTTCACTAAAGATGTTGAAAACTAAGTGAAGAGGCCTGAAAAATGTTGTATCCAAAGATGGTGAGCAAATGAAGAATTAGAACTAGCTTGGAATAATCAAGTAAAGTTGATTCTTCCAATTACAGTTGTTGACCGGGAAGTGCAGTAACATTTGCCAACATGTCTAATACAACCCTATCAAGTAACTGCCATCTGTAACAGATGTGTGGTATCCAGGTGGTGAAGGATTGTAACAAAAAAATCCATTATGTATACATTGTAACAATATGGACTTATTTTTACAGCACAATTGAAGAATAAATTAACAGATAGACCTCTCTAATAAAGTGTTTTCATAACCAACTGTAGACGTACTAGCCCAGGCAATAAGTTGTTGTCAAGCTTAAAATTGAAGCAACAGGTCACTGTAAAACTATTTCCACAAAAAAACAGGTGACTAAAAACATGACATTAGCCAGTCCCCTGTGAAAAGGACATTAGCCAGTCCTCAGTGAAACATGACATTAGCCAGTCCCCTGTGAAACATGACATTAGCCGGTCCCCTAAGAAACATGACATTAGCCAGTCCCATGTGAAACATGACACAAGCCAGACATCAGTGAAACATGACATTAGCCAGACATCAGTGAAACATGACATTAGCCAGTCCTCACTCAGTGAAACATGACATTAGCCAGTCCTCACTCAGTGAAACATGACATTAGCCAGTCCCATGTGAAACATGACACTAGCCAGACATCAGTGAAACATGACATTAGCCAGACATCAGTGAAACATGACATTAGCCAGTCCTCTGTGAAACATGACATTAGCCAGACATCAGTGAAACATGACATTAGCCAGTCCTCACTCAGTGAAACATGACATTAGCCAGTCCTCACTCAGTGAAACATGACATTAGCCAGTCCCATGTGAAACATGACACTAGCCAGACATCAGTGAAACATGACATTAGCCAGACATCAGTGAAACATGACATTAGCCAGTCCTCTGTGAAACATGACATTAGCCAGACATCAGTGAAACATGACATTAGCCAGTCCTCACTCAGTGAAACATGACATTAGCCAGTCCTCAGTGAAACATGACATTAGCCAGTCCCATGTGAAACATGACTCTAGCCAGTCCCATGTGAAACATGACATTAGCCAGTCCTCACTCAGTGAAACATGACATTAGCCAGTCCTCAGTGAAACATGACATTAGCCAGTCCTCACTCAGTGAAACATGACATTAAGCAGTCCCCTGTGAAACATGACATTAGCCAGTCCTCACTCAGTGAAACATGACATTAAGCAGTCCCCTGTGAAACATGACATTAGCCAGTCCTCACTCAGTGAAACATGACATTAGCCAGTCCTCACTCAGTGAAACATGACATTAGCCAGTCCCATGTGAAACATGACACTAGCCAGACATCAGTGAAACATGACATTAGCCAGACATCAGTGAAACATGACATTAGCCAGTCCTCTGTGAAACATGACATTAGCCAGACATCAGTGAAACATGACATTAGCCAGTCCTCACTCAGTGAAACATGACATTAGCCAGTCCTCACTCAGTGAAACATGACATTAGCCAGTCCCATGTGAAACATGACACTAGCCAGACATCAGTGAAACATGACATTAGCCAGACATCAGTGAAACATGACATTAGCCAGTCCTCAGTGAAACATGACATTAACCAGTCCCCTGTGAAACATGACTCTAGCCAGTCCCATGTGAAACATGACATTAGCCAGTCCTCACTCAGTGAAACATGACATTAGCCAGTCCTCAGTGAAACATGACATTAGCCAGTCCTCACTCAGTGAAACATGACATTAAGCAGTCCCCTGTGAAACATGACATTAGCCAGTCCTCACTCAGTGAAACATGACATTAAGCAGTCCCCTGTGAAACATGACATTAGCCAGTCCTCACTCAGTGAAACATGACATTAGCCAGTCCTCACTCAGTGAAACATGACATTAGCCAGTCCTCACTCAGTGAAACATGACATTAAGCAGTCCCCTGTGAAACATGACATTAGCCAGTCCTCACTCAGTGAAACATGACATTAGCCAGTCCTCAGTGAAACATGACATTAGCCAGTCCCATGTGAAACATGACATTAGCCAGTCCTCACTCAGTGAAACATGACATTAGCCAGTCCTCAGTGAAACATGACATTAGCCAGTCCTCACTCAGTGAAACATGACATTAGCCAGTCCTAATTGAAACATGACATTAGCCAGTCCTAATTGAAACATGACATTAGCCAGTCCTAATTGAAACATGACATTAGCCAGTCCCCTGCATAAGGCTGTAGCAACAGACTACTGAAAAAGATGACATTTACCAGTCAGTCCCCTGTACAACAGCACATAGAAATGAACAGCTGTAACATGAAGCTACAGTCGTTAGCATCTCACCATCAAGCACACAATACACGCACATGTGCTGTAGCACAAGTGCTGTTGTCGATTCCGACCCTAAACATGCAGGTCCCCCCCCCCCCCCAACAACTTGAAATTACCAATGTAACAAAAGGTGTTTACAAATACAACCGTTAGGCCTACACAGTTTAAGCTGGATATCCTGGCGACGCCCACTTTATGTGCATTCAAGCGGGACCGCACGGTAATAATAATTACACATTAGCATGCGCTGTTGAACAAACGTGTTGTTTTACAGTTTGTAAACTAATAAATACTTCATAAAAAAAGACTGTAAACTTGACGCTTGAATTATTGGCAAATATTTCCGCAAACTACGTGACATCATAAGAATTATATCGACTACAAGAGCGAGAATTTTTCTCAACTACACGCAGTTCCCTGGCGATAAGCAATTGACGTAAACACAAGGCTATCGAATTACGTAGTTTTTTTTTTAAATCAGCGACTCTAAAATACAAAAAAAAAATGCTTTAAAAAAAAATTCAGATAAAAAAAAAAAAGCATCACGTACATCACGTACACAAAATATTTGCCCGTGTCTCACACAGCCTACAGCAGGTTCGGTAACTCTAGTAAAGACAACAAACTGCTGTGTACGGCACCATCACTTGTGACAAGCAGACATCAACGTGTTCACTTCATATACACATATATTTGTATCAGCAGCATGTACGGCACTTGTAGCACGTGTGATAAAAAACAGACCGCTTTTAATTAATTAATTAATTAATTTGTCGTGGCCAACGGGTGATGAAAGTGGGCATGGGTCGCGACGGACCAGATACAAAGCCCTCCCTTCGTCCACTAGAGCAACTATCTGCTATTTACAACCGGTTGATGGAATTAGAATTCGCGTGATATGTTAATTTCATAATTTACGAACCCTGGTTCATTATGACAATTTTCAGTTGGATTGACTAAACGTTTTTTCTTATAGTGGATCAATGTACGATCCCTTGACAATTAATTTAATCATCAATTCTATGATTCACATCATGCTGCAGGTGCGTAAGGTGAGTGGGGCGGGCAGCGATGAGTGGATACAACAAACCGACTCAGGCGATGGACAACCTCTTGATTCTCTTGAAGAAGAATACAAGTGCCACATTATAACTCTTTAAATGAATGACTTGAAAATTCACGTACATCAGTCTATAGGTGACTGTAGACTCCCATGTTACTACCACCAAAATAAAGCCATACTCTCCCAACTACAGGCGTATCATTGAGTTTATACTTTAGTTGGAAGTAAGTACAGCTTTATATCGTAGTCGCGATTGTTACAACTACTAACACACTGTTATTTTAAACTACTATTATAGTATTAATTATTTAACGAACACACACACCACCTTTTAAGTACTAAAGCACACAACCAAGTACATACTATGGCACATCACCACCATAAATAAAGGTAGTAAAACACATCACCATGAAAGCCGGTAAAGTACACCAAATTTGTCACTACACACACCGCTTTACCTCTGAAAGATAAGCCGCCTCAATAAAAGTACTAGATCTAGGTAACACGGCTATTCCGCTGTGAAGCTGTTCATTAATTCGTTTGACTGGGTTACCCGCTGCGCGTTATGCCACGCAAACAACCAGCTCATATATTCATAACCTTCTCCCTGCGCCCCTTCACGCTCCTGATCAACAACCCTCACCCTGCCTATGGCGCAGAGGCCCTTCCCGGCGCCCGGGGGGGGGGGATAAACTTTCAATTTTGCGCCCCCCTCGGGAGCAAATTTTCAATTTGCACCCCCCCCTCAAACTGCAAAAATGCAGCTAAAATGATATTTGTTTTTACAACCCATTTTGGCGCCCCCTAAGGTCGTATACCCCCCTCCCCATCGCTACGCCTCTGCTATGGCGCGATTTCTCAAGTATCAACCTGCAAACTACCTTATACAAATGTATGACCAACCTACAAAATACCTGCAAACAAATGTATGACCAACCTGCAAACTACCTCCATACAAGTGTATGAAGAGTTAAACGACAGCATTTGGCCCTACTACAGTACTAGTCATACAGCACCACATCAAACCTGTAAGATGAGAATTTTGAGATTCTCATGTAGCAATGACCAAAATAAAACAATACTCACCCAACTATTTGCTGGGGGATAGGCGTATCAATGACTTCAAACTTCAGTTAGATATATATCAAAGCAAAAAAAAATAATAATAATAAAGAAATATATATGCTATAAAACCAAACATCTACTAGATTTCTAATACACTCGATGTCCGGGGCAAAATCCAGCAGATAAATCAGACATACATCAATGTCACATGCCCTGGTAGGTAGCCGTCAATCATCGCTGAAAACACCTCCGTTAGTTATTGCACCAATTTCAACGTCGATATAACGATTGCCATCGACGACACCGCACACGGGCGTTAACTCTAGGTTTACAAATCTATGCACGGCATATGAGCGTATCAACAAAGATTGACCTAGATCTATATCTAGATACATTCACATATTAGCGCATATTGCTACAACGGGCAGACTATTGTTCGTATTGTATGTGTATAAACGTATAAACACATTCACAAACATACTGGCTGCAAAAAGCACGAAGAATTTTTGTTTGCAAACGGTGAGCTGGGGGGGGGGGGGGGGGGGAGCTGCTCCTACTCAATAAAAATAAGATATTGGTTTTATGTCACACTAGTTTGGTTGAAAAACAGGGGCACAGCCTTTAAAAAATGATGCGACACTTGCATTAATCTGACGAGTACACATCAGATGTACACACAAGTTGGACCTAGATGTAAAAAATATGTACACACGAGTTGGGTCAGTTGTTAAGGCAAATGTACACACTAGTTGGGTCAGATATAAAGACACATGTACACACTAGATGGTCAGATGTAAAGACACATGTACACACTAGATGGTCAGATGTACACACTAGTTGGGTCAGTTGTTAAGACACATGCAGTGGCGTAGCTAGGATTTTCGGGCCCGTATGCAAAAATTATTATTGAGCCCCATACGTTAATCTGTAAATTGTGTATTCTATACGTCCATAGTTGTGTATTTATACGGTATAATTATGCAGTGCCCGTAGCGTAAAATACCTTTGATTTTATATCACTTTTATGAAAAAAAAAACTAACAAATTAACTGTAAGCTTGTAACCTTTAAGTAACCTAACACAGTAGCTACACAAGGCGGGGGCCTCACAATTTAGGCGTGACACCATGACGAAAACTCGTAACATTTACTGTCAAAACAATGTTTTAGTCAGTGAAAATAATAAAATATTAAGGAGAGGGGTAACACTCCACCGGAAATGCAAATGTTAAACGGGGTGGGGGTGACACTCACTAAACGAAACGGGTGATATCGAACCTTGTGAAGCCACCAACAAAAATACAAATTTTAAAAAGTTGCTCATGATTTGTTTAGATTTGTCTTTTTTTTTTCTTTCTTATACATTTGCAAAGTGATTAATATGTTCCTTGAAGTCCATTTAAGCTGCTTCTGCGTGTTCGATACTTAGGATGGCGAAGTTACTGACCAAAAGGGCATATCTACAACTTGTTTCATAACAGCATCATAATGGAGAGACTTGGGGAGACCAACTGTATACTACTGCTGAGGTGGCTGGAGGACACCTTTTATTTTCTTTAGCCATTGATTATAGTAGCCCTCCGTATCCCTAGGGCATGGCGCTCATTAAAACAAGTGTATGCGCCGTAGTGCTCACGGGGGGGGGGGGAGCCCGGGGCGCCGGCTGATGCAACTGTGCAGTTTGACCGTTGAATTAAGCAGTAACCCTGACCCCTTGTGCAGAACACTCAATAAACTGTCCACAGGTGCTAAGAAAGCCGCTGGGAAACTTAGGGTGGCAAACCGAATCGCCTTACTTTCAAGGGGCTGCTCTCCGAACGTAATTTAAGAAAAATTAATGGCAGAAAACTTTGCAGGAGTCAGAGTTTCTTTCTGGCTTCTCTTCGAGGGGAGAGACACTGCTCCTCATGTATGGGGTTGTGGTAGGAAATTTCACGGTCAGTAGAGGTTTGTCTGAACTATTCTAAACAACTTCCCAATGTTTCTTGGCGATTGGCTCGTTTTGGTATTAATGCATAAAGGACAAGGAGGCAGACAAACAAAAATCTTTAAGTAGCGGCATATTGATTGGAGATAAATTAGATCAACAAACAAATTGTGATTAAGGTTAAAACTAAAAAAAAACATTGACACATTTTGGACGTAAGTTGTTGTGAAAACACTGTCCACGGTTAAAAAAAATGGCTCGATTGTAATCATGAATGGGTGGAATTTCAGCGAGGACAGAGTTAAGAGGGGAAAGGGTTCAGGTTTGTGGCGGAGGGGTAGAGAGTTTTTAGCGATGCCTATAAATTTGCGGGTGCCGAATGCCAATCTCACAAAAAAAATCAATGTTTAAGTTTATTTATAGGCTAATTATCTCAACGGCTTGCCCGACAGCGCAACAATGCCTATAGTGTTATTAATACCGATGGGCCTTGTACAACTCCCCCCCCCCTCCCCAGTTACAAAGGTCTTGGGGCCTTTTTGGATTTTTTGTTACTTCTACAGTAGAAAAGAAACTGGATTTTCGTTTTCTTTTTAAAATTATTTTTATAATACAAATGTTACAATTCCAATTTAAAAGTTCTAAAAATTTAAAGAGGGAAAAGGGCCCCTATTAGCCCAGAGTTTCTTCCAGGCATCTATTCGGGGGTCTATCGCCCCCCCCCTCCCGAACGAGATGGATTTTATATAGTAAACATACACTTTTACTAGTGTCCGCCCCCCTCCACCCCCGGAGAAAAAAGTCTGGAAGAAACACTGTATTAGCCTTGGGCCCTATGCCTTGCTTACGCTAGCTACGCCACTGGACACATGTACACACTATTTGGGTCTAGCTGTAAAGAAAGATGTACACACTAGTTGGTATAGATGTAAAGACAAATGTACACACTAGTTGGGTCAGATGTAAAGATATATGTACACACAAGTTGGGTCAGATGTAAAGATATATGTACACACAAGTTGGGTCAGATGAAAAGACAAATGTTCATACTAGTAGGGTCAGATGTAAAGACAAATATACACACTAGTAGGATGTAAAGATATGTGTACACACTAGTTGGGTTAAATGTAAAGACAAATGTACACACTAGTTGGGTCAGTTGTTAAGACAGACGTACACACTAGTAGGGTCAGATGTAAAGATATGTGTACACACTATTTGGGTCAGATGTAAAGATGTGTGTACACACTAGTTGGGTCAGATGTAAAGATATGTGCACACACTAGTTGGGTCAGATGTAAAGACAAATGTACACACTAGTAGGGTCAGATGTAAAGATATGTGTACACACTAGTTGGGTCAGATGTAAAGACAAATGTACACACTAGTAGGATCAGATGTAAAGATATGTGTACACACTAGTTGGGTCAGATGTAAAGACAAATGTACACACTAGTAGGGTCAGATGTAAAGATATGTGTACACACTATTTGGGTCAGATGTAAAGATATGTGCACACACTAGTTGGGTCTGATGTAAAGACAAATGTACACACTAGTTGCATCAGATGTAAAGACAAATGCAGAACTATATTTTTAACACATACAATCAGCTATTACTAATAACTAGAGTGCTGTACAATTTTACAAAAGATCCCATTAATGATAAATGGGAGGGTTTATTATTACAAAGAATCAATAAGATCAATACTTAATATATAGGATTCTGTCAGAGGCAGAGGCAGGCTATTTAGTGGTGGTGGGGTGTCATAAAAATTAAAGCTGGAGTGATCTCCCTTAAACTTTCTTTTATAATAACAAAAAGGATTGGGACATCATTTCCAGTATAGACAGCTATTGAAATAGTTTGTGACAAAAACCACTTTTTTTTGCTGTTGAGAAAACAATATTAACATTTCTTGGACATATATACCATGAACGTCCAGAAAAAAACCCAACTTCGCCATAGATAATTTTATTAGAACTTGATACTTATTGCGAATTTTTTTCTAGACATGTCTTAAGTGGAAACGTGGTGATATAAAACACCAGCACACAAAAATAGATGTGGACAAATTAGCAAATACTTATGTTTTTGTTAGAAAACAGAAAAACATAGAGCATTACTTTTGGTAATCAGAAATCATTAAAAATTTGAAGGAATCAAAAGAAAAAGATCAGCTGCTTCTGTATGAAATTTCATCCACTACCTGAAATGTATTTCCTGTATTTTAGAAACCAGAAATAGAGTAAAGTACATCTTCTGTATTTTAGAGGTCACAACAAATCCGAGGGTGATCCAAGTATAACATCTTGTACTTATACATGAAATTTCTTCTGTCTAACTGAAACAATACTCAAGTTGTCATGGCCACATGGAAATAGAGTACAGTACCATATCTGGTTACCAGAAAACTTTCAAAAGTTGATAGAAATATGTGCATACAATCTAATATTTATATACGAAAATTTTATTCATCTAACCCCCGGGCTAAAGGTAAAGCCTTTTGAGAAACCGGTAAAAGAGTGACTACTGTACCCAGTTACCAGAAAAAAAACTACAAATTGATAATATACCTATATTTAAATTTCATGAACATATTTGAAACGGTACTCAGGTTATCATGATTTATATAGACACACAGTTTTTCCGGCTCCAAAAAGTTATAGCATTTGCCAATATCGCATTTAGATTGTTTTCACAATTACAATACATTTGTATTCCTTATACAATATAGTAAAGTAAAGTTCCCTTTACAAACCTGAGGGTCTATAGGGCAAGTGAAGTAGAGTTCACTTGTTTCTGTGACCTCGGCATATGAAGAGATAGTGTGGTCAGCACTATGCCCAGCTGCCTTTACTTTCCCTTACGACGCCTTACGTGAGTTTGGTACCCATCAGAGTTGGGTAGACTCAGGGGCGGTCTACTGACTTGAACCAGGATTCGAACTAGAGACGGGTTAGCAGTCCAGCTGTCTACCGCTAGACCACTACGTCCCATATACAATATAGTATGGAGGTGTAAAAACAGAAAAAAATACTGCCAAAATCTCATTTCATTTTCGTGCATGATCAAAATACTTCCTCTATACACTGTAGGATATATGAGAAAGTAAAAACATTAAGAGATTCCTTAATGATTGTCAATGTAAAATTGTGATTTACTGACATTCAAAACTTGGAAACTGAAAGCACATGGGTGCCTCATGTGCACCTTACTTTTCATTGATCTAAAAACCCTAAAAACATTCTTGGTTAGGTTTACTTTACTCTTTTACTTTCTTGGAATGTATGTGGATTATAAGGGAAAATATAGTAATCTGGGAAAAAAACAACACAGGAACTCAAATTAGATTTTGTTTGATAAGCCTCAACATTTTGCAATCTTGTCAGTAAGTCTTGAGTGAAAAAATGATAATTTGATTACCTATTCAGCTTGGTAATCAAAATTTACAATAAGACTATATCGGTATTTCAGGCTCTTAAAGAAGAAATAGAAGTTTAAAAATAAATAAAACAATTATTAAAAACCTTTATAGCAACAAGCTTTTTTAAATGCACTGAAAATAAGAAAATAAAACTAATTTGCTGTCTTTCATAAAAGCTTTGGTTGCTAAAATATGTAAAAGATCTCATGAGCGACATTTACTTAAAACATCGATAATTTTTCCAAAATCTTGTATGAACTGTCAACATAGAGTATATTACTGACCCTCCCTCCCCCCTACGAGCGTGACGTCATATGTGGCCTGACCGACTGAATTTATACTATTGTTTTTGAGTTTATGTTTAACTCAATGCAACAAGCTTGCCGGTTGGTTGAGGCCATGCCGGGGGGGGGGAGGGGGGGCGTTCTGACCGTGATTTAAAGGGACGACTCGAAATATCATCCAAATACATATTTATATAAAAAAAACTACTGGGCCTTAAATAATAATTTTTTTAATTTATTGATTGGCAGATCCTCTTCACGATTCTATGTAAATTTTATCATTCTGTGTTAAATAGAAATTATTTTACCAAAATGATCAAAATGCCAATCAATCATCAATCTTCTTCTTCTTCGTTCTAAATTTTTAGTGTTGGAATGGATCCCCCTCCAACACAAGTATACGTGGCAACTGGTTATGCGTCATTGAGGCCATTGACTCAGATTTCAGCCTGCTTTTCTTTTTGGATTTGGTTCCATAGCCTTTGTGGTCCAACCAAGAACAAACTACATTACTACAAGGCAGGAGTTGTTTGATTTTGGAGTTGTCTCTCCTCGAAGAGTGGCTGTCCCCAGCTAACGAGCCTCATCTGCCCAAGAATCATCAATCAATCTTTCTTTATCTTTAATATTTTAACTTACTTGTTTGCTTGGCTTTAGCCTTTATTTAACACAACACTGTGTGTCTTTGCTTCACTTAACTTTTTTTACTCTTTAACATTTTTACTCCTTCTTTATCTTTAGCCTGGCCTACACACATAGCCTACACACATAACTTTAGTTGATGCACCCTCGCCCTATTCGTTACAAAAATAAAATACTTACTCTCTAGTTAATAATAAACTGGAAATAGATCTAGAATCTAGATATTGTAAGTACGTCTAGATCTAGATCTAGATTTAGATCTAGATATCTATATTAGTAAAGTCTAAACAAAAATAAAATAAAAATTAATTCGGGCCATGGACTAGCCAGTTAGAGGTAAATAAAAGGATTTTAATGCTGCCTGCAAATTGAAACCAATTAATAAAGGGCATATATATGTCTAATTGATAATAATATTTTGTCGATCGATTAAGTTAAATTTTTAGAAGAATGTCAAATTATAACATTATGCCTAGACTCTATACTAGGGCTTACTATAAATTTCATTTTCCAATAATTAATACAAATTATTTTAACGTTTTAAAATCCAAACGCAAAGACAACCTGGCATTAAAAAAATGCAAAAACGAATCTAGAAAAAGAAATTACGTACCAAATCAAGTCAAATTGAAGAAAAAATAAATGTGTTAAAATACAAACAAACAAAATTAACTAAGCTTGTTGAAAGATTTTTAAAAATTATTTGTAAAAAAGTAATGGCGTAAAATCATTTCAAGACATTTTTCATTTTACTTCAATCTTTATTTTAACCGCTGGCTAAAACTTTAACGTTTTTAAAAATCCCAATTTGTTTTAGCCTAGTCACCGGAGTAAAAATAGTAAGCGAATTATTTGGATACAATTTAGATCTAATTAATAGATCTAGAAAAAAAAATATACGGATTTTACAGAAAAGAATGTCAAGAGGAAGTAGTGCTGGATTTGACAGATTTATTACGATATTTTCGCCCGAGGGAAGGCTGTATCAAGTTGGTATGTATCTGTCTTGAACTTGATTGTGACTGAGAATGCCTGTTTCCGATAACAATAACATCAGTCAGACTTCTGGTTAAGTTTAATAATTTAATTTTAATCAGTAGGCCTACTGGATTTTAAATAGTGTTTTGTTGTGTAAAAGTTTCTGTCAGAATTCCAATTAAAAAATTAACATCTTTTGGCATGTGTTACTGTTACCCATGCAGATTTAAAAAAAAAAAAGGTAGGCCCCTGGCCTAATCACTAATCTAGTCTAGGACAGCTAAGTAAAAATATTGACATTCTAAAATAATAGCCAGAAGCTAGATCTAGTTATGTGACTAGAACTAATTACTAAAGGTAAGTAGACCTAAAGACCTAAGGCCGCATTTGCGCGGTTCGTTCCGCATTACGCAAAATCTTTATGCTTGGTGGCACGCGATCCAAAAAAAAAAATACCAGTAGGCCTAATGCCCGATTTTTGTCTTAGCAATTTAATGGTGACATAGATCTAGATCTAGTTTAAGTGTTTTATTTCAACACCTAAGAATCTAGATCTAGTCTAGTACTTGTGAAAAAAACAGTATAGTGCCAGTAGTGGGTGCGATTATTATATGCTATAGGCCTGCTGAACTCAGTGAACCTGCCGACTGTGGTGGGATTTTTCACTCATGGGATAGTAAACGTAAGCAAGGAATAACACCAGTGAGCAATGTTTGGAAATTTTATTTTAAAAAAAATCGTCATATTTTCAATATGAAAAAAATAAAATGTTAAGAAGACACTAGTACTGGTCGTACTAACCCTGGGTTCGAACTCAAAGGGAAAAAGTAAGCATTTTCGATCACACACAAACATGGCTAATTCAACCTGCGATATGCGTAGTCACTTCATTGCGGGCCACGCTCTGCGAGACACATAGTCACTTCGAAGACCTAAATGGCTTTAAATTTTCAATTAGCTCAAACAAATGGTAAAAAAAAATACAAATCAAAATGTTTGTTGCTAACGACTGACTAAACAGCAGTAATCTTATAGGGCTTATTGATATAATTAGAAATAGAATAGGTTGCATTCAGGAATAACTTAATTTAAAATTTAGTAAGACGGGCTACTATTATTTGCAAATTTTAAGCTTTTTAAATAACTGGCTTATAATATATAAATACTTTGTCTGCTTTTCAGAATATGCTTTTAAAGCTATCAACCAAGGAGGATTAACTTCAGTAGCTGTTAGAGGCAAAGATAATGCTGTTGTAGTAACACAAAAGAAAGTTCCAGTATGTAAACTATCTTTATAAATGAGGTTTTCTTTTTAAAATAGGCTCTAAGTCTAAGCTGTTAACTTGAAAACAAAAGGAATTTAGGCCCTACCTAACTGATTTTGTTTGATAATGATAGTGAAAACTTGGATGTATATCTCATTTCAGGACAAATTGTTGGATTCTACAACTGTAACACACCTTTACAGACTTACAGACACAATAGGGTGTGTCATGACTGGAATGATAGGTATTGTTCAGTTTATTCATTGTTGCCAGTAATACTAATTATTTCATTTATTTCAACTCAGTATTGTTGTTATTGATTTAGCATTACATGTTGTTTTTTTACTTAAATAAATCTTATTTGACAAGAATGTTTTAGCCTTTTTTGGCAACGTAATTCAAGTAGGGTTAGGTTTAATATTTGTATTACTAATTATTGCCTGGTGCTACCAATTATTTCACTTATCTCCATGGCATTGAGGAATACAGATTCATTGCAATCACTATTTTAGTGTCACCTTATTAATGTTATATCAGTTGTAAGTAAATTAGATATAAAAGTTGTATTTACAATAAATCTAATCTGTCCAATGGGGAAAAAAATTATTTCACAGCTGACAGCAAATCTCAAGTTCAGCGTGCTCGTTACGAGGCTGCTAAGTGGAAATACAATTTTGGTTATGATATTCCAGTAGATATGCTGTGTAAAAGGATAGCTGACATTAACCAAGTTTACACACAAAGTGCAGAGATGAGACCTCTTGGTTGCTGTGAGTTTATATTTTTCTCCAGTCAATGCTAGTCAAAGGAAAAATCTGTAGTTAACCTGTAATTACAAATATTCTGTATGCTATTAATATTTATAGGTATGATTCTAATTGGGTATGATGAGGAAAATGGTCCACAAGTATACAAGACTGACCCAGCTGGTTATTATTGTGGGTTCAAAGCTACTGCAGCAGGAGTGAAGCAGCTTGAAGCTAACAGTTTTTTGGAGAAAAAAATCAAGAAAAAGAATGAATTTACAGATAGTGAAGCAGTAGAGGTAGTATACTTTTTAACCCTTTAACTCTAGGCATTAACTACAATTTTTACTTCCCATTGGGCCAAGCAAAATGACGACAAACATTTTTTCCAGCTATAATGCTTTTCAAAAATAAGTTTTCAATTAGCAACATACATGAAAAATAGTCTTGGTTTACGATGTTTGAGTCTTGAAGCCCCTAAGAGTAAAAACCTGCACTGCAGCTATACCTCTGCACAAGAATCTTTTTTGGGCAGCTCTGTTTAAGCCTCTCCTTCCATGACTTCTCAGGTCGGCTTACTTTTCTTTTCCCCTCTGGGTTCCAGAGTAACGCTTGCCTTGCGAAGTTGTTCCCATTAAAAGGCTTGTCTGATTCATCAGCAGTCATCTTGATTTATTTTAATTTCACTATTTATATGGACCATAATTTTATTAAAGCATTATTGAATAGTAAGAAATTTACAAGAAGTGATACAACGAAAACTTTAAGGAATATTTTCTTACTTCGTCTGTATTTACAATCTTATTACTGAGAAAGGTACTACCCATTTGGCAGTGTAATTGATTGCTTTGCAGTTACAAGTAATTGTATTAGTTGGAATATGTATGATACAATTTTGTAATTTTACTTTCTGCCAGATTGCCATTACCTGCTTGTCAACAGTTTTGTCAGCTGACTTTAAAGCATCAGAAATTGAAGTTGGAATAGTATCAAAGGATAACCCTAAATTCAGGTATTTTTGCTTTGAATGCTTAATTATTTATATTAAGTATTAAACTCACTAACAGAGCTTGTGAAAATAACTAAATCTTCAGAATGCTCTTTATTACTTATTATGTTGCTAATAACTTATGCTCTTAACTTTCACATACTATTTTTTATATTAAAAGCTTATTAGAATTTTATCCGGATGGATACATTGCTGATATATTTAAGATAAAACATAGAATAAATATCCCATTTCTTACCCAGAAAAGAATATTGAAATTTCTTAAATAATTTTACTTTTTTTTTTAACAGGGTACTAGCTGATAATGAAACAGATGTTTACCTAGCATCAATTGCAGAAAAGGATTAATGGAAATTAGTCACACATTTAAGTTAATTTTTTCTCATCACTTGTTCATTTGTTTTGTCATTTTTCCAACTATACACACCAGTGTGTATCTTAATTGTTTATCTGAAGGAGAAGATGATTATAAATACAATTTTTTTTTTAATAAACATAAATGTATAACAAACCTTTATTCTGTCTGTTTTAATTTTGCTATTGTAAAGTTAGAGAACAATAAAGCTTTGAATGTTGTTTGCTGTGTGATGTTTGTTCTTTTGAATGATATAGCATGATTTTTTTTTTATTTGTTACTGAAAATTCTTGTTTTTTTTTTGTGAGGACATTCGATACAGCTTAAAAATAAAATATCAAATCCTGAGCAATATGAAAATCATTTATTGAGGGACAAGACAATGACATTTATATTTACAAATTCTTTTTACATTTTTCTAGTTGTAACTCGTACACATTCTCATATTCACACATTTTATCAGCAATTTAATTTTTTTTTTACAAAAGGGCTGATATAGCCTACACTTTAATACTAACATGTCTATTAGAGAAATAATTAAATTCCCAGATCATTTCAATGTTTTAAAATCATGAACAATGGGAATTACCTTTATTGCACTAACCTCCTCCCCCAACCCACATCTTTTTGAAAAAGTACAAGATTCTATTTTTTTATATATTTAATTTTATGTGGCTATCCTTAGTTGTAGCATTTTCACAGAAACACATACTATTTACAAAGCTGCCATTTGTTCTAACCTCACATAGATGCTATGATTACACATCCTATCATTTTAAAAAAGCAACGCTTAATTATAATTTACTACTTATTACTCAAACAGTATTTTGATTCATGAGATTCCATAATTTGATGTAAGAATGACATATCCTGAACTACCTTCCTTGTCTGCTGAATTTATTCTAAAAATATTCATGGTTTAAATTCCAAAGCTGCTTCTACCATTTCCCCCGTTTACTCCAATCTTTAGGCTGCCAATGAAGACATTTTGGGTCTATTCTTATTGGCCTTTTTGCCATTGCTCTTTCTTGTGTCTGAATTTGTTCTTCGGAGAGGGTTATTATATACTGTCCTTTATAATAGTTTATGAGATTCAAATGTTGCAGAGTAGATATGACATCATCTTTTTTTATGCTTGTTAACTCTGATATTTCACTGTAATTTAAAAGTAAAAATTGGAAATGTGAAAATATCTTTGCTATTAGCGCAAACAATTTATTGCTTCCATTTTTTCTAATTAAAAATAACAAAAAACATTTGAAGAAAAGCTTACTTTATTGTGATACAAGGTCTCTCTCCAGATTCATTTGGTTTCATGTTGAGCAAAATTTCTAATATTGTTTGTGACCAGTAGCTACGATATGACAGAAGTCCTAAATCTGACAAGGGTTTTTCAGGTGAACCGGTTTTTCCTTCTACTTTTGATAATTCATAACCTGTATAATAATAACAAAAATGCTTGATTTAATCATACCATTCTATGATTTGACAGAAACGTTGTATGAAAAGATTCTTAAAATAACTAAAATAATTTCACAATTTTTTTACAAGATAGTGACCTATGGCAAATCACATAACAGCTGATAGACAGGGATATTAAAGCTAGCAAATGAGGATGGATTGGGCACACTCTGAGAAGAGATGTCAACGAGTCAGGTGGTGAGGTGTAGATGCAGCCTTTAGCTACTCATGGGCTTAACAGGAATTTATAAATCTAGTACTTACTAAATTCAATTAATAGTTTGCCATATCCTTTTCGTTGATAAGGAGGTAGTGTTAAAATACAGGCCACATTAAAGTCTTCAGCTGATTCTTTTTCCTGTGAGATATTAAAATATCTATATTTTAAATAAGCAGGCTAAGGGCGTGGTTAGTAGATATAGGCCTACTTGGAACAAGTAGGTCTATTCAGTAGTTGATTCTTCTTAAATTTAGTATTTAAACAAGCCTTAAAATTCCTATGACATACCTTAGAAAAAAACCCAACTAAATGGTAGCCTCTTAAATCTTGTTCACACATGCAGTAAAAAAGAAATGGGTCTGTATCAAAATATAAAGTCTTGTGGTCAAGGAACAATTTTGCTAAAAGGCAAAGATGCTGTGCATATTGCTGAAATAAAAAAGTAAAGTTTTTTTATGTGGCTGGAGATACTAATTGTTGTAGCACTTAAATGTATTGACAGCTGTTGTTTACAAACCTTATTCTTTCTCCCATCTATTTCAAACACAGATAGCTTGTCTTTTCTATAGATTTCATTCCCTGGAGGATGTTTATACAAACATTTTGCCTTTCAGAAAATTGAAAATTAAATCAATTTTTAATGTTAAAAATTTAGTAAATATGAACATTAATTTCGGGTTAAAAATAAAAGAAATAAACCAATAACATTTTTAATATTAAGTTTACTTACTAGATGCCGCTCTAAGCATTTAGCACTTTTGAGGTATTTTAGACAGTATTCACAAATGTATAAAATAGGTAAAGATGTCAGTTCCTAAAAAAGATAGCATAGCTTTATTGGAAGTGTAATCAATAAACTTTTATAAAAGTAAATGAATTGATTTACATTTGGAAATGCTCCACACCCCCCCCCCCCCCGAATTGCTATAACATGATGAAGGAAAAACTAGCACCCTATTTTTGAAGCTTATCAAAAGGTATTAGCCAGAGCTGGGTAGTCTAGAGATGGTCAACTCTCAACTATGCTGTCCCACAAAAAATATTTTAAAAACATTTAATAATAAGCTAGTTCTCATGGTCAAAATTTTTAAAAATTTATACTTAAATTTATACTTTTCAAAACATTAAAAATAAAATGTAGTTTAATATTTGAAAAGTTCACTGTCAGACAAGTTTAACCATTAACACTCCTAAGTGCCAGCTGTTGCCAGAGATTTTTTTGTTTGGTACAGTGCAGTCACCTGGACTATGTACTAACGAGATTTTGAAGAAACCAGCGGAAGCGGGAAATAATGAGTTTTATTTACATTTTCTGCTGTTGTTTTATCACCAGCATTTTGTTTTCTATAATTTTTTTTCAAAAATTACGGGCAATAAAATTAGTGAAATTAAAACTAACTATTATACTATTTAACCTCACACTTAATAAACTTAGACCAATTTTGTGTATGTTTTTAAAAATTTATTTTTAATGTATGTGAGTATTAAAAATATTTTTTTTTAAAGTTCAAGTGCTGAAAAATGCATTGTCTTTTTGCCTGGCCATAGGGGAAGTAAAATAATTTTTATGCCATGGACCGTAAAGGGTAAATAAATTTTTTTTTACCATCGTCAAGTTATTGCTCTCAGTAATTCAAATATTTAACTGAAAGAGTTTACCTGTGGATAGGGAGAAAAGTACCATGGCTTAATTCGCCATCTACCAAATTCAATAAGATTTATGTTCTTCATTCGTGTTATGATATCATCATGATGTGCAACCATACTGCCAGTTTGTCTAGGTGCTGTTGGAACGTCTTGTGAATCAGTCTTGAATAAAACACGAGTATATTTAAAAAAGCATTCTAAGACTGTATAAAATGCTTTAATTACACATCTTGTAAGAACTAATATTCGTTTTTAACATTATAATTTTCTTAAAATATACATGTTTTTACTAACATCTTCATCCAGTTTTCTTTTTCTGTTTGCAAACACTCCTCCTCCAGCACCAATGTGTACTTTCATTGCACCTGAATTACTTAGCCCCAAACTTTGCATAGTACCATTTTCATACTGAAAAAAAAAAAAAAAACTATTCAACAATAAGTCTCCACAAATTCTTTTTTTTTACATTATTACTTTGTTGAAGGTAAAGCTTTTGTGATGAAACCTGAGGATTAAAAGATAACCATTCAGGCAGAAAAGTGAAAGATATAGGTTAAGGCCTAAAGATCAATACAGAGTAAAAAGGACTAAGTCAAGTTCGGCCAGAAAAACTCATGTTACTAGTGCAGAATTAGCTCTGGGTAGCGTTTGTAAGGGAGTGTGTAATGCTTTGATATTTTGAAAATAGGACCAAGACAAGAATAAAGTACGTTTTTCGATTAATGTGATTAAATTTAATTGACTATATTGTGAGGATGGTATCAATAACATGTGCTTGATAGTGTATCAGTCATTCATAATGTCCACAGACGATCAAGGAAACAGTAAACATTATAAAGATGTTCATTAAGTTTTATAACCCTTTGGGAAAATGTCAGTGCATCTAAAAGTATATCTCATTAAAATCACTTGGTATAGGCCCATGAGAACTTATTTGCTTGTTCTGAATTAAGGTTTAATGTAAAGTGATTCTTGGACAATAAATCAAATTCAACAGTTGAGATTTTTTAAAGATTAACCCAGCCCAGGAAATCTCTGTAGACATCATGAGAGTTTACTTCATTAGTTTATAGCAAATGAGAAGTTTGCTCCCATCAGGGTGTAGAACAGGTCCAGTAGTATCCATAGTTTTTTGTTATTTTAAATTTATTTTATTGGATCTGATAAAATGTAATGCAGCATTTGAATTTAGGATCAACAGATCTTAAAATAAAATTGACAGTGACCAAAGTTCTACCAGCTTACTATTTCTCTTTCTGGACTTTCAGGCCTGGAGCCCCCATTGACTAATCGTGAAGTAGTCACAACAGCAGTGTCTGTTTTCTTAACAGGTGTTTTAACATCTTTTTTAGGTTGTTCAAGTTTAGACAAATCCATACGTTCCAACGGAACCCATTCATCCAGGCGTTTATTATCTGTCGAGAAAGTTTTTGTTAAAAAATGAGCTAATCTAAATGTTCAAAACTGTTTTGACAATGTTTAAATCTGTAGCTTAACATTTCAACTGCCGACACATAAGAACCTCAATATTTAAATTTAGCAACAACTTAACTCACAATCTTCATAATGTATGTAGTAAAGGGGTCTTCCATTATCTTTGATACTAAGAACCTCAGCAGAATCTAAAGAGGAAAAATACAAATTTGATTTTTTTTAGTTGTATTAGTAATATAAATAAAATAGCCAGCAGTTATAACAGTTCTGTGCCAAAAAAAAACAATATTCAATAGCCTGTAGGCCCTACTAAGCCCTACTTTTATAGCAACTTTATTTACTAAAGTTATATTGAATATATTCAATATTGATACTATTACTATTGATAGTTATAGGCTAATTCATTAGATTAGTTAGGCCTACACTTGTATTTTATAATTTAAAAAACCAGCTTAGTTTTAAGTTTTAGTTAAGCCTAAGGCCCTGAGCAATGGTAATAAAACAATTAGGCCTACAGAAGTTTCATTTAAAACTAAAACAAGTGTTTAGGCAAAACCTTAAATAATTTATGTTTTCAAAAACTTGTGGATAATTGAGGCTAAACTAAATCTAATAATTTTGATTAGGCCTAGTTTTGAACTTTTCTTTATTAAAAAATCAGGCTTCAAAGGGACATAACAAGATAAAATAAAATGGACTTACGCCACCCATCGCCGTTGGGTAATAATACTGGGACATGACATCCCTCAGTTATTTCAACCTGAGAAAAAATTAATTTAAAATGTTAACTTTATTGTTATAGAAAGAGTTTTTCATCGAAAAGTTAGTCCATATAATAAAATAAAGCACTATTTTGTGATGGTTTTACCTTCCCTTCCGCCATGTTCACCATTTTGACGCTGCGTAATTGCCAGATAATCTAGAACGAACAAATCGAAAAACATGTCAAACAAATATTATAATTTGTAAAATTGTCAATGTCTTAGATAAGCTATTTTAAAATAATGAAATTGGTACAGTAGCATTATAACATGTTTTTGAACTATAATTTAATCATCAAACGAAAGATGTGTGAATATATTTGTCATGTATCGGCCTAAGAAAAAAGTCCAATCAGTCCATATAACTTAAAAGGCGCTTTCTCAAATGATACGTTGGCTGCTGCTTACACGATCAATTCCATAATATTTAAATAACTGAATATCTAGAATATAGTTGTAATTTTGTAATTGCAGTTGTTACGTGTCAAATAAACTTTTCAATTACCGGGATAGTAAAAAAAACACCAACCATATTCTAAAGGAGCTAGATTGTTTTCAATCGGGGATTAATAATTAAACTCGAAACATCCCCCACATCCGCTCAAAATTGAACAGAAACTTCGTCTTAGACTAAACATCTAGTCAGAGCCGGCGTTAGGGGGTGGCAAACGGGGCGGCCGCCCCAGGCCCCGCGCTTGAAGGGGCCCCGCGCTTCAGCAAGGCCATTGTTGCCTGAATTAGTTTGTAAACTTAAATAACCTTTGCTGAATTAAATTTAAAAAAAAAACCAACTAAATGGCCGAAGTTGTTGGATGTTAAAACTGAGGCCAAGGCTGATGTTAGTGAGTTTTCCTTTACATGGGCTGGGACAGACCGTTATTCTAAAGAAAGACATTAGTGTCACACATCGCTGGCACGGTCGACTTGCTATTGTCCTGAGGTGACTGGAGATGGCGGTCGCGAATTAGCCCCCGACCTGACATGGGAGGTAAAATCGGGAAAAATGTAAAAAGATACCCTATTGTTTGCGGACCGTTGAAGACGTTTTTTTAGTGAGCAGGCGTGGGTGCCTGTAGTAAACAGTCAGTGACCTGATGATGTCTTGCAGAGGAGGAGGGGGGGGGGGTGAGCGGATGGGGACATGCCCCGGAATTCCAGAGCATTTATCCCTAAAATCATAATTTATACACTGTATGAGCATCTTTTTTGTAATTGTGCATATTCACCACGATACGCTTGATAGGCATCCATACAGTAATTATGTTCATATTTATTTTATATATTGTCAGGTAATCTTTAAATACATTATACTTGTATTTATTTTTATATTTTTGAAGGGCATTTATACAGTAATTATGTCCATTTTCATTTTGGTAAACTTTAACGGTATTCGTAAAGTGATTAAGCACATGTTTATTTTAATTAATTGTAGGGACAGTGGCGTAGCGAGGTCGGGTGTCACCCGGTGCGGCACTTAATGGTGACACCCCCTCCCCCAGAGGCGTAGCGACCCTTCCCGGGAAAAAACTTTCAAATTTTCAGTTTGCACCCCCCCCCCCTCAAACTTTCGATTTGCACCCCCCCCCCCACCTCAAACTTTCGATGTGCACCCCCCTCAAGTTTTTCTCTATATATTTTGCTATTTTTTTGCCTTGGTGTCACCCCCCTTAATGGTGTCACCCGGTGCGATCCGCACCCCCCTCGCTACGCCTCTGTGTAGGGATATTCAGTATAATAGTTAAGACCATAGTGATTCTTGTTTTAAAATAGTGTGGGCACACTAAACAAATTATAAAGTCTATACTGTTTGATACATCGGGCCGAGACTGTTTTATAGTAAAGTTCTCCTGATTTCTAAAACGTCTAAATTACCGGCAGTCCGAGCATGCCATCGCGAAACTCATAAATAACATGGTTCACTAATTATAGACACGGACCTTCTCTTGTGAGAACGCGGTCTTAACCTGTAATGTAATACGTGGACGCTCTATACACACGCACCTTCTCTTGAATGGCTGCGGCCAGATCCAGTAACGTAGTACCCGAACTGATTTTTTTTAGGGTTTGGTGTACAGTTATCCTTCACGGGCTTCACCCCACCCCACCAACTGTCACCCCCCCCCCCCCCCCCCAGTGTTCCACCTTACTGAGCGTCCGTGATTACATTTGAGAGTCATTTCATTTGGATATCTATAGCTGTAAACAGTTTTTTTCACGATTCGAGCTTATTCCGAAATCTATCAATGTTTTGCTATTTTCCCCGGCATCCACACACTTTGAATGCCACTGTTAACCCTCGATAAATTGAGAAAATATCGATACTATCACCTGCCACTGTGGACCGATTTAACGTTGCTTCAAAGTGCCCGAAGGTATTAAGTCAGCCAAACAGTGCCTTCAGTACATTTGGAGTATTCGGGATTCCTTTCCCAATACGGCGATCGCCTACAGAATCTTGCAAACAGTTCGAGTCACAGTGGCAAGCGCCGAAAGAAGTTTCTCCAAACTGAAGTTGATCAAGAACTATTTGAGATCAACGATGTCCCAAGACAGGCTCTGCGGCCTGTCGATTCTGTCAATAGAAAAAGACATAGCCTCCAGTTTGGACTATGATGATATAATCATGGAATTTTCCTCACGAAAGGCAAGAAAAGTAGATCTTCGTTTGTGAACGTACTGGTAAGATTTTCATAAATAAACATTAATGTAAAAAAATCAGGTTTGAAGCTGACGTTCATCGTCTCTTTAATGCGTGTCTCAAACTTATATCTGTTTTATTTTTTACTTTTCAAACAAAAAGCCTTAACAGAAAAAAGCAACGTTTCAAAAGCACTTTTAAGTAAACAAATTATTTGTTAATCAGTGTCTTAATGTTAATACGACATTGATAAACAGCTTAAAAATACCATATATATCGTTATAAATATTAATTCGCTTTGAGAAGAAAAAAAAAAACGCCTCACTGTACATGTTTTATTTAATTATACACCAATGAAAAAAATATAAGGCCCCGCGCGGATGGTTGGCCATAGGCCCCGCGTACCCCTAACGCCGGCTCTGCATCTAGTTATCACTTTTGCTTCCCAACTTTACACACCAATGCCAAATTAATAAACATTAAATACATTAGGATTAATTTTTTAGTGAATAGCGTAGTATTAACAATGAATAAACCGGGAGTGATCTCCCCTAAACTTTCTCGAATATTTTTATATAAATTAAAATAACAGGGGATGGGAACTCGGGCTATAGACATGATTTTTAATCCATTTTAAATACTTAAAGTTTTAAAAATAGAATAAAATCTCGTAGACAAATTAATTGCACACCAAGTGAACGCGAAATAAAAAAGCGCATAATAGTGCGCAATATTATTAGTACTTTTAAAATTTACATTAGTTTTTTGAGAAATCGGAAGTAGCGTAAATTACTACTTCCGGTCAACGGAAATTACTCAAAATTTAACAGAAGGTAGAGAATTAGATCTTTTACTTACATGTGAAATTTCATTTATCTATCTGAAATAGTACTCAAGTTATAGGCTTTTGAAAAATTCAAAGTAGAAAAAGTACCACTTCCGGTTGTCGGAAATCGCTCAAAAGTTGATACGGATCTACGATTTTGATATAATACTTATATATGAAATTTCATCAACCTAGCTGTAACGGTACTCAAGTTATCGTGTTTACACACGGACACACACACACAGACACACACACACAGACATACGGACAAGATTGCAAAATTATGTTTTTCCGTATCAGTGAGGTGTAAAACGTCGAGATTTGTAAAAATCTCGATTTTTTTTTTTTGCACGATTACAATACTTTCTCTATACTACGTATATACGAGAAAGTAAAAATGACAAATACATTGAAGTAGGTAGGCTGAATAATATTTCGCTTAATTTGTAAGCCTGAAACTGAATTCATGCCCGAATGAGAAAAGATTATTGACCAACTAGATCTATAGAAAAAAATTTGTTACACATTAAAATGATTTATTTTAAAACGTTTGACTATCGCAATAGGTGTCGGCGTGTTCGATTCGGTATAGCTCATGACTGCTTAACCGAAAATTCTCGATTTATCGAACCTTTTCAACGAAGAAGAAGAAGAAATTATTGCTTAACCCCGAACTGTCTGTTCTCATTAATTCCTAATTATTTTTAAACGAGTTTCATAATAGAGCTGTAGGCCATTTAGTTGCCCAATAAGCTACTTCTCTGTCACATTATGCCTAATCCAAAAATAACAATTTTTTAATTACAAAAACTACTATTAAAGATTATTAAATATATTTCTTTTTAATCTGACATTACATTTACCCCCCCCCCCCCCCCCACCACCACCACCACCCGACATCTACTCCAGAGTAGGCCTACGTGGTCGTAAATGTGTGACCCACCTGCATCTATTAAGTGTGATGCACTATCAGGTATTTCAAGGATTCTTCTATGACATTCTATGTCAAGGTGATGTTATCAGTGACGTTGTTCTCGATAACTGGGTTGGTTTTATTGAGTTGTACCGATAACTTCTGAATCGACGAATTGATTGATAATTGTGAGACGTCACGAGGCGCCAAATTAGACCGTGACGCTACTGAATCACTGAATTTAGGGCTGTTCTCTATATGGCACTCGACAAAATTGCAATGTTCAGGTACCCCAGATGAGGGGAGGGGGTACGAAGGGTAGGTTTGAAGAAAAGTCTTTTTGAAGACGAAGTTTAATCTTTTTACCTTACCTTGAAGTAATCCGTTTACCTCATATATACAAATAGACATTTATTGGAATTGATTACCATCTTCCCATCATAACATTAGATTATAGCCTATGTCGGCTAAACATGTCACGCAGATGATTGACCAAAAAAAAAAAGATATTCAACATTTAATTTTTGAATCCCACGTGAAAATCAATAAAACGCAATGCATTTAAGGTTTGCTAGAATAAAATAAAACACCTGTTACCGTACTTGATCATTAGAAAGGATCCAGAGTCTGGAAATAATTGACACGAACTTAGGGGTCATCCATAAATGACGTCACGCTTTTTTGGACGATTTTTACCTCCCCCCCTCCCCTCCGTCACACGTCGTCACAAAAAGCCAGACCCCCCCCCTAAAATGACGTCACACCTCAACCTACAACCCC